TAACAGTGGTGGGACTCAGGGTTTCTTCTACCTCGGAACAGAAATAAAACTGGTTTTCCATAACAACCCAACGCAACCCTCGCAACTAAGTTTATGCTTGAACGCGACCAAAACCATGCTATGTGTGAGGTTCAGCGGGCGCGTGAAAAAAAAAATGGGTGTGTATTTTAAAAAAAAAGGTTGCGAGCGGTCGCTACTGCTTGCGAACACTTTTTGTGACGTACTAACCTCAAGCAGCACCAACAGTAGGTTTTCACAGCTATCACTTCTGGCAACAAAACCAGAAAAGGTGATAGAATTAGAAATCTGGTGCTAGAACACACATTTGTACTACTAGTTGTGTTAAATTCTGTCACAAAAAAGTTTGAAAAGCCTAGTGCTATCAGAGGGGAGCAAGCTACTATTGAGCTTGCAAGTTTGTGCAAAATTGTTGAATTCTTTATCTCTACTAGTAGTCTGATGGCTGCTGCCACCATCATAGTATGGCAAGTACCAACAATCTTCACTCCTATTTGATAGTACTATACAATAATAAAGCAGGAGTAATAACATCATAAATTGATTCTTCACATTTCCTAAGGGGCAGGGGGGGCTCCTCCAGCTATAAGTACATCCAAGCCAAGCAGCATCATGATGGAATCAAAAAGCTATTTTGAAGAAATCAGTCCTCCCTCACATAAGAGTGACTTACTAAGAGGAGCAACAAAAATGTCAAAATCATAATGATGTTATGGATGAATACCACTAGTACTGGTAGTAGCATCACATAGTGCTTTTGCTTCATTGAAACAAGATAACAAAAAGATGACAGTATTTGTTCAAGAAGTGTGGTTTAGAACAAGAACAAAGTGGCTGGAAAGAAGAGAAGTTGCTACTAGTAGAAGTACTAGTAATAGTAGTGATTCCACTCAACTATTACTATTAGAAGTATTGAAAGCAGGTTCATTTTCAGAAAAAAAATCAAGTAATATTAGTTGTTGTACTAGTAAAGTGAGTAGAGACTTTATTTGACTACTACTACAACAATTGCATTTCTGAAATCAATGACAGTGATGTTGAATACAAAGACCTTCTTGATGCAATGATGGTTAATTGCTGTATTTGAGGGATGGTTGATTTTGAATAATACATCCATCAAATTGAACAACAAAACACTTTTTTTCCAAACATAGGATATAAGCACTATTACCAAACATAGGAAACAAACACTATTACCAAGAAGAAGCTCATAGTAGTACTGGGCCCTCCGCAATTAGTAAATTTGCTTCAAAATACACTGTGCAGAACAAGGAGAAACAAAGAGAATCTTTTCTTTTTGTATACAAAAGGGCAATATTCTCATTGTTTCTTGTTGATAATAAAGAGAAACCAAGAGAATGGCCTATTGCCTCTCTTTGTTTCTGCCCCTTTGGTGTTTCCTATTATTTCCCATTGTTTAAACAAGGAGGAACATAGAGAATATTGCCTCCACAATGTTCACATTGTTTCTCTTTGTTTAGGAAGAGAGAACATAATCAGGGCAATGTTATCTTTGTTTTCACATTGTGAAATGATGGGGGCATCTCCCTTCTTTCATCCAATGAGAAACAAAGAGAGAATTGCCTCACCTTGTTTCTCTTAATTTCTTGATGGTGGCTATACAAAGAGAAACATGATGGAGAAAACCTATGGGAAACCTTGGTCTTGGTTGGGGACTGCCTTCCACAAAATCTAACAGAGGGCCCTGAAAGGATAATGATACTGGATGTTGGTGGGGGCCAAAAAATTATGTCAACAATATCAGCACAACCAAAAAGTAGAAAACAAAAAATCCATTTGATACTAGTACTACTAGTACTTGTTGGCAAGAAAAAAAGGCACCAGCATGTTACTAGTAGTACTAAGAAGAAACCTGCTCAGGAAAAACTGGTCCTCTAATCAGCATGCTTTGCTTGCTGCAGTCAAGAGTTATATTGTTGGTTACTACTATTGTCATTGAAGGAATTTGAGAAATTTCTGACTGAATTAGAAGAACCTTGCTTGAAGATTTCCCTAGTAGCACTATACTACTACTACTAGTACTAGAAGTACTACTACTAGCAGAAGTACTAGTAGACTACTACTACATGTACTACTAATAGGAATGTTTGGCAACATAGTACTAGTATTACTACTAGTACTACTGAATGATAGTTCAAATGAAAATAATATTCTGGAGATAGTTTTCAATTTGGGACCAAGGATTCAATGGGTCATTCCCGTAAACATAAAATCTATGACGACATACTTTGCATCTATGACTCAACGGGAATGAGTATGTAAAAACATAGAATCATAGATATTGAATTATGGCGCGCTACATATGCTTAATGGAATATGGAATTTTGCTTAAAATTAACAGCAAATATCTGAATTTGCCAGTGAGCGCACCAAAAACACTGAGTATTGAGAACCGTGACTTCAGAATTTTTGAATCAAGGATTCCAAAAAAAATCTATGTGTGTGCATACTTTTTGGTTAGCGAGAGCCTGCCTGAACCAAAAATCTATGTACAGTATCTGTGTCAAAAACACATACAGTACTTTTATGTGTGCACGTCTGAAGTCTAATACGATTTTACTTAAATCTATTTACGGGCTTTCAAAGCGTTGTACGCAACTCTCAATTTATGCCTCTCGATTTCAGTACGTACTTTTTGTCTTGACAATGCCAATTCCATGATATGGACTTTGATGATATTTTTCAACGTACAAGCAAGTATTTTGATATTGATAAAAATAATTATGGATAGCGGTTCGTTCCTTGATTGTTCATTCTTCTTTTATTTGAGCGCACTTAACGAAATACGGTACTGAAATGAAGTTTTCTCTATCACGATGCAAACTCGCGTTCAATTCCCGTTTCATCTTCATTCGTAGATTTTTGTCCCCCTGTTTTCACATCACACTTTCTCGTTTGTTTTCTTCACCAATCTTCAAACCTGTACCGGACACGGCTCTAGTTCTCTTTTAATGACATACATGCGTCTCTTTTTGTAGTTTCGCCGAGAGATGATCGCGGCAATGGCGGTCGACCAGGCACCCGAAAGCAAAAACGAAGGCCCCGTTTCGTCCCGTGCAGAAACGATGAAACACGACGCACCCAACCAGAGCCTGCGAGAAGAAGACCGCCTGGGCGACGACTCCCCGATCGGGTTCGGCAAGTATCGGGGGAAAACATACCGCTTCGTGGCTCTGAACGATCCCGTCTATTGCTGGTGGGCAAGAGGCCAGGACGACGATCCCTCGCCGGAAATGGCGGCCTTCCACGCCTGGATCGACTCGAGAATGATAGACTTGTTGTCGACAGCGCATGCACTCCACGGCACCGAGCAGGTAATCGGGCTCGACGAAAGCGAAGACGAAACGGAGGCCCACGATTGCGGCGGTTTGGACTGCGATAGCAGCACGGACGGTGGCCACAACGACGAGGACCGATACGTCTCGGACGTGGAAGGCGATCCCTGAACAACGCTCTCCAGTCTCGGTTGTGACTAATTCTAATTCTGACAGTCAACTTTAAAAGCTACAGGACAGCCACTCTCTCCACCAGTAAGCTAAACACAATGCAACAGAACGCACACCGCCGACACATTCCATCGAAAATATCATGTCTTTTTCCTCCATTGCCGTCGCTAAAACGCAAGGTATTCAACACAAGTGTGCGATCTTTCCCATCTTGGTGCTGGATAGGTTTACCTTGTCGGGAGCTGCTGACGCCACAGCAGACCCCACTCTCACAAGCTAGAGGAAGAAACGATGTAGGGAAGATTTCGATGGTAATATACAGTACATTATAATAATTTGCTGTTGCAACAATGCACAACGACTCCCATGTACAAAATGCGTAGCTAGACTTCTCTAGACAGGAGTAGAACTGGTAGAAAGAAGCTGCACCCGTTCCTCGTGCGCTGTGTTTTCATCTGTTCTTTCTTCCTCATCTGTTTTCGCTCCCGTCACCGACTTCGATGCGAGCGCGGCCAATCCCTCCTCGATCTCCTCCAGGGTCAATCCCTTCGTCTCCGGGACACTGGTCTGTACAAAGTACACCGAATACGCGGCCAGGGCCCCAAAGACGAAAAAGGTTCTGGACATGCCAAGGGTGCTGCGCAGGATTGGCACCAGAAATTGCACGATCGCGTTCAGGGCAAAGTTGGCGAGGACGGCCAGCGCGACCGCCTTTCCCCGGACGGACTGGGGAAAGACCTCGGAGATCATGAGCCAGGCGATGGGACCAAAACCTACCTGGTAACCGGCGATATAGGCAAACATTCCCAGAAGGGTCAGTATGCTTCGGGCATCGAGTTCCGATGGCACCGGATCATCGTCGAAAGACCCTGTTGCAGCTTGTTCCGAAAACGCAAAGGTCAGGACCAGCAGAGCCGCAAACATCAGTGAGCAACCAACGGTGAGGAGGGTTTTCCGGCCCCGGGTCTCCACCAGCACCACCGAAACGGAAGTGGCCAGCAGCTTGAAGATTGCCAAGATCACAGAAGCGTTCCCGCTCAGTCCAGGAACCCTTGCCAAAATCGGTGTCGCGTACGACAAAACACTTGGTTGCCCCGTGACTTGTTGCAGAATCACCAGGCCCAGTCCGGCCCGCAGGGCGGGGCGTACGTATGGGTCCCACAAGGACAAGGATGGCGATTCTTCCTCGTCATGTCGTTGCTGTTGCTGCTGCAGTTGTCGATGGAATATCGCCATGAGCTTTCGGTGCTCGGATAGAGCGGCACTGGGATTCCATACGAATTTCAGTGATTCTAAGACCTGGGTGGAAACGATTCGGGTGGTTCGCTCTTGTTCCGTTTCACCCCGCAACGGATCGGTAGCGCTGGATTCGTGGCTGCTGTTTGCACAGAGTTCTTCTTGCTGCCGCCCAACCAAATACCTGGCAGATTCGGGAATCGTGAAGGACAGCCCGATCACTCCGATCGAGGCCAGCAGCGTAGACGCATACACACGGGCCCATCCGGCATCTTCGTCCCCGTCGACTCTCGTCAATGCATTGCCGGCAACAAAGCCCACCAGGATCCCCACCACGATCGCGAGTTCCTTCCCACCGACCACCATGCCGCGGACCGAGGGGGGCATCGTTTCCGCCAGGTAGGTCGGTCCCCCGTGCATGGCAAATCCGATCCCGGCGCCGTAGATCCAGCGGCCCAGAGACAAGAGAAAAAAGGGCGAGAAAAGACTCTTGGTCGTTTCGGGGGAGAAGGCCGATAGGTACTGCAAGATTCCACCAACCGCGTAAAGAATCCCGGAATATCGGAGCTCGGTGCGCCTCCCGATCGGTGCCGGCCATCGTCGTTTTGATCTGCGACGGTTGGTCGCATCGCGGTCGCGGACATCTCGAAGGCTTTCGAGGTACATGAGAAATGCGGTTCCCAAAAGGGCACCGGCCGAGGGAGAGGAGACGATCCATCCGGTCTTGATGGGTGAGTCCTTCAGCGACATAGAAGACGCACGCATCGAAGCTAGTTGCACCACGACAAAGGATGTTCCACCAATGTCGTATCCAAAAAGGAACCCCCCGAGGGCAGGGACCAAAAACAACCAGAGGACCGCGGATGCTCTAAAGTCGTATTCGTACGCCAGCGGCGTGTGATGAGGGGATTCGTTTGGCATTGGATTAGTGTTTAGTTGCGGAAAGTCTGGCGCAATGTAATGCTGGTAAGCTTTCTTTCGTGGGTTGTTAGACGGTGCCGAGATCCGTCATGATAGGTCGTAGATAATTTCTTTGTGTCGAAAGATGTTTCGAAGGGTTTTGAAATTGAAATGATGAACATGAACAAAAACGTTATCATATGTATCATATGTATTATAAATATAAAATATATAACGGAATACAGTCGGGGGTCAGGCTGCACCGGCAAAGGGTAAGGGGTCATATGAATGACTGATGAATATAGTACGTACAGTACGTACGGTATCATCAAAAATAGGGACGACGTAGCGCACGATACTGAATAGAGCTTGTTGATTCGAGAGATTTTGATTTTGAAAATCTCATCGAGCCAATCACATCGGGGTATTCTGACACCAGACACCACCCAGATTCACTGTCGCACTCGTACTTGAGCAATGCGTTGTCAAAACCTAGTATGAACACAAACGATTGGTTTCGCAAAAACGACCGATGATAAAAATGTATCCTCGCTTTGTACGGTGCGAACCCGTACGGCAATATTACCAACTTTTAAAACCCAAAGAAATCGCAGGCATGGCCGCAACGCATATCTCATTGTACTGGTCCCTACTGGTACGGAATAGGTGACCCCATAATGTAGCGTGCATGGTGCATGCGTTAACGAATTGGTACTGTAATACTTACCTCCTCCGTAAATCTCGAAACACCAGAGGAACAATCCTGTCTTGTTCTTGTTTTGATAGATACGTGTACCGGTAGCAGTAGTACCTGTACGTGCAAGAAGCGTACGATACGTGCGGCTGTGTTTTTTTTTTGAAAGGGACGAAGAACAAGCACAATCTTCCAACTTCGCAACACCAGGCAAACCTTTGGAAATCAAAGAAAGAATAGCTGGAACTACGGAGGACCACAAGAAGATCAAGAGTCTAAAACTGACCACATCGCATTGAGCTGAATCGATTCTGCAGCCTCAAATCACTCGTTTCTCGATCAGATTTGATTGGAATAAAAACTCGCATTACTTGTTTACCCCGTTTGTCTGTATTCCCCATTGCACGTGATTGATTCACTCTTCGGAAACAACCTCTCCGATAATCCCTGTTCCATCCAAACCCGCATCGATCGTATGTCATCATGTCATCCACCGATGAAAATACGAAGGAAGAGCAAGTCCAGCCTTCTCCGGCAGTAGTCGAAGAAGACAACAACAGCAATGGCAGTAGCAATGCGGTTCCCACCATTCGAATGTCTCGATCATTCGACAATTCCAGGTTCCCGAACGACGCACCCAGAGAGAACCAGATCGAATCGATAGGAGCAGAAGATGAAGCAACAGACGATGCAGGGACAATGGAATTGTCGTATTCAAATTCAACCGACAATCCAAGCAACGACGTGTTGCAAATCAATCGAAGCTTCTCCGAGGGCGATTTGGATGCTGCCTCCAAGAAGGATCATCCCATCGAACCCATGGGAAGACGGGCATCTACAATGACCGATTTAGCTTCAAGCATATCCGCTGTTTCGCGGGTGTCGACGACCGTCGAATCCGTKGCGTCCGGAGAAATAATCATGCCAAAAGACGAGAGCAACAAGGACTTGGCAGTCCCTACCAGCACCGATTTAGCTTCAAGCATATCCGCTGTTTCGCGGGTGTCGACGACCGTCGAATCCGTKGCGTCCGGAGAAATAATCATGCCAAAAGACGAGAGCAACAAGGACTTGGCAGTCCCTACCAGCATCGACGGCGGCGGAAGCGGCGACGCTGACGACGAGCGTGATTCCGAGGCGATTTCTCCCGCAACCTCCCACGAGGACGATATCACCGCGACCGATGCCCTCGACGAGGGCATTAGCAGCTCCGACGAAGAGAGCGATTCGGAGGTTTTTCTGGCCAAAGAAATGGCGCTGGCGATTGCCAAGAATCCGAACATGTCGCCCAACCAGCTCCGAGACTTGCAGCAACAGGTCCAGGAAAAGGTGGAACAGATGCAGAAAGATCGCGCCCAGGCCAAGCTCCAAAAGAAATCCGGTGACAATGGCAGCGGAAAATCCTCGACAAAAAGCAACAAGAAAAAATCCTCCTCTTTGGGCAGCGGCAGCATGGCATCTCTTGCGAGACGGGCTTCTTCCTCGGGCAAACTGGTAAAGGAAACCCTTAAGGAAACGAAGCAAACCATAAAGGATACCAAAGCAGCCATCATAGAAACCCAAGAAGGAATGAAAGAAGGCGTAAAAGCAGGAGCTAAAGCAGGTGCCAAAGTCCTAAAAAAAGAATTCAAGAAGGGAATGAGCGCTATGGGTCTCGGAACAACCTCCTCCAAGAAACATGTCGTTGCGGCGCTGAACACAGATGTTGGAGCTGGAGAATCGGAAACTGCGATTGCCTCGCCTAGAAGTTCCTTAGAGGATGACCAAAAGATCCGCTTGGCTGGAATCATCTGGAAGCGCCGGAGTGGATTGGGGAAGTATTCTATGACGGCATCCTGGGAACGGAGGCGGGTTGTCCTCAAGGGAAGCAAACTTATCTATTACAAAACTCTTCAGGAAACTATGTCGAACAATAGCGATGCTGAGGACGAGGACATGGGTGATTTCTCCGAATCGGAGGGAGAGATCGAGACTGCACCCTCGAACGATTTTGCACCCGCAAACTGGATCCATGGGATCAACGCCTTTATTGATAAAGCTGGCGTCACGGTTCCATGGGAAACACATTCTTCCTCCAACGTTACTGCCAAACCTGGAGCCCGTGGATATATGGATTTGAAGAAAGAGAAGGCATCGGCGGCAGCATCGTATGGGCATACGGGAGCTCCCACCCCATTTGCGCTGTCCATCAAGGTTGCCTCAATTACGAAGTATAAGTTTTGCTTCGATACACAGCAAGAACTGATGACATGGCTCACTTCCATTACCGACGTGGTTGTATCGGGATCTGTGGACGACTACAACGCCGAAATATTGGAAGCTAACAACCCTTCCTCGCACGGGGGTGGAGAGACTACTCCCATAGGAGAAGATAGCATCTCGAGCAGCACTTGGCAGGAACCCCCGATCAGAAATCGATCAACGGACGAAGGAGAAAAACAGGGTGGCCACCAATTGTGGACAACCGAGCAGTATCTGGTCAAGAGCATGAACTATCCCGATTCAGGTATCGAGGAAAACGCAAACGTTGGCACTGGCGGTCGTGATTCACAAGCTTTGGCGGCAAGTGCAGAAGACTATTACGTCGACACGAGTGGAGGCCAGGAGATTTGGGGAGTGCCCATGGACTATTTGAAACCATTCTTTTATCTGATGAATGCTGTTGTTTTGATGGCTCGATTCCATGAAACGCTAACAGATAATATGTTTTGGCATATCCTGGTGTTTTTCGACGTCCTGGCTGTCATGGTTGTTGACAAGGCAATGACTGGTGGGACAGTTCGGCTCAAGCCAGAACTCGATGTTAAGACTACAAAGAAAGAGAAAGAGCTACCGGACGGCCTTCAGACAGCCGCAAGTGCTGATGGCACGATCACTTCTGCCGCCACGGACGAACTCTTTGTACCACCTGCAGGAAGCACCTCTATCAGAATCAACGACCCAAAGGATCTCCCATCCATCGACGGGGTGATCTTTGCTGGATGGAGGCAAGTCGATCCAGGCGAAATACCTTTACGGGGTCACGCCTACAAAAGCGACAAAAAGAAGGTCCCCTGCCCGGGGGATTTGTACGAATGCATCGATCTGGATGTGTTTGAATCGAGAAAACGATACCCGGACATGGCTGGGCGGGTTGTTCTGCCCACTCCAACGTTCGAAAACGATGAGGGTCCGAAGACATGGAATGCTCCAGACTTATTTGTCATTTCGGTTTCCCTCCCGACGGACCCTCCCAAGCTTTATGGCGGATCTGCCGACAACGGAGGAGGTTTCACCATCACAATGTATTGCGCCATGCGGCAGAAAACCCGAGACATCCTTCGGAGGATCACGGCCGAAKGCTACAATCCGTCCGATGAAGAAAAACCAGATGATCCGGACAAGAGCTGGGTCAATGCTGCCCGATTGCTGGACGAGTGGTGTCGACGAGCACCTTCGGACGACAGCTGGATGGCTCGCTTCAAGGTCATTCCCCAAGGAAACAACCTGGCCGAAATCGGCCTGCCCGCATGGATATCTAACTACAACGGAAAGCCATTTTTGATCAAGCGACCGGGAACTACCGGATTCTTGTACAGGCACCCCGACAAGTCGTGCATGGAATTTGACGTATCGCTGCATCCATTCCCCTATTTGGCCAAACAGGCCATTTGCTACATGAAAGATGGCTTTTTCAATAAGATTCTGGCGACCCTAGCCTTTTGCATCGAGGGACGGTCTGAAGACGAGCTCCCAGAGTGCATGATTGGGCTATATCAGCTGGTAAGATTCTGTAGTTGCCATTTGCGTGTAGAACACGACTCGAGGGCATTTTTTTGGACGAAGAAACCGAGCTTCTCACACTCTGTCATCGTTCTGTTTTCTTTGATCGCTATCCGCTTTTAGTGCTACCCCGATCCAATTCACGCCATCCAGGCCGAGGATTTCTTTGCTGGGAAAAGCGCGAGAACGAAATAAATAGTTATTGCCAAAGTCGTTTTCCATAATCAAACTCCAGTACGGTGATAGCTATTGAAATAGAAAATACTTTTCATTTACCTCCACAATTCATTCATTGGATTACGCTATATCGTTTGTTTCGCATCACAAGCTGCCAGCACCGAGGGCTTTGTCCGACTCCAGCGTTTTCGCGATCGGAATTCACAAAAGTTCGTTGTCCTCTTGCACGTGTTCCATCACTTCTTCCACGTCCGGCCGAGCCGTGGGTGCTTCTTTCGTTTGCGTCTGCTGTTGCTGTCGCTGTCGCTTCCCTGGTGGCTTCCGCTTTCGTTTTTCCTTCTCGCCGTCCGCCACCTTGTACATGTACCAGGACGAGATCGACCGGTAGGGCCGGAAGGCCTCGTGGAGGCCGCGGAGCCTTTCGGTGCCGTGGGCCTCCCTCCCCCCCGCCTGGAGCTTCCAGAGGGCGGCGGTCCCGCGGCGAACCGCCAGGTCCCCAAGGGGGAGGACGTCCGGCGAACAGCGGTGGAACAAAAGAAACATGTCGACGGACCACGGCCCGAGGCCCTTGACGGAGAGGAGCCTCGACCGGATGGTTTCCTCGGTGGCGGAAGCGTCGCCCCCCGCTTCCGCCGAGAGGAGGCCGCCGAGGTCCCCTTCCTCGAAGGCCCGGGCGATCGAAAGGACGCACCGGGCCTTGGCCCTCGAGAGGCCGGCGGGCTTTTGCAGCCTCGCCTCGAGGAGAGCAGCGTTTTCGTTGCTTGTTCCGTCCGCAACCAGGGACAGGAGGCTCGAGGGGGTCAGGCCGGAGGGAGACTCCTCCGTCGCGCCCACCACCCCCAGCAGCCGCTTCCAGATGGCGGTGGCGGCAGCCCCGGCCAGCTGTTGGCCCGCAACGATCCGGCACAGGGACCGAAAGGCCTCGTCTGCCTTTTCGTTTGCGGTTGCCTTGGCTTGGGTCCACCCACCTTGCGTCGTTCCGGCCAGGCGGCGAAGATACACGCCCGGGGGGCCGTGTTCCCGGATCAGGGGAGCGAGGATCCCGTCGGACGCCGCGGAGCAGTGGGCCAGGGCGTCCACCAGGCACCAGCCGCCGCCGCCCCCGTCGATGGTGGTGTTGGCAGTGGTGGTCTGCAAGCTTCGGGTGGCGCCACCGGGATGAGCCGCCCAAGCCTTCTCGATCGCGGAACGGACCATCTCCCGGATCTCGTCGCGGGTAAGCGCAGCACCGGGAGTTGGAGGAGGAAGCCCGGAAGCACCGGCATCGGCTGCTGGTGCTGCAGCAGCAGCAGAAGAAGAAGATTTTCCGCCTTTGCGGGTGGTTCTCGCGGCGGATCGAGATCCGGGTGCGGGTTCCTTTCGTTTTCGCTTCCGGGGCAAAGACGGGGGCGTCACGATAGCTAAGATCGGAGCCGATCGGGGAGGCGATCCGGGATCTTGCTTCCCGGTGGTCCTTCCCCGGGAGGCCCGAACCGGCCTCCCGTTGCTTCTTCGAGCAGCACCTGCCGCCGCTGCTGCCGCTGCGGAAGCCCGGGTGAGTCTCGCCATGGTTGCTCTCGGATCTGGTGTGGGTTTGGCGGCTCTGGTGCGAATGCGATTGCAAATTCGAACCAATTGGAATCGGTCTCTTTTTTGAATGGCTCGATTGATGGATCGAGTGTCGAGTGGATGCTGTGTTGTGCAGTTATTGTTATGGGAAAAGAATCTACGGATTTCATGCAGTACGGTAGGTTCGTACTAGCAAGTACTAAGTGTGTTTTGTTCTTGGCACGATGTTTGTGTCCAGCGGTTCGCAGACTCGCCGGTTTCATCGCGCCACTCCTACCACGATAGTACCCACAATAGCATCGTATCGTACCTTTCATAGTATGTATCCATGAATCCCGATCGGGACTTATTTTGTATACCGTATGAGTTGCGGAATCACACTACATTAATCGCACTGCAAAGGCATCTCGAACGAGAACGTGACCGTCACCCGCCGAAAGACATCACGACCGAAACATTGGATACAGAAGTATCAGTAGTAAGCCAAAGAACCAAGACTCTCTTGTAGAGAGCAGCGAATTTGTGGCTAATTTGCGGGCACAGTACGCCAACAATAGCGATCCGACTAAAACTAACATCAGACAAAGGAACAATCGAGACACCGCGACAACTACATCTTCGGTCGCTTGCCGTCCTATAATTCCTTGAACTACGCCGAATCGAAAACGTATGGAATTGTGATTTAAAAAGAATTTTATAGTATAGTAGTACAATAGATCAATTTTCCATTCCTGTAGCGCGACAGGTCGCCGCTACTCATGGCATAGCAGAGATCCGGTCCCTTGTTCGGCACACGCGGGAGTGTCTGTAGCTTTCGGCACCGGTGGGGCTCTCGTCACAACAAAACAAAACAAAACAAAGCGATCCGAAGCTCGCTGCGACGAACATTCCGGTTGGCCCGCTCGCACAGCTCTAGCGAGAGCGATCAACACTCTACATGCCCCGGAGGTCGGTCTGCTCCTCGGCCCCGTCGTACAGCGTCTTGGCCACCTCGACGGCCTCCTCGTCCTTTCCGGCCATGCGGAGCTCCCGTCGGACCTGGGTCTTGTACTCGTATTCCTCCATCTTCTTGGGGTTTCGGCGGCGCTCGATAATTTCCTTCTGGAGGCGTTCCTGCTCAGCGATCTCCGCCTTCTTCTTGCGCTCGCGCTCCTCCTTGGCTTCCTTGCTGAACATGTCGAAGAGGCCCATCGACAGGGCAGAAGAAGACGACGAGGACGACGTCGACAGGGCACACGACGGGGTGGAAACGGGGGCAAAGGCGGAGGATTCTCGGCCGGAGAGAACGGCGACGACGACGAGGGCGACGAGGAATTTGAGCGAGAAGTTTGACATCTTGGCGGTTTCTTGTTGGACAATGGTTTCGATTGAGGGAATTGGTAGCGTAGTTGGGGGTTTGAGCTTGCTTTGCGTTTTTGGATTGTGGAAATTGAAGGGGATGGGTCGTTCTCGTCGGAGCTTTCGCATTCCTCTACGTTAGTAGCTGTAAACGGGTGACAGCTACGAGCTATTTCTTTCGTGTCATTCGTGTTGCGTGGTTTTTCCATCAAAACACAAACAACGACGTCAAGCGGCGACGCGACAGCTGCGGAGGTACAGTTTGCCTGCTGAGCTAGGACCGTGTGACTCAGCTGGCCAGTCGTGTACGGTACAAATGATTTTTGATTTTCAGCTCCACGTCTGGGAAGTGATTCATTGGTGCGGTAGATGGCAAGACGTTGGTGAAACAAGGCAAAGTCGAACGAGTTCCTCGATGATGTTTTGCTATCGGGTGAACGTGCCAGTACAACAGGGTAGAAAAAACAGAACACCGAAGAAGTCCACTCGTCACCACTCGGACCAATCACGCCAATATTCCAAGAGCATAGTTCTCAAAATTTTAGTTGTACCACTCCAAGAACGATCGCTAAAGAGTATGGAGGTATCCAAATACTCCCAGTATTTTCTGTACAGTAACAATTGTTCGTTGTGTTGTGATGTGTGGTATCTTTTTCAAAACAATACAGAAAAAAATTGTTGTTCCTAGCACACCGTACATTTGGTACCATACGGCATGGCAAGGGCACACACAGCCGCTGTTCGGGTTTCTACCGGTACTATTCTTATCGACACAACGATTGATGGGGAATTCATGCTTGATTGATGGCTTGGTTCCTTCACGGTCTATCGTGCACGCTAGCAGTTCTCGTTTTGTATGCACACCGCTGGATACGAGTACTTGGTACCACACACAGACACAGACACCCCGCTGCTTCCAGACCTTTTGCAGGTCTTTTCCTTTCTCGCGGCTGTCAAACGGAAACCACAATCCAAACGAGAACAACATACTTCCCACAAAGAACGAACAAACAAAGCTTCTCCAATATCCTATCTATCATGCTGCACACCGCCTTCAAGCAAGCCACACGGTAAGTAAAGTCTTGCTCCATTTTGCAAGAGAATGCTTCGGTCAAGCCATGGTTCTTCTCACGAATCTGGCGTGTCCCCGAGGAACAACTCTGGCAATGGCCTTCGATCTGCGGGCACTAGGTACTCTGGCATCGGTGGGATTCGAAGTTTGTTGCTTAATAGATCTAACTGTTGTCCTCTTGTCATGTCGTTCACGGATGTACCCCAACTCCGCCGCCGTGCGTTCGGTTGTACTCCCCCTCCCATTGCCCCGCACACCCACACGCACAACACAACACAACACAACGTTCCAGCCTCGCCCTGCGGAATTCCCGGCACCGGTGGGCCTCGACCACTACCCCCGCCTTTGTCCGGGCCAAGCGGGCCAGCGCCCAGAAGGGGAACTTTGGGAAGACCTGGCTGTCCGATCCCGCGACCTACCCCATCATCGCGGTCATGGGAGGCGCCCTGGCCCTCCTCCTGGGCGTCTCTGGATCTTGCCTCCTGTACAATCCCGACGTCCAGATCAATGCCAACAAGCGCGGCAGCATACTCCGCGAGTAGCCCAGCGATCGAACGAGCGGCCCGGTGCAGCGGGGCGGGAAGCAAAAAGATCGAGGCCTGGCGAGGCGACGCCTTTTCCGATTCGTTCCTTCCCTCGTTCCAAAAACGGTCGATCATAGAACGAATCAATCCCACTGTTTGTAAAGTAATTACGAATTGTTTCTAAAAGGTCGACAGCGTTTACTCTACTGAATAATACTTCTTTGATTTGTTTTGTTTTGGATAGCGCAATACGATGGCACGTTATGTTTAAGGTTGGGTGCATGCCTGGATCGCGAAATCGGTGGCTCTGTTGTCGAAACGATTTGCCGGAAAAGTTTGCTGCGGTTTGGGGAAAAACGATGGATTGTTGTAGGTTGCAATCACCGATCATCTCTTCCTTCCGGGGGCATTCCTATGTCCGAGTTGTCCGATGCGGCCTTGTTCTTTTTCATGGACTGGACTCCCCCGCTAGGGGCCGGCCCGGTTCCCGATCGCGGAGGCCACGGCCCTCGCGTTCCTCGGCAAAGGCGGCGGCGAGACCGGCGACGAGACCGGCGACGAGGACGACGACCGCCTCTCCTCCAGCACGTCCAGGGCGACCCCGACGCACAGGTCCGCCTCGGGGTTCCCCGGGATCCCCTGGGCGCTCCCGCAGTAGACGTCGGGAAGGATCCCGCCTCCCCCGACGTAGGCGCTCGAGACGTGCGAGAGGCTCGGCCGGAGAAACTCGCCAATGGTCAGCTTGAGGCCCCCGCCGTCGGGCATCGGGAAGGTGTGCTGGATCAGGCCCTTGCCAAAGGTGGGGGTCCCGACGACGGACGCCGTCCGGCCGTTGTCCGAGAGGGCGGCGACAAAGAACTCGGCGGACGAGGCCGTCCCCTCGTTGACCAGGAGGACCAGGTCCTTCTGGAGGCTGCGCTGCTCGAGCAGGCGCCTCCGGCTCTCCGAAAACGGGCTCTTGTCCCCCCCCGGCTCGTTCTCCTCCTGCCCACCGTATCCGGCGTAGTAGAGCCGGTGGATCCCCCGCTTGGCGACCTGCTCGTGGATGCTGGCGTACGAGCTGGGGGGGTCCCAGTCGACGACCACCCTGGTTCCGGCCCCCCCGCCCCGAAGCTTCTGGTTGAGGCCGGTGCTGGTGCTCCCGTTGCCGTCTTCCGCGGAAGGGCCCTTGCGCTCGGTCCCGCGGACGGTCCGGAACATGGAGGGGTGCTCCTCCATGACCCTCCGGAGGACGGCCTCCCCCGGCTCCCTCGACAGCAGGTACCCGGGGTAGCGCGGATCGACCACGTAGGACTCCACGTCGACGGGGGTGAAGCCCCCCCTCGCGTTGAGGAGGTAGCAGAGGACCGCGTGGGGGTCCCCGAGGAGGGTCGAGGCCGCCAGCATGGCCTCCTGGAGGACCCCCCCGTAGTTGTTCCGGAGGTCAATGACGTAGGAGCCGGCCCCCCGGTCCTCCAGGTCCCGGACCGCCTCCAGAAAGCCCTCGGTGGAGGACCTCGAGAACCGCGTCAGGCGGATGTAGCCCACCCCCGGGTGTGGGGCTTCGCTCGGGCCAACGTCGTCGGGTTCGCCTTCGCGTTGGCCTTGGCCTTGGCTCGCGCCGGGGGCCCCGTCGAAGATCCCCCCGGGGGCCGAATGGGTCAGGAGCTCGTGGAAGACCACCGCCTCGCTTCCGGGGGCGGAACCCGGGGTTCGGGACCTCTTGCCCGGTGGAAGGCCCTCCGTGGCCCGCGTCGGCAGGCCCACCTTGGTGGACCGGTATCCCACCACGACGTCCCGCTCCCGCGGGCCGCCTCCCGGGCCTTCCGGCGAAACCGACCACGAGGCGTAGACCGGCTTGGCAATGGTCAGGTCCGCCACCCCGAAATACCGGTGGTTCTCGCCGTTGCTTTCGACACCGACACTGTTGTTGTTCTTGCTGTTGTTGTTGTTGCTGCTAACGCGCGGGAGCCCGGTTCCGTACCCCCACTTGGCCGCCAGGCAGCGCTCGACCTCGTCCCTTCCGTAGCCCAGAAAGCTGTCCCCGTCCCCGACGGCCACGATCTTGTCCCCCACCACCAGGCCCGACCGCTCCGCCGGGCTGTTGGGTGCCACGGCTGTCACCACCGGGAGGTTGGCCACCTTGGTGTTGGTCAGGAGCCGGCCGGGGCTGCTCGTTCCCCTGCCGGTGGTCTTGTTCCGGAGGCGCTCCATCGCGAGGGTCTCCTTGAAGGCCGTCTGCTCCGAGTCCCGGTTGTGCCGCTGCTTTGGGGCCGCGGGGGTGGAGGAGGAGGAGGACGACGAGGACGACGACAATGGCGGCGACGAAAGGGAGGAGAAAAGCCCGGCGGAACCCGCTGGGGCCTGCGGCGGCGAAAGAGAGGATTTCGGGACCTCGATGAAGGCCCCCGTTCCCAGAAAGCCGTCGTGTTTCCCCCTGAGCTCGTAAAGGAGCTCCTCCCTCGTCATGTACTTGGAATACGGATCCTTCAGCGAGGCAATCAGGTAGTCGAGGGTCTGCACCGTCCCGTCGCGGGTGTCCAGCCGGAGCGGGCCTCCGCCTGGTTGGTTTGGGTGTTGGTGGTTCCGACGCTTGTCTCCCTGTGGTGGTGTCCCTTGGTCCGCCTCCAGCTCGCGCTTGAGGTCCTTCCACTGCTTGTAGAAATCCGACGGGTTGAACCTGGCGCCGCCGGAATTGTCGTAGAACTGGGTGTTGACCGTCCCCACCGCGTAATCGATGAGCCTGGTGTTGGCACCAACGGCAGCGGAAGCGGCTTCGTCGTTGCTTTCTCTGCTTGGTCCGGCAAACCGCTCGGTGGCAAGGGAAGCAACCCCTGCCTCCCCCGAGGCGTCCGCCGGGAGGACCCCTCCCCCAACCACGGCCCCGGCGAGCCAGAGGGAGGCGGCGACCGAAGCCGCCAGCCAAAGGGTTCGGAACGGCGAGCCCGGGGGGGCCCGCGATCCACCCACGCGGGAGGCGTCTTGCGGTGCTCGGGTTCGTTCTCGTGCTCGTGCTCGTCGGGCCGGCCGCTCTTCGAGAGCCCAAGGGGGCCCGCGGGCCAAAGGAGGGAAAAGGGTCTTCCGGGAGTGGGGTTTCACCCCAAAGGCACGCGCGGTGCCTTCCCGGTTTCCGCCGGGGGCCAGCACCAGGCACAACACCGCGGCGCGTGCGAGCGTGGATTGGATCGCCATGGGTGCGGTGTGGGCGAGGCGATCGGATGGTTTTCGACCCGCTTTTCGTCTCGTTTCGTTTCTTTCGCTTCGGTGGCTAGACAGCGCCCGGCTGTGCTGCGGTTTTCTGTCTGTCTCGGGAAGGCGGCCGGGTGGGGAGTTCCGAAATTATGTATTCGTCTCGTTCTATCTCTCGGCCGGTCTTATTCCTTCATGATGGCCCCGACCGGATGGATCGTCGATCTGCACTGCCGATGCGCCTGTAGCGGAGCAGGGTTTCCTTTTTGGCGTTGCCTGCTGGGTTTTGTGGGAAGCGTCGATCTTTCTGTTTCGGCAACGGTGTCGGCCCTGCTGCAAGTCGGTAGCCGCTCTGTTTTGGCAGGTGTTCGGCACGCCTTTTGCGGCAGCCGGTTCCGTTGGTCTTGGTCGGATCGAATAATTCTTGCTCCCCGGAGTATCGTACTCGGGGTACGAGCACGAGCAGTGAAGGAAGTACGAGTAGTTCTTTCGACTCGCAGCATGCGAACCGAATATCGAATATCGAAAATCGAACGTTGCCAACGTGGTCGGCGTCAACAACCAAGGTTTCTCGGTTTCTTGCGATGCTACCAAACATACCGTATGGTATGTACGTACGGGTACCGTACGGAGCGTTCGGTACGGTACGTACGCAGTACCTAGTACCTACGCGACGCACGCTATGAAAAGCAGCAATGCCGAGGAAGGAATTCTTTGTTGTTTTCGTTCGAATCCGAAAAAAGAACGGAGAAGAACAAAATATGTTCTTCTTTGTCCCGTGCCCGTGCGATGCATCGCAGGCTTCACTGCACTGCACTCGCGCGATGGATTGATTGATTGATTGATTCGTTGGATCGATGCGTCTCACTCGTGACCGAACCAGACCGTGATTGCTCCTGCACGGTCGACGGATGGGCGTTGCGCAGGCAGCCAAGCAAGCAAGTGCGGCAAGCAAGCTAAGCGGTCCGAGACAGACGTCGCACTGGAATGAATCGTAGCGTAGTACTGTACCAAAAAACGAGCATAGCACGAGTACGAGTACGAGTACCGGTTCATGCCCACCCATCACCTACCGGATGCGTTTTTTTTTTCTGCCAAGCAAAGAATTGTGGAGGACGCACGTACCTTACGGTACTGAGTATTCGTACCCGTATCCTGCATCCGTACTGAATCGACAACGATGGTCAGCAGGATTCCGAAACAAATCGCAAGCAAAGGAATCGCCGGTTGCACCAACAACCATCACAACACAACACAACACAACACAACACAACACATCACAGCACCAAACAGCACATTGCTTCGCTTCGCTTCACGGCAGCCACGAACCGAACCAAACCAATTTAAACCAGCAGCAGCGACAAGCACCCACCGCTTTTCAAAGACGCGAGGAAGCGGTCGATCACCGAAACGACACGACACGACACGACACGACACAACACGACACGACACGACACGACACAACACCAAAACCCCCCTTCCAACGAAAGACTCCCCGCGATGAAGCACGGACGCTGCCTCCCCCTCGGCGTCGCCGCGGCGCTCCTCTCCGCGGCCACCACGGTTTCGGTCCTGCGTTTGCTTGCCCCAACGGCCGCCTTTGTTCCCTCCCCGGGCCTGCCCTTCTCGCCCCCCCCCTCTTCTCGCACGAGGGTCCCCGTCGCCTCGGGGCAGGACGAAGAAGTCTCCGCCCGGGAGGCCCTGGAGCGGACCCGCAAGCAGCTGGAGGCGATGCAGGCGGCCCGGAAGCGCGAGCCGAAGGGCGGACCCGGGGGCCCGGACCCCCGCATCGAGAAACAAACCAGGGAGTACCTCTCCTTCCCGGCCAACGCCCTCAAACAGGAACTCAAGGCCAACGGCCTCCCGACGAAGGGCCGCAAGCCCGACCTGGCCCGCCGGCTCGCGGAGTTCGAGTACCTCCGGGACCACCCCGACGAGGTCCTCGGGGACGAGGACGAGGCGGCCGCGGATCGAGGCGAGGCCTCCCAGCGGCCGACCAAGTACCTGGAACCCAGGGGAAGCGAGGCTTCGGGCGTCCTGGAAACCTTTTGCGGCATGGGGCTGTCGGAAGCGGCCGGGGCAGCCCTCGGGAGGGCCGGCTTTGACACCCCCACCCCCATCCAGCGAAAGAGCCTCCGGGCCCTCTCCAAGGGGAACTCGGCGGTCCTCCACGCGGAAACCGGCAGCGGAAAGACCCTCGCCTACCTCCTCCCCATCACCGAGGCCATGTGGAGGGACCAGGAGGAAGACGAGAGCGGAAGCGGCGACGACGAGGACCTCTGGTACGGGATCGTCCTGACCCCGACCCGCGAGCTCGCAGCGCAGGTTGCCGGTGTCGCCTCGGTGCTGGCCCCCCCCGGATCCGTCCGGCTGGTCTCGAGGCCGACGAACCTCCTGTCGGAGGGCCGCTACTGGAAGGAACGCCGCGGGACCCGCGTCGACGACCCGGGCTTTCTCTCGAGCGAGACCGAGCTGCGGGGGAGGGGTTCCCCGCCCCGACTCTTTGTCGGATCCGCAAAGGCCATTATGGGATCCCTCTACGGGGACGGGAAAATGCCGGCCTCCCCCACCCGCAAGCCGGCCGCCAAGGAACTCCTCTCGCGGACCCGCTGGATCGTCATGGACGAGGTCGATCGGCTGCTCAGCGTCAAATCCAAGAAGGGCCTCTCCGCGGCCCAGCGCCAGCAGGTGGCCCGGAAAAACGCCTTTCAGTACGGGGAGACCGCCTCCGGGAAGAAAAGGCCCTCCAAGAACACCGGGCCCCTCCACGAAAAACCCGCCGCGGTCCTGGCCTCGGCGATCGCCCGCAGGACCTTCGGCCGGGCCCAGGTGATCTCCGCCAGCGCCACCGTCGGCCGGGGACTGAAGCGGGAGCTCTCCCGGGTTCTCGGCCTCCCTCCCAAGGAATACCCCAGGGTCATCCGCGGGGACCGGTGGGACAGCCGCTACGAAATCGACGAGGACGGCTACGACATCGACGACGACGACAACGACAACGACAAGGCCCCCCACAAGGCCGGGCAGGGCCACGTCGACCGGGCCGTTACGATCCCTTCGTCCGTCTCCAACTATCTCCTGCCGGTCGAAGCATCGACGGTGGGAAAACTCCTGACCAGCGCCTGCTTTGCCATCAAGAACCTGAACGACTCGGGGAACAAACCGCAGAAGATCCTGGTGGTCCTGACCAAGAACTGCGGGGTCACCACCGCCAACGCGATCGGTGCGCTCAAGCACCTCCGGTGCCAACCGGAACCCCGGTCGCTCCTGGACGTCCTCCAGAACGCCGACGGGAACGACCAGCTGATGGACGTCCACCGGAGGGTGTCGGGGAGCGACGGCGTCGGGGAAGAATCCTCGTACTTTTCCCGGGACCGAGACGACGGCAACGACGACGACGACGACGAAACCTCCTCCTCCCCACAAGGGGGCGAGGGATACGTCATGGTCACGGGCGAGGACACGGTTCGGGGGATGCACCTGGCGGGCCTCGACACGGTGGTCGTCGTCGGCATGGCCAGCGGGCCCGACGAATACATCCACATCGCGGGCCGGACCGGACGGGCCGGGAAAAACGGCAGGGTGATCAACGTTCTGAGCGAGGCCCACACCAGGGCCATCAAGGGATGGGAAAAAATGCTGAGCGTGGGCTTTGAGACGGTGTCGATGGAGGACACGGGGGACCTGGAATAATGCCGGGAAAGGAAGACCTTCGAACGACCGAGAGGGGCCTTGCCGCGATGGAGCGGAGTGGAACGCAACGCAACGCAACGCAACCCAACCGAATCAAAAACCGCTGCAAACGCAGGAGCAACCGTGACGGAACGGGAAGGAATCCGTCCGAGACTGCATCCACAATCCGAGAGAGTGCACGAAGCAGGAAACCAACCAACCCGCGAAAATTTTTTCATGAAACGTAGTAGCAAAACAAAACAAAACAAAACGAGCGAGGGAATTCGTCGAACAGTATATTCCTCGATTGTTGGTAGTTGTCGAAATTCAATGTTCGAAGCGAACATGAGGCCTTTTCAATGTTATTCTCGAAAGTTACCAACTCTTCTTTCGCAAGTCCACGACTGCAAAGACCTCGATTCGTCGTGCCAACTTCCATGTCCGGCACGATACCATTTAGGCTAGTGTCACGTAACTCTCAACCAATTTCTAATATCTTTGTTATTGTGGTACTCATTTGTCGTTTTTGGCATCATCATACAAAACAGACCACAAAAAAGTTCGTCAAAGGATCCTACCGTAGAATGGAGGTGCCATTACCAGAACCATCACGGTACCAACTCTCGATTGCAATGTAGAACGACTCAATGGCGGGCTTATAAAGATTTGGCGCGTAGCAATAATGCGTGCAGTCAGCGTGTTTCGCACAACACTGGTGGGCGCCTTCGTGCCCATCGCTCCGAGTAGCATAGGCATGGCTGTTTTTAGGAAGCCACTGTACACCAGGAGTCTGCTCTACTGCCTGCCTAGAAATTTCATTGAAGTTGTATATTCCAATAGATGTCATGTTGTCTCCAAGCAGTAGATTCTTTTTTACGAGGGAAACATTCAGAGGAACACAAGTAAATGCGGAGGGCATACCTGCTTCAATGAACCTATCATAGGAACCATCTCCACTGGGATTGTCAAAATGTTGGGGCAATGCCTCGGAGAATAGTACCAACGAATCAGGATTCAGAGCGCTGTATTGTGAAAGAGCCATTAGCATTTCAGAATTAGCTTCCTGAAAGTCGGGAACTGTATCATAGTGTACACCCAAACCTGCAATCACAATATCTGGCTTTGTCTCATTTAGTTTGGCAGAGATTGCGCCCGTCCGTGAAATAGGTTTATTGTCCGGACAGCATTTGGCCATCTTCCTCGCATTGGACCTTGGGCACAAATAATTTGGGTATCTTGCGGTTGTAAATTTGGGCGCACTCGGCCATATGGATGACATGTCTAAATATTCAAATGGAAATCCACAAAATCCACGCTTGTCAACTTCGTACCCTGTTCCAGGTGCGGAGTAGAATTTGCTCCAGCTGGATGTATCGTTAGGGAATAGGTTAGGTGACTTGCTGTATGCGTCAAGGAGGACAGCATTCATCCAGTGGTGAAGGACACTGTCACCGACTACAAAAATGTTCTTCCCTTGCAACAAAGATGCTGCCTGTGTCTGGCTTTGTTCCCTAACTGTTTTGCACATGGTATCGTTATGAATCGATATATACTCAATCGAGCCTGTATACGGCGCACAACACCCGAGTTTCCCTGGTGTCACTAATGGAAAAGCCTTGGGGCAATCAAAATCACTAAATGTAGTGAGCTCCCATTTTCTGTCTGTACATTTCTTTAATTCTTCAACCGTATCAGCATTTCTATCATCCCATGTGAACATTCCTCGGATCGAAGAGTATTGCTGTAATTGATTGGTTTGGATGAAATAATTCTTTGCGAAAAGGGAGCAAAGAAGGAATAGTTTGAGCCATTGATTCCTGCTCAAGGAGTGGCCCCCGACGTTAAACTGTTGAAGGCGCATGAGGAGTTGCAATTTTCTGTCTTGTAATTGGGTGATTCGATGGATTTGGTTGGGCGAGGGAGACTCCCAGTTAGTAGAAGTGCGAGAGCCAGCCAGTTGTCATTTGATTCCCTGTCAGTGGAGACAACCGACAAGCACAGTATTCCTATTAGCAGCGAGTTTTTAGATCCTCTCTCAGTTGAGAATCGAAAAGGGTGCGACGACTTGTTCTTGTTTCGCTTTTGTGAGGTACGATTCTGTAACCGTTGAGTAGCATCGAAATTACATGTAACCACTTGCTTGGTTATGTGATATAACCAAGCGCGCGTGGTTACATGGAAATGTTGAGCTGCTCAACGGTTACTAAACTGGTACATAATTTGTTGAGCAAATCGCGCGCACAAACACAAGTTATTTTTTGCTTAAGTACATGCACCACAACCTGGTTACAAACCGCACGGACTGAATTTTGTAACCAGAATTGCAACCAGACTCTTCCTTATAGAGAGGCCCTACTTTTCACGACGATAACACTAGTAGTGTGGTTACAAAAAAACCGGGTCTGGTTACCATAAAAAGCGCACAGGGCACGCCTGTGCGCGCTTGTAACCAGGCGCACGCACCTCAACAGGTACAGTACACACTAAAAAACTGTCTTCACTACTGTAAATGAAAGTAACTGTACACAGTATCTTGTACAAGGAGTACAAGTACTAAAAAAATGTGAGCAGTTCTCAAAAACTCATCTTGATTGCTATTCCAGTACAAACCCGCCCATGTAGAAAACACCGTAGAAATATTGATTTGCAGGGGGAAACAAGCAAAAAATCAAGCAAAACACCAGCAGCAGAGCAGAACGCCGTATCGTATCAGCAACTTGTATCAGTGTCCGCTGTCCTCCGTAGTATCGTATCAGCATCCTCTGTATCAGCGGCTCCTTGGTATTGTATCAGCGTCCTCCGTATCAGCGGCTTGCTCCTCCTCCGTATCATATCAGCGAGCATCCTCTGTATCAGCGAGGGACCGGGGAGGGAAAAGAGCCCATTCCCCTATATCGGAGGAGGCAGTGCTTGTAGTTCATTTGTTTAGTAACCTTGCGCTGCTTGGTTACATGTAAATTTCAATGCTACTCAATCGATTACGTAAATAACTGTGGCATCGCATTGGTCCCACGCCACAAGTATCTTCAACACTAACAACAACAAGCTCTCAAGCTAAAGCTCTCGCGCTTGTTGTTGTTAGTGTTGAAGATACTTGCAGTAACATCACTGAGATCTTAAGTTAAAGCTCTTGATCTCAGTGATGTCACTGTGTGTTAGCTCGAGAGCGCACAGTACAAAAACTCCTCTCGTGATAATAACACGAAGCTCAACAGAGTACACATTCTGGTTACATTTATGGTACACGCACGGACCGTGCGACGCCACAGTTACTCTACATAATTTGGGTGATTCCCGATAATAGAAATGCTAAATCACCGATTTACTGTACCATTTAACGGGAACACCTGCTTCCGAGTCGGCAGTTCACATCCCTAAGTAACTGTTGACAACCGTTGAGTAGCATCGAAATTACATGTAACCACGTGCTTGGTTACTAAACTGTCACACAATTTGTTGAGCAAATCGCGTGCACAAACACTAGTTATTTTTTGCTTAAGTACATGCACCACAACCTGGTTACAAACCATGCCAACTGAATTTTGTAACCAGAATTGTAACCAAACCCTTCCCTATGGAGATCCTTCTTTTCACCACCATAACACTAGTAGTGTGGTTACATTTTTTTTCAGTCTTGTTACAAATCTGGTTACAAGAAACGCACCAGTGCGCTTGTGCGCGCATGTAACCAGGCGCACGCACCTCAACAGGTACAAACTAAAAAACTGTCTTCACTAAATACTCTAGTACGTAGTACTATCAGTACAACTAGTAGACAGTACAGTAATAAAAAAAATGTGAGCAGTTTTCAGTGAAAAACTGATCTTGATTGCTATTCCAGTACAAACTCATGTAGAAAACACCTTAGAAATATTGATTTGCAGGGGGAAACAAGCCAAAAAAAAACAAGCAAAACACCAGCATCCGTATTGTATCAGCGGCTCCTCCGTATCAGCGACTTGCATCAGTGTCCTCCATATTGTATCAGCGGTTTGCACCTCCGTATTGTATCAGCAGTTTGCATCAGCGTCCTACTACATATCGTATCAGCAGTTTGCTCCTCTGTGTTGAATCAGCGGTTTGCTTGCTCCTCCGTATCATATCACCTGCTTGCTCCTCCATGTTGTATCAGTGGCTCCTCCATACTATCGTATTAGTAGCGGACGCCGTATCAGTGAGCATCTTCCGTATCAGCATTCTCCGTATCAGCAAGCGTCCTCCATGTGCAGTAACCGCAACAAGGGTATGGATGCCACTACCAACAAGGCTCAATTCTGTTGGCATAGAAATGCATGGGCAAAAGGGTACATTTTTAAAAAAGGTGTTCATAAGTTTTAAAAAAGAGGAGTCGTCCTGAGGATGCAAGGGGTTCCAAACACATTTTGTGACAAAAAAATTCAGACTGTAAACAGCAGTAAAACCACCTAAAAAACACTTGATACTAGTACTACTACTTCTTGATTCTCAAATATGTCATGATGAGAGATGTGCTTGTGACTTTTGGAAATCAGAGACTGGTGATTTGTCTTTCAGGTACACTTTTTGCTGTGCTGAGGTGAAACTTCCCAATTTCAGACACACATTGAATATAAACTTTTGAGAGTCACATCCCCCTCAAAATTATGGCCCCTCAGGTCAAGAATGTTCATATCAGGACTATTAAGTGGTGGTTGTATTGCAAAAGATATAACTGTATCCAGGGTTCTGGTGTCAAAAGGAATTTATGGGAACATTGGTGGGCATCTGCTGTTCCTTGGATCCAAAAGAGAAAGGGAAGAAAATTTTAGATTGGTTGTAAGGAGACATAGGAAACAATCCACAAGAGTCTTATTGTTTCCTGACAAGAATATTGGCATCTGTAAGAAATGCCACTAAGAAATACAAGTGTTAATGGGGAAGATGGAGTTGCTTAGTGATGTATTCAGAGTTGAAGAAGAAATAGAAATAAAAATGGGATGGTAGAGTTGCTTACTACAAGTGATGTATTCAGAGTTGAGAAAGAAGAGAACTTTGCCATTCTGATCATGCTGGTGCACAAGAAACTCCACATAAATAAGTCCCCTTTCCAAAAAATGATTCATCAGTTAAATTAGGGCAAAAAATTCTGTGATCCAACAAGAAGCAGAAGAAAAGATGGGTGGTCTCCAGAGGGGAGGTATTTGTGTGCTGAACTTATAGAACTGCAAAATAGGTTTAAAGTCTGGTGGCACTGTAGCATTTGCATGTACTTCTGTGTACTCACATCTGGATTGGATTCTAGTGATGAGGACCTTCTTGCTATCACGGATAAAAGTAAAAAGTATTGGGGGGCAAGTTGTTTTTGTGGAAGAACTGAGTGTATTGGTCATATCAGATGAGTCCCTCAATTTGCTGGTCAAATGTCAAAAAATTTCTTGTTTCATTCCCCAAACAAGAATGGCTTAGAGAGCAGCTTCTTACTACTGGAGAAGTTCTATTAGTTATTGGTTCTAATGGGATATAAGTAGTAGGATTAGTAGTATTAGTATTAGTAGGGTCTTTTATTGGTGCTGCTCCTATTCTGTCGACCATCCAATGGTAGAAAGATGTGCGAGGCATCAAAAAGTTGTCCAGCGGCGGCGGCGATCAGGAGGCACGACGCCTTTCGCTTTCGATTCAATAATATGTCCCCCCTCCTTCGTTGTTGCCATAACCATAGTCCTCGTTGTTTTGCGTGCTATAGTAGCCTGTACTATCCTGGTCGTTGTTTTCGATGTTGTCCCCAACGTGGTAATTCTCGTAGTACAAAAAGCGATCGAGCTCTTCCAGGGCCATGCAGGCTTCCGCCGCCTGGACAAGATCGCACGTCTCTTGCTGATAGAGATTCCCACCAACGGCGTTGTTCAGTCCGCTCGAGGCAATTTCTTCGACCTCTTCCCAGGCCAGCTTGGCTTGTGGGCTTTGGTTGCCGAATTGCTGGCTCAACGCGCGGGCCTTGAGCTTGGCATCCCACAGGCCGGGGATCGTGGGTGCCGGCTTCTTGGCGGGCGGGCTGAGCTTGATCGCCTGCAGCTCGGCAGCTACGTCCTTCATCAGCTGCTGGTTGTTCTGGAAGGAAACGGCCGCGTATTGGTTCCGCTGCATGATTTCCATGCTCGCCTGGACCTCCTGGTAGGCCTGGTTGAGTTCTTCCTGGGAGAGCCCTCCCTCTCGGTTCGGCGTGTAGGCTGCGGAATCGTTCGTCGAGGCGTCGAATTCTTCGACAATCTCCCAGGCTACCTTCGCCTGCGGCGAGTGGATCCCGTATCGCTCCGTGGCTTCCATGGCAGCGCGGATGTTCTTGCTGTTGGCAGACAGCGCGGTGTCTTTCGTCTTCAGCGGCGGTCTGGGGTTTGCCACAAAGGCGGAGGACGGGTCCACCACGAGGCCGGCGATTGCGGCAAATCGAAGGGCGATTGCCGGTGAGGTAGAGAACGGCATGGGTAGTGTGTCAATAACTTGTTGCGAGGTGTCCTGTGTCTTCGATGTGGTAGCGGTCTACCGAGCGCACTAGTCTTGGTGATTGTTGCTGGAAGATACTGTACAGCGGTAATGCTCATCGCATCGTCTTCGGTGAAAAAGATACAAAACTTGATTTTTCACAGCACGAAAATTCAAAAAATCACCATGCTTTAGTACGAGTACCATACCCTACGTACTACTGCGTGCCATTCATGGAATCTGATACTTTCAGACCGGTAGGTACGGTACTTGGTACGTAGACACCATACCGTATGGTGTGGTTCATTCCCCCTTGGTCGTTGTTCTCTGTGTCAACCCACCTGGGACGAACGAGTGACGCATGCGAAATGCGAATGAATCCGCGAAGAATGTACTCGTACCAGTACTTATCATACAGTATGGTATGTATGTACTGTATGTACGATACCGTCTGTAGTTATCGAAAATACAATATTTGTTAGGAAGAATTGTTACTCTTCTTTTTCTGCCATGCTACTGCTGACACCAGAAGCATTTTTTGTGTCACTTGTATAGGAATCATACAACAAGAAGCAGTCATCTTCAAGCAGAGCTTTTTGTTCTTCTTCTTCTTGTTCTTTTTGCTGCTGCTCAACAAGAAGAAGAAGAAGAAGAAAATGCTACAGTACACAAGAAGCTTCAATTTTGGTAATAGCACCTGCTGTTGTTTCGATTAGGATCGTTCCAGGAAAAGATCGCTCCAGCACCTTCTGATGCTTGGATGGCATTCATGCTGATAAGGCCGCAGCTACCAAGAGTGTATACTAGTAGCCTTAATGGGGGTACAATTCTTGTAGTATTATGAAGAAGTCAATACAAACATATCTGCCATTCTTCTTCATGTTCAAAAGAGATCCTTTGTGTTTTTGAAATTTGTTTGGAGTTCTTGCTTGAACTTTGTATTGGATCATGCGCATCGCAGAATTCATGGCGTGTCATCGTGTGCTTTCACCTGGTGTTCTGTCCACCATAAATTCGACAGACTCGCTGTTGCACCTCCGAGTTGCTATCTCGTATCGATCGCATCAAAGTCCAAAACTTCTTGTGACTTGTGGTCTTCGGAAAGATTTCGATAGGCCACCATGTTTGCATCTTCGTGGTAGAGGCCCAGATCGAGCCCCACCCGGTAAAAACTCGTGACGGAATACGGATTGATGTCCGCGGAGGTGTGGGCGATCGTGAGTCGGCCCCCACAGAGCCTGTGCAGGGAGGCCTTGGTGACCTCCTGCAAGAGCGCGTACTGCTTGAAATACTCTTTCATCGGTGGTTTGCCGATGGCCTCCCGCTCGAGGTTCTTTTGGCGAACGAGGGCGTCGATGGACTCTTCCATGGCCCGCAGCACGGATTTCTCGCTGCTGCCTTCGCCGCCGCCTTCGTACGGCAACCTTGACAAAATGCCCGCTAGGCGGGAGTAGCTCACTTCCAGCACGACGTTTTCGCGGTCCGCGTTCTGGGAGTGGGTCGGATCGATGTCCTCGTCCAGGCAGACCAGCCCGCGCTTCAATCCGAGGCACTCCGCCACCCTCGGCGTGATGGCCGATATCCCGCGCTCGGTCAGAGGATCCCCCTGGACCACGACCAGGTACGGCCCGTCGCTTTGGCCGCCGCGGGATGCGAAATGCGCCCCGAGGTTCTCGCAGATGTTCCCGGCCACCACGGCCGGGTCACGGGGGTCGTAGTATCCCATGCCCTCGATGACGATCGGGTGGTACCCCGCCAACTCGCGCATCGCACGGTCGCCGTCGTCGGGGCCGCTGGAATCGCCGCCCACCGCGCCGGAGCCACGGGCGGCTCCCAGTTCCGTAGCAGACGCCGCTGCCGAGAACACCGATGGCAGCCTTTGTGGTGGGTTCGTCGAGCGAATAGCAGGACTCGTTGTACCCCTCGTTGTACCCCTCGTTGCCGAAGACATTGCCAGCCACAGGTTTGACACCAGTCGGACGGATCTCATCGCGGTGGCCTTTTTCTTTGGTTCCGCTGCAGTGCCGCAACAAGGAACTGCACGGGGAGTCGCATCATTGTCCCGTTGGGTGCTTCGTCACCACGTTTCATCAAAAAAAAAAAAAGAAAAACAAGAAAAATGTCGACAAATCGAATTTCCACTATTTATTTTAAAACCCTAATTAAGGCACAATCTGTTGAAGGACAGACGTTCACGCGTGTGTCCACCGATTACGAAATACATAAAATACATATCAAATACATATTGGAGAAAAAACCTTCACATCAAAAGTGTGGAGAACCATCAGGGTCCCAAGGGTTTCCCTCGATGGATCTCATACTTTTCAATTAATCTAACCAATAGGGAATAATTTACCTTTAGACATTTCTCTTTCAGGTTTCGTACTTTCAATGACGTAGGCATACATCATCCGTGTATCGAATCAACATTAATTGAAAAGTACCACACTATTCACACTGTAGCTCACGCAAAAGTGCAGTGATAGCTACCGAACTGTCGGTCCAAGGATCGCAAGCGAGTCAGTCCAAGGACTGCACAATCAAGATGGAAGCCGGGGGGGACAAAAGAGCCAGCCGTGGCGAATACACCGAAAAGCAACCGGTGAAACTGGAGGATATTTCCTCACCGAAAGACGATACATGGTCTAACAGACCAAAGCCCAAGATGCAAACAACACATAACATAACACCGAAGAAGAACAATGAACAAAACACAACCGGAAAGAGATTCACGGGACACAACCGTGGAGATCTGGAAGGTATTGTACTCACAGAAGAAGGAGGTTTAACACAGTTTACAGAACTGCAAAAAAGGCTCCGGACCCTAGGAGGATCCAAGTACATGCCCAAGGTGGGAATGTCCATTAAGCTACTCAAACGATTCACCAGGCTCGATTTCATGGTGAAGGAGCCAGACCCGAAGCAATGGACAGCGGATGGAAAGGAAATAGCAGCAGTCAAGACGTGCCTCATGAGGATGTATGATGAGGAAATCAAGATGTCAGCCAAGACATATACGGCCTACACCCAAGACATGGAAAAGCTATACTCTGTTGTCCTGGGACAAGTTGACGAAGGAATGCAGGAAAAGCTCAGAGGATCAAGCCAGTGGGAGGAAATGGAGGAGCTACAATGCCCAGTGCAGCTGCTCAAGTTGCTCAGGGACATATGCTACCAAGGCAATAAGACGAAGATACACCCACTGACAAACGTGATGAGGGCCCTTCGAAAGCTGGTGTGCTCGCGACAGCGACTGAACGATGGGATAACTTACGTACAGTCAATTACACAGCAGTATGAGGTTCTGGAGGCAATTGGGGGAGACCTACTGTGCCCAATTGCAATCAAATATGAACTCGAAAACAATGCGAGCGAGCATGGTGAAATCACGTACAGCCAGTACAAGTTACTAGGGGAAGGAGACGCCACAAAAGCGAACATTGACAGATGTGCAAAACAGCAGATGCTGGCCACACTAATTGTCGAGGGAAGCAGTGAGGACAACAGTATACTCAAGGAGACACTGGCAAATCAGTACACTCTGCAGACAAATGCATACCCAACGACCACAACAGCAGCCCTGGAGATGCTTAACCAGTTCAAAGGAAGTAGGAAAGGAAACGGGAAAGCAGGCAACGGGAACAATAAGAACAGCAAGACCGGCAAGCCGCTGGCGGGAAAAGCACAGCAGGAGGCCACGACGTTTGTTACCACAAGCATGGTGTCAACATCAGAGGATGATGACTCAGTCAATGAGGAGACCAATGAGGTACCACTAACTAGCCATCAACTACTCATGAAGGCAGTTGAGTCCAACGAGGACCTCGGTGACACCGAGGCCAGCTGCTTCTTTCAGCGAGGAGTGGTAACCTCAAATAGGAAGTTTAACACGGATAAGAATGTTAGTACTGTAAGCTACGTACAGGCCAACAGGAAAGGAAACACGAGACAAGAACAGATCATGAAGAAGGAAGCTTACCACTATAGCCCCAACGTGAAACACATGTTCGCACAGCGAAATGGCGACAATGCTGGAGGAGTGAACCAAAACTGGATCCTGCTCGATAGTGAATCGTCCTGCAATTTGATAGCCAACCGAAAGCTGTTAAAGAACATTAGAAGAGCACCAAATGGACAGACGATGCACATTTACTGTAATTCAGGAGTTGCACACACGAGCATGATCGGGGACCTACCAGGTTTTGGTGAGGTGTGGTTCTATGAAGAAGGGATAGCCAATGTACTGTCACTTGCCCTTGTGTCCGACCGATTCCGTGTGACTATGGATACCGACTGCGACAACGCCATACATGTTCACAAACCAGGAGGGGGAACCCGGCGGTTTCACAGATCCAAGTGCAATCTGTACTACTGCGACCTCACCAAAACCAATGGGACTATTCTAACTATCACATCGGTTGAAGGGCAACAAGCTGAGTTCTCAGACCTGGACTGCAGAAGAGCAATCAAGGCGAGGCGACTGCAGGAAATCATGGGATTCCCAACATCAAAGGCCCTGATTCACATGGTGGAGAACAAGCTGGTGAGTAACTGCGGAGTAACACGGCGTGATATATTGAACGCGGAGGTCATCTACGGAAAGCACACAAGCATAGTAAAAGGGAAGACCGTGAGAAGACAAGGAAGCCACATCCGTGAGGACATCTCACCAGTGCCACCGGATGTACTAAGCCGATATGGAAATGTGATGATTCACGTGGATGTTATGACAGTGAATGGGATACAGTTCTTCCACTCAATCTCGTGACATCTCCGTTTCCGCACAGCCAGGGCAATAACCAATGTGAGGCAGGAAACACTATTGGACTGTGTGAGGAGCCTAATTGGACAGTACAGAAGCAGGGGATTCACTGTGACACAGGTCAGCAGTGACAACCAGTTTGACTGTCTTCGGGATGACCTACTGCAACTATCGCCGCCAGTAGAGATACACTGTGTGGCAGCTGGCCAACATGAGCCAACGATTGAACGTAGCAATCGGACTCTAAAGGAGACCGTCCGATGTTATGTGAATCACCTGCCTTTCAAAAAGCTACCAAAGAGGTGCCTGATCGAGCTAATATATGCAGCAGTCTACTGGTTAAACTGTCGGACAACAGGAGTGCACAGGACCAAGTCAATTAGGGAGATAATGACAGGAGTGTGCCTGGATGCAGCCCAAGATTGCAAATTCCAATTCATGGAACCAATCCTCGCTCACGTAGATGATACAGACAACACAATGAAAGCACGGGCAGTTGACGCGTTATATCTGAGACCGACAGGATCGATCACCGGGGGCTTTTTTGCTTTCGACATAAACAGCTGTAAGCAAATTCACCGAAAGTCCGCTACACCAACACCACTTACAAAGACAATCCTCAAACAGGTGACTCAAATAGCCGCAGCACAGAAGATGCCGCGTGGCGTATGCTTTGGCGATGGGGCCGGCAACACAACCATCCTGGACCTGGATGATAGTCCAAATGTAGATGATGATGATGCATCAGATGCAACATACAAGCAAGATAGTTCCGACGAGGCGTCCGTGGAGACCGAGCTTAGTGGACACATAGATGCAGACGTGCGTGATGATATGGATGAATTAGAAGAAACAGGCGAGCTGGGCGAATCAGTCGAGGCCAGCACCGAGGAGCGTATGGATGACCAAGATGCAGAGCCAGCGGGCAATCAGGAGGATGGAGACACCGTAGGAACCCCTGACGCAGTCCAACTGGACGAGAATAAGGGGGAGAATGAGGGAGAACCAGAGGCAGATGAGGAGGAAGAAGTGGAACCAGTTAGCTCACGTCTACGTAAGCATATTACCAAGTCACACAACAAGTATGGTGAAGAGGAAGGTTTTGAAAGTACTATTCATACAAGATCTTTCTTCACTGCTGGATACGTACATGCTGTCCAGCAGCTCAGCGAACAGCACACCTGTGTAATGATGGTGGCAAACGCGATAGCCAACTATAACAATCTTGACGCAACACACGCAACCAAGCAGTATGGTGTGAAAGAAGGAATTCGGCGGTTTGGGGAGGAAGGAGTGGCCGCAGTGCTGAAGGAGCTCAAGCAGTTGCATGACAGAGGAGTGGTGTCGGCACTGGACCCAAAATATATCACACAGGAGATGGTGGCCCAGGCACTACCATACCTCATGTTCCTTAAAAGGAAACGGGATACCTCAATCAAGGGGAGGGGATGTGCTGACGGGAGACGACAGCGTGAGTACATTCGAAAAGAGGATGCAGCATCCCCAACCGTGTCCCTGTATGCGCTGGTACTTTCGTGTGTAATCGACGCAATTGAATGCAGGGATGTGGCCACAGTGGACATACCAGGAGCATTCCTTCAAACACCCATGCCGGAAGGAGAAAATGTGTACATTAGGCTTGATGGGACCATGGCCGAGCTCCTTTGCCGTGTGAACCCAGCGATGTATCGCAAGTACCTGGTAAATAAGAATGGGAAGAAGACTCTGTTCACCAAGGCTGAGAAGGCAATATACGGGACCCTACGAGCAGCACTTCTGTTCTGGGAGAAACTGTATGGACAGCTTGAGGAGTGGGGTTTTGATTTGAACCCGTATGACCCATGCACTGTGAACAAGATGATAAACAACAAGCAATGCACCATCGTGTGGCATGTGGATGACCTCAAAATCTCTCATGAGGACCCAGACGTCGTAACAGCAATCATAGGCCAGTTAAATCAAGAGTTTGGTAAGGAGTCACCCCTCACGGAGACGCGAGGCAAGATACATGATTACGTGGGGATGACAATTGACTACTCAGAGCGTGGCAAGGTGAAATTCAGCATGTTTGATTATCTCGAAGAGATACTCCAAAACTTACCTGAGAGCCTCAAGGGGGTGGCGGCAACGCCAGCAGCAGATCACCTATTCAAGGTGGACGAGGAATCACCAAAACTGGGAACCGACATGGCAGATAAGTTTCACCACTATGTGGCAAAGCTCTTGTTTATGGCAAAAAGGACAAGACCAGACATACAGACGGCGGTGGCCTTCCTGTGCACCCGGGTGTCCGCACCCAACGAGGATGATTGGAGGAAGCTGCGTCGAGTGATGAGCTACCTAACGGGAACACCGTACATCCCACTCGTCTTAGGGTGGGATGGCAGTGGGAATGTATATTGGCATGTGGATGCAGCATTTGCTGTACACAATGACATGCGGAGCCACTCAGGGGGCGTCATGACGTTCGGGACAGGAGCGGCCATCACAACATGCACCAAGCAGAAGCTGAATACAAAGAGCTCGACGGAGGCTGAAGTGGTGGGGGTCGATGACAACATGACCTTCATCCTGTGGGCAAGGTATTTTTTGCAGGCACAGAGACAGCACATGACCGACAACATTGCGGACAGTCGAGACGACCAATCAACCACGCCGAGCCTGGGGAACACCAACGTGATCTACCAGGACAATGAGAGCGCTATAAGGCTTGAAAACAACGGACAGAGATCCAGCACAAAGAGGACCAAGCACATTAACATTCGATATTTCTTTGTGACGGACAGGATTAAGAAAGGAGAAGTGACCGTGGAGTACTGCCCGACGGAGGACATCATCGCCGACTATTTCACCAAGCCCCTGCAAGGAAGCAAATTCCGACGCTTTCGGAACACTATCCAGGGTATAACCGAAGCCGAGTGCATGAACTATAAGCAGGCGTACTATGCGGCTAAGGAGGGATCTAGCACAGCAAATGAATGAGTTCAACAGTAGCAAAGAGCTGGTCCCCTGGAGGAGTGTAGGATTAGTAGGGGAGTTAGCGTACGGCTCAGTAGTGGACACAGGAATACGAATAACGAGTACAATCAATGAGGCACTGCAGTCTTGTGGTAGGAACCGTACGCAGCAGGGCGTAGAACGAGGTTCCCGCACAAAACCGCAGTGAGGAGTGTGTTGAAGGACAGACGTTCACGCGTGTGTCCACCGATTACGAAATACATAAAATACATATCAAATACATATTGGAGAAAAAACCTTCACATCAAAAGTGTGGAGAACCATCAGGGTCCCAAGGGTTTCCCTCGATGGATCTCATACTTTTCAATTAATCTAACCAATAGGGAATAATTTACCTTTAGACATTTCTCTTTCAGGTTTCGTACTTTCAATGACGTAGGCATACATCATCCGTGTATCGAATCAACAAATCGGTCGACCGGTACCGGTACTCATGACATCGACAAAGGCTCTATCGAAAAGTTCAGCAGGTGGAAGAGCGTGAAATGCAGACCCTGATACCACGCTGGTAACAATTCGAGGCATTGGTGGTCAAACGCAATTCTAGATACGCGCAAACACCCCGGTTTCTGGCATTCGGTACTTGTATCGAAAAGAGTCCACCAAGAAAATGTTGAGGCCCTGGAGAAAACGACGAAAGAACTGGGGTGCAAAAGAAGGGTGGAGGTGATTGATTGATTGATTAAATAGTGTCTAGTAAAGAAAGATAGCTCGGTAATTTGCTTGTTTGTTGACTAGCTAGTGTCTCCACCGATTCTCGTGCCCGTCCTCCGCCTGCGGCTCTAGAAATCCACGAAAGGACACCGAGAGGTTCCGGTCCTTTTGGTGGTGTCCGGGCCGCAACAAAAAGCAACCCGTGCTTCCGTCGTCCGCTTCCGTCGCCGCGGCGTCCGGCTGTTCCAGGAGCCACCGGGCACCGTATCCCCTTTCCTGGCGGATTTCTAGCACCCAGGACGACGAGGTGTCCTTGTTCACCCCACCAAAATTGTGGCAGTTGATCCAGACGCAGTCGTCCATGAGCTCGGCGAGCAGGTCGGAGGTTTCGCGGTTTTGCCGGGCAACGCTCCCCCTGGCGACGCCGAAAAACGAGGCTTCCGTCAGCGCGCGGTGGGCGTGCTTCGACCGGGCCCGTGCCGCCACCGTCAGGAGGGCCTGCTTCGCCCTCGGCCTGGAGACGCCGTTGTGGGCGCGACGGGACGGAGGCGATGCGGTGTTCGCGTTTGCGTTCCCGGGTTTCGGTTTCTTCTCGTGCAGGACCGCGGCCGCTCTCTGCAGCTCGGCGCGGGAGGGGAGCAAGAGGCGGCGCTCGATAGGGAGGACCGAGCCGGCGGTGTCCCGGAGGCCCAGCAACCGCAGGATCCCGCGGTCGCCGGCCACCGAGAGCCACGATCGAACCCCTTGGATGGATTGCGGCGGGGTTGTGCCCTCTTCCGGGTGGCCGCTGCTGCTGCTGCTGGGGTTGTAGCCCATTGTGGATTCGCCGAACCCGTGCTCTTCGAATCCCAGTTGTTCGGCCGGAATCGCGATCCTTTGGTTCGCGAGAACCCCGCCGCCATTGGTACTCGTTTCACGGAACCGAAGATACCGCTGGTTCCATTCAAACAATCGAATCCCTACTTCCTTGTATCGAGGTTTCTCGGGAATGCCTCGGACAATCCATCGAGGGAGTTTTTCGCCAACGTCGTTGCTGTCTTTTTCGTGGGTGGAGGATGGCAACGAAGCATTTTTGAAGCCGGCTTCGTCTTCCAGAAAAAGGAGATCCTTTATCTCTTTCGAGTGGCGCGTGTTCGAAAAATCAAGTTTCAGAGACCACCAGACAGCCGAGATCCATCTCTCGACGGCATCCCTGTTGTTATCTTCCCGGGAGCAAGAATAAATTTCCGAATCGGAAGCCCTGGCGTCCATGGACGGGAAATTGCTACACCCTCGATTGTGAATGCTTTTCCAGATGTTGGTGCTTGTTGCCCATGGAACTGCCGCAAAGAAGCAGCAGCACCACTGCCGCATGTCGTGAAACGAACAAAAGAACGACAGCCTTACGGTATTCCGGCGCCACACACTGTGTATTCGCTTCTGCGGTAGCCTATGCTTCGCGAACCAGAAACCAACTGTGCAGTTTTCATGTGCACGACATCGTCAGGGCACCATCCACAATGCTAACACTCTTGCATTTTATGGCACTCTTGTACTACCGAACCTACTCGTGTTTGTTTAGTTTCCGTCCGCTACCGGGTAACAGCGGCATCCAAGTGTTGGTTCGATGTTTACGGTGATCGAATGGCTACTGTACGCGCTCACCTGTAGTAAGGTAAGAAAAGACCTACCGTACGGTATGACAGCTCTTCGCGTCTATCTCCGCATCGACCCCAAATAAGGAGTCAGCTACTCCATCTGTTTCTGCTTCCAGAAAACACAGTGAGAAAGTACCAAGTAAATCACGAGTAGATAGTGAGTGAAACGTCGTGGCTCTCCCTTGGACCTTATCAGTACGGTTCGTACCGTACGGTACTGTAATTAAAGAAAAAGAGAGAACCAAGTCGAGATCGGGGCCCAAAATGGTTCTGTCAGATTGTTATGCATAAGTAAAACAGTAAAGAGGCATATTGACATATTGATGCTTCACTTATTGTTCTTCCTGATTACTGTACCATTGAAATAAGAAATGAGACTCGTTTTTTAAAAAGGGAACACGTGCTCTTTACAGTCATAATTATCATGTAGTACACTACGTGTTTATCATAATGAGTGCGCTTATTGGGCTCATAATCTGAAAATGTACGTCTACTCTTCAGCGTCATATTAACTTTTTCCCGTCTCCGCCCAAATCGGAAAAGAACACTTTCCAATTCAAAAATGGTATTGATAAATTGATGTAACAATATTTTGTCGTGCATAATACTCCCAGATACATTTTATAATATTCCCAGATACATTTCGTATTTAATGTTACTCAACTTTATAATGTAATTGGAATAAAACATTAAATGTTGTCAAAATGTCAAAACGAAATAAAATACTGCATGTTTCCTTTTTTATTTAAGATTTTACAATGGCATGCAATCAAAGTTCGCAACAAGCCGACAAACTTAAACGAGTTTTGAATCGTAGAACCAGATGACGTCATTGCCATAATGACGTGTAATGATTACCCAATCGTAATACAGTAGTACGTTAAATCGAAAATATAATTCCATCGTTTATTATGTCGATTTCCAATACATAAATCGTATTGATAACTTAATGTAACAATGAGATACATTTCGTATTTAATATTCCCATCATTCACAAATTCAATATTCCCATCATTCACAAAAGGGTAATTTATGTCAGGCCTAATCCCGACTGAATAGTGAATAATTCACTCTTTTTTGTAAACACGTACTACTTAGTAATTATGTGACGCTAAAGAGCATACTTACATTTTGCAAGGCTTTTGTCGGTTCGGGTACGAGTAGTGGTACTCTTAAAGGACGAGAAACATTATTGATACTTGCAGCAAACGTTAACTGAGAGAAAACACCGACAGCGAAACAGATAGAGCGCCTGCTGTTGCATCCCGAACAACTCTGCAAATATATCAACAGTGTTATTGGAAAATGTCGAGTGACCAGCAATCAACGCAACCGTACACATTCGACGGGGAGGAGGAGCACCCGTATTTTTCTCTTTACTCCTCGATATTGACGACATCTTATCCTTCTTCGTTGCCTGTGCTACCGCTGTCGTCCAATCCTATTCGTTATGATCTGGACAGTGACGATAGTGACAGCGGTCACGGCGGTGAAACCAATGCCGAGGAAGCGAATGATCCTCCGAGCCCAAAGCGGCGAAGAACGAGTATATCCGATTCAGTTGCGAGCTTTTCTTCTCTAAATCAGGAGGAAGCTACAAGAGCCGACGAATCGGTCTCGGGCCCCCACCTAGTTCCATCGTTGCCGGTAGATACGGATACGGTGAAAGAGAATGAACCGCGAAGCCTAGTTCCATCGTTGCCGGTACATACAGATACGGTGAAAGAGAATGAACCGCGAARCCTAGTTCCATCGTTGCCGGTACATACAGATACGGTGAAAGAGAATGAACCGCGAAACCTAGTTCCATCGTTGCCGGTACATACAGATACGGTGAAAGAGAATGAACCGCGAAACCTAGTTCCATCGTTGCCGGTACATACAGATACGGTGAAAGAGAATGAACCGCGAAACCTAGTTCCATCGTTGCCGGTACATACAGATACGGTGAAAGAGAATGAACCGCGAAACAAATATCTAGAAAAGTTCAATCAATGCTGGGAGAAAAACTACGCAGTATACGCAGAGGCGTTCCGAAGAAACGGCCATACCCGCATAACATCTTCAAGGAGACATCGAAATTGGCTTTTGACGCAGAACGCTAATTACAACGAGCGAAAGCTTTCGGACTATCGCATTCGGAAACTGGAAGCGATAGGCTTCGTTTGGCAGGGCAAGAGAAAGACCTGGAATGAGATCATGTCCGCCCCGGCGGCCGTCGCGAAGTGGGAACAACTCTTCGCCCGCCTAATCCACTACAAGATCCTACACGGTGGCAGCACCATGGTTTCCAAATCTTACACCAAGGACCCCATGCTCGCGAGCTGGGTCTCGGAGCAGCGCGAGCACTACAAGGGACCGAAGATGCTAGAAAACCGTGAGAAGCGCCTCGACATGGTCGGCTTTAAGTGGAGGGAGAACGAGAATGACAATGCCCCGCCGTTCGATCCGATGCCCCCTTTTGACGAGATGCTTGGTAGACTAGCCTCATACATCACTAAGCACGGGAGCCAAACCCCCGTGCCCAAGTACTACGAGGAGGACGTGGCTCTGGGGGTGTGGGTCCAGACCCAACGCATTGCCAAGAAAGTGAATAAGGTCCCGGAAGAGAATATTACCCTCTTGAATCAGTTGAACTTTTTGTGCGGTCAAAAAAAGACATAATTTATTTTTTCTGTTCTCAATCAATGTTCTTGGACCTATGATAAGAGTTTACTCTGATAACTTCGAATTTTCTCGGTCTTCTTTCTGTGTGACATTGTTCTTCGTCATTATCTTGACATCTTTGAGGGATTCTTTACAAATGCACAAAGAACAAAGAAATACTGCTACTGTAGTACTTCAAACATCAACCTATCACTAACAGTGTCAGAAACTATAATCATCAGTAACTTCTTATCTGATCTGAAATGAAATATATGAAAACTGATTTGTACCACTCATTCAATCATAGCATACCAGTAGAAGCAGATAGTATTCAAGATATCATTGATGTCTACTGACCAATAAAATTACACAGATTCTGCATTCATTCACTTTGCTGTATCCATTCAGCAGTCATAAAAATTATTAGTAGTAGAGATTTTGTTAAAGTCTTCCTATTCATACAGTACCTATTTTTGCAGACTTGAATGTACAACTAATGACTCCATGATTTGATTTTGATTTTTCAACATCTATATTGTCATCAATCATGACAGGACTAGTGCCAACATACAATGTAAGCATTGGATTTATCCTTTTGGAAGGTTTGGTTCGACCTGCAACAATGTCAGCATCTGATGTGGCAGTTAGTAAGCAGTATTTCTAAAAATCTGACATTTCTCTGTATTTCCTTGTTTTGTCAATCTGCAGTTTTAGGTTTGAGCATGCCTTAATTACAACAAGAATGTGATCTGGTAATGTGTCATTGGTATCATTTTTAAATGCGTCATTTTTAGAAACTCAGAAAATAAGCCATCATTTATTGCACACATGTCTGCATTACTTTATCTTTTTAAATAAGCAACAATGTCTTCTGGAAGTTTGTCCCAAGAAGGCTTTACAACAATTCTTGAAATGATAATTTGAACATGCTTTTATTTCAAGCTATCTGTTCTTCAATCATCAAGAAAGCTCCCCCCAGACTAAATCATATTGGAACCTGTGGTTTGTTGTTTTCAGTTCAAGAAATATTTTGGTTTTTCTTTCCAAATATACTAGAAATCTTTTGTAGACATCTAGAGGAGGGAGTCTCCTCTCACTGAATAATTGTTTTTGATTTTCTGGTACCACCACCTGCAGTTTTTGCTGATAGAAAACAGATGAACTGCTCTTCTTCATTGTTGTTCATGGTTGCCTTGAGATCTTGTATGTATTACTTGTTGAAGCAATTGCCAATCTCCCACTAGAGCTCCTCCTTTTTTTAATCAATCAGATGAATGCACATGTTTTTTAAGTGTCAAAATGAAAGCAGCAATAATCTAGCTATGCATTTTCCTGGTCCCTATCATTTTGAAAATTCAACTTTGAATAGTAGTACTAGAAGTAGTTGAGTCTAATATTTTCCAAACTTCTAGTACATGGTGATGTATTTTTGACAGCTTCAGTATTACTACTACTAGTACAAATATCATAACATGTGCTCGCTCACAACAGCACTAATAAAGTGGTTCCCATCATCAATGTAATGATGCCATCATCAACACAGTACAAAATCCATTGGGATAGTTTTGAGTTTTCAAATATTTGAGCGACAGAACAAATTCTGCTTCTTTCTCACCAAAAGGCAAATCATGCTGAAAATGTTGAGGAGAAACACTCAGTAGAGCTCTATAGAATAATCTACAAAAGGAGCATTCAATGTGCTGCTACTATCTCCACTAGTACCAATAGTATCAAACTGATTGCTTGTCAATACTTCTTCTGCCCTTTATTGACTACTACTACTAATAGTAGTAGTAGTAATAATTGAAAGCAACCACTGGAAAGCATCACTTAAGATATATTGGTCTTTGAAACTACCAGTACTAGTGCATACTCCAAAAAGAGAAAACAATACTTTAAACAATTCCTCCACCATACCTTACTTCTACATCTTTCCTACTGCTCCACTCTTGCTCCTCCATGAGTACTATCCCTCCTCACACCAGTAGCTACTAGTACAGCTACTAGTAAAACTACCACTACTAGCAACCTTCTTGATGTGCCTCTGCTAGTTCCTCACAACACTAAATAATTTTCATTTTTAAAAATAATGGAAAACTCACATGTTTCTTTTGCTAGTCTTAAGCTTTTCCTCCCCGTCAACACTTCTGTTTTGATGGGGGTTAAATGAGGATGGCTTGTGGTGACAGAATTTATCAAGTATTGGGAACGGGATTCTCCTTCATCATATATAAATACTAACCAGTTTGATTTTGGAATGACCAATCATACTGACAATGACTCATCATGAATAGTATAGTATCGTATATCATCGGCGCCCAAATCTACAAACTAGTCATAGATTTTGGGCTATCTTTTTCCTAGTAAAATATGTTGAGCGCGCCTACTGACATAAGGAAATTTTGTCCGACTACACCATTTTTTCTGTGGAATTTTTGTCTTGATGTCAGTTGACGTGCTGGAAATACCTAAAATAACATCCAATGTTGCACCAATCAGTGTACTTCGTAATAAACAACAAAATAGTTTGCTTATTCCTTTGCTCATTTGGTTGCTTGTACAGATGCTGATTTGGTTGCTGATATTGTTGCTTTGTTGTTGGTTGCTGATTTGGTTGCTGATTCTGTTGCTTTGTTGTTGGTTGCTGATTTGGTTGCTGATTTGGCTGCTTTCTTGTTGTTGGTTGCTGATACTGTTGCTGATTTGGTTGCTGGTTCTCCTCATAGTCAGATGAATCAAAGGAAAAGCTTTGATCCATGTAAAAAGGATGTCCCCACTCATCAAAGGCAAATTCTTTGGCACATTTAGTGCAAGGATTGTAGTTGTTTTCTCTTGTCATTACTGTCCTATAGATCTCAAAGAACCACTCATGTTTATCGCCAACACTCATCATTGGAGGCAACAGTGGCTTTGAAAATCTAGCTATCTGATAATGATGTAAATTGTGTGCTCGTAGAAAAGTGAGTCGATGCTCTTATCGAGGGTCAAAAAACTATGAAACTAAAAAACGATCAGAATCAAGATTGAGTGATGTGTGAAGCGAATGAGTCAAGTCAGTCACACAAGTGAATCAAATGAGTCAAGTCACTCGTGCTGATCTATAGGATTGAGTGAGTCATGAATGTAGAGTGTGTATGAATCATAAGTATGTGTCATATGTATGTGTCGTAGATATGAATCATACTCATGATCTGATATCCTACGGACAGCATTGCCTTTGCAAGATCCTTTTTTTCAAGCAAGTCTTCATTTAGTTCTTTGTTGTGTGGTCGTGTTGGCTTCTGGTTCCATTCCCAATCCTCCACCCAGCTCCAGTCCTGATTCATTACAAACTGTACTTGAGGGGATAGATTGTTGATTATTTCTGGTGGAGGGGGGGGGGCTCTGGAGCTTTGGGGGGAGTTGCTAAGGTATCCATAACTATTTGAATCTTCCATCCAAGGCCTGATTGATTTGCTGTTCCTTTATAGCTTTCAGTGCCTTCTGGGTCTGTTGCTGGATGCCACTTCATCTCCATGTTGCCCTTTATGATTGCAAGCTTGGGCTGTGGCATCCGGTGCTTGAAAGTACAAGCCTTGGGACCTTTGTACACAAGGATTCTGGCTTGATGCCTTGCCTTCTTTGTTTTTGCTCTCCTTCTGTTTAATTTTACCCTCTGCTTTGGATGACAACCAAACAAGATTGCTGTGCATCGTGGGGGAACCGAGTCTGGACAGCTGTCAGCATATGAATATACATCCTTATGGAGGTCTTCAGAAAGGAAATCTGATGTTATGAGTTGCTCAGTATGCTTGTTTTGCTGCTGCTGCTACTAGCTTTTTTCATTATCCTTCATTTTTAGCAGGGGTGCTTTCTGTCACAGGATGAATTGTTCTCGATTGATTTAAGGAGAAGGAAATGGGATCAATGCATTGTGTTAAAGCACAGATAAATGTATCTGACACAGTTCCTTCTGATTAACTGGAAAAAGAACAAATGAATCAAGGAGAGGTATTGCCAAGTACTGAGTTCACACGATTAGTGGCCGAATTTTGTGAGCTAAAATAGCAGTTGAGGTGCCAAGTGTCTGTTGTGGGACTGAAATCCGTTGATTCTAATGAGTCTTTACACAATAAAAAGATGGCCAGTTATCCACACACCATATAACTGTTTCAGTCTTGAACTGACAGTTGGGGCTGTAACTTTGACCACAACAGACAGATGAAGACAAGAAGCACATGGTTACAGAGAGAATTAAAAGAGCTTTCTAATGCCGTGGGGAAGTAGGGGATCAGAAAAGTATTGATGAATATATGTGTATGTTTATTTAGCATTCCTAATGTACAAATGACACAGCTGGAATAACTCTGCCAATGCTATACAATAGTATTGTAGTTGTCCTATTTGCTTTTAGCATGTTGTTGTAGAGGCAGTCCATGTTGGTGTCAGCATTGCTGCTCCCCAACTTCTTTTCAGTGGAGAGGAACTGGTGGCAGTATTTCTTATAGGACTCAAAAAGGTCCAAGAAGTTTCTGGTTGGTGCATTGTACCTGACATAGCCATAGCCAAAGCTGTCTTAATTTATTAGTATTCTTGCTATGTTCTTTCTTTTCATGTTGGAACAACTGGTGATCACATCAATGACTGAATTTTTTAGTCTGACTACTAGCTACTAGTATAAGGATTTAGGTTGACCTATCACAAAATTTCGGATTCATTTGGGTCTTGGGAGCAATTTGGTTCAGTTAAATCTTCTTGGAATGACCAGTCACAAATATGACTAAGATTTTGACTCTTGGTGCTAGGGACAATTTGGTTCTCTTGAATATTGGAATGGCTGCTGTTGATTGTCACAATAATGACTGAATGTTTTACTGCTGTCCATAGGATATCATATCGCAAACCCCAACCCCAACCAGCAAAACTATATGAGGACAATGACTCTACAATCAACATTGTTAATTCAGGGGTCCCTACAGAATGATCAAGACACATCTATGTACCCTTCTTTGCATGAAATAACGTGTACTGAAGAATTGTTTTAGTAGCAGTAGTAGTACTACATCACAGTAGTATTTAGATTGTATCTAAATTAGGATTGTGAGACTAAACTAATGAATAAACTGAATTGCTCAAGGGATTCACCACTACATGATTCCTTGTGTTGTGCTGATCCTTTTGCTTGTAATCGATAGTGGAAAAGTACATCCGAGCAGTACTGATTGAGTGTGGATTCAGTTCCTTAGTTCTTGGATGGTGTAGGTCTTAGTACTGATTGTACTGAGCGACTTTAGAACAGAACTCCCAATTGAATAGTTCTGTTCTGAATTCTACTTCTCCTTCTGAGAACTAGCAAAGAGGAAGTATATCTATACATGTGTATATAGTGACGCTTTGATTTTGTGTAGTATATATATAGTATATAGTATAGTATCTAATACTTGTACTTGTACACTTGTAGTACTGTCATTATCATTATTTAGTGTTGGGTTGCTGTCATCATTTGCAATCATTGTTCCCTGTTGATGGCTCAGTCTTGTGTGCCTCTTTTTGGTTACTACTAGCCWGTTGGAAGAAGCTGTGTGCTGGTCTTGTTATTCCATCTGTTTGAGTTTTCTCCCCTTCCAGCATGGTTAATGAATGCTTTTCATTCATTTCTTTCCCATGTTAGCACTGGTGGTGAAGGTGTCATGTTTTATTTCTTCTCCTGTTTTGCTTATTATATAGTAGCACTGCATGTTGGTTTTCTTTGTGTTGTAGTAAGAATAGTAGCCACTGCTTGGTCCTCCTGTATTTTTCTTCTATTGCTGCAGCTTGCAAGGAGGAAGTTGTTGTTTCTTGTCCTCATTCCCCTTGCTGGTCACCATGTCAGCTTTATCTTTCTTTTCCTTGTTATTGGTGCTCATGGTTCTTATTGCTCGTTGTCCTGCTGACTGCTGGTCTGCTTCTTTACTAATGCATACTATTCTGTCATAGTAGTTTATGTTGTATATCCTCCAGTCCATAGTATTTCCCTCACTAGCTCTCACTGTGGGACTGACTAGAAGCTTGGTGAATTTAGTAGTTAACTCAATCACATATCTAAATTAAAGAATATGGGGATTAGGTTTAAGATGTTGTTAGTTTTGATGGATGGTTGATGTCTCATTGGTCTAGTAGTAGCTGGTATATGATGAATCTTACTAACCTTATCCTACAACTTGGATGCCATCCCCAACAGTGCCTTCGTCAGTTCCTGAGGCCCTTACACTGGGCCCTCTGGAAAACATGGGGGGGCATGATTTTGTGGGTTATTTTTCACCAAATATAACCCACAATCCAAAAACATGGGTTCCTGGGTTTACCCACAAAAAAACCACGAAATAACCTGTTGTTATATAAAATTTTAATACCCTAATATAAATAATAAAAGTGTTTTTACATGTTTGTACTACTACTACTACTACACCAGTCCTGTATAGTAACGTGCCTTATTAAGAATTAACATGACGTGCTAGTACTAAATATGACCAAAAATGACTTTATATATATTGCGAATGTTGATATACTAAATCGAATTGAAATATTTATGTAAGAATAAAGTACATATTAATTCTTATCCATTGGAAAAAAATGTGATCAAAACTGATCACAAAAATTGTGATAAACAAATTCATCAATTTTGTGATCATTTCACGATCACATTTTTTTGTGATCAAAACTGATCACATAATGGGTCATTCCCGTTAGTCTAGATGGTCTACTTTTTGGAAGACAGACAGACAAAAAATAGACCATCTAGTCTTAATTTTTAGACTTTCTGTCAACGCTCCAGTCCCGGCCTTACAGAAAATCTAAATCTAGACTGGAATCCAAGAATGAAAATCCGTCGCATGACTCATTATTATCCTATGATAAAAATTCGTTGCGTGCGCGCTTTTCTAGTTTTAGTTTTGAATCCAGTCTTAGTCATTTCTGTTGAGATTCCGGATTCCATTAAAGTAGAAGAGGGCCTAAAGAACTGTCCATTGGGACCCTGTTTTTGATGATTCCCGTTAAACTAAAAAGTCTAAACTAGACCATTTAGAATTTTAGACCATCTAGACTATCGGGAATGACCCAATGAATCACATAATAAAAGAAGGGGACCGGAGAATTTAAATTTTTCCAAAAACATCGAAATCGACATGGTTCCTGGTCTCACATCCTTTCTCAAATGCATGCTCAGACGGTATTCCCGAGTGCTTCCGCCCTCTTTTTCACATCCAAATACAGCAGCGGCACAGAATAAAATAACAGGAATACTTCGTACTACTCGTACCCAACAGCAACACGGCTTCTGTTCGATAGTATCCATTCGTTCCTATTCCCACCGCCTGAACATCCAGATGCCAATCCTCACAAAGCGAACACGAAGAGGTGTCTTTGCGGTTACCAATGCGATGGTGCTACTAGTAGCCGTGGTGGCACAGGCCATTGTCGCTGTAGGTGGGTCTTCTGTGATGAAGCGAACGCATTCTCATTCCAGCGCAGATCTCCACGTGACGACGATAAAATCCTCTTCCTCGGCCCGAAGCACTGGAGACAGACGGAGTCGCAGCAACAGCAATCAGAATGGAAAGGGCAATAGATCCCCAAGGGCATCAGTTGTAAACCAGGGCCAGATGGTTTCTAGGGTAGATAAGAAGGAGGCAGAGCCCCTATCGGAGGGCGTCTACACAGACAAGCCCGTTCTGAGGGGAAAATTCCACAAGTGGGGGGCCATCGTGTACCCCCCGCTTCTGGGGGTCCCCCTGCACCTCCGGGCCCTCGCCGCAGCAGCTACGACTCCGCCGTCCGCCGCCACTTCCACGGAGGCCTTCCGGCCGGATCTGATCCGCGCCAGCATCCTCTTCAGCTTTGCCGTCGAGTCCATCATGGTTGTCTCGGCAACCCTCCACCGGTACCCCTGGAAGACCCAGAGGTGGCACCAGATCGCCCGCAAGGCCGACTTCACGGCCATCTTTGTCGGCATTGCCTCCCTCTATTCCTCTATGGGCCACCTGCTGATGGGCCACCACCCGACCTACAGCGGCGTCATCGAGCCGCTCGTCTGGGCCTGCGCGCTGGTAGGATCGCTGACCAAGTGGTTTGTCCCGGACGCGCCGCAGTGGGTCAACGCGAGCGTCTTTCTCGTCCAGGGGTGGGCGGTCTTTCCGTGTATCCCGATGCTGGTGTCATCCTCGTCGACCTGCGAGGCCATTGGGTTGGTCGGGGGCGGCATCTTTGTGACCCTCGGGGCGATCGCCTACAGCCTGCAGTGGCCAAGGAACACGGCCAACAAGGCACAGAGGGAGATTGTATTCGGTCCGCACGAAGTCTTTCACGTAGGCACCCTCTTTATGGTCGCTTCCTTTTGGTTCACCATGTGGAACAAGATCTCCTCGTCGGTGACGGGATCGGTCTAGGCCAATGCCCAAACCTTAAGGCATAAATTGTACAAACGCGAGCGGCAATTCACCAGAAACAAGAAAGTGATGTGTGTGAGCCCCCTTGATGGAGAAATTTGAGAATGCCTCCTGCGAAAAGAAAGAGTAACAAAATTGTCTCCTTTCAAACAAAATGAACAATGCACTACTAGACAAAAAAAATGATACATATAACCACGTAAAATAGATACAGGCGTGTTTTGTTTTGTGTCCGTAGAGATATCTCGGAAAAGTGTGATTTGAATCGACGGTACACTATCTATGAAAAGTCCCAATCAAACGAACAACCAATTCTCAAGGAGCATCCAATCTATGATTTCGTTCCGGATATCTTTGCACTCACGGCATATTTTTTTGGATTTTTTTATGATTCCATATGGTGTTGGATACCTGTGAAGCTCAATCAAAAAGAAATGAAATGCAAGGATCACATGATTTTTTTGAAAACATGATCGAGTTCTTGAACTTCGCAGTTGTAGTTTGTACATACAGAGGTGATTGCAGAACCAAAAAATTGAATTATAGTGATATATGTTGAATAAAGCCTTTTGGTCTAGGTCTGATATTCTCCCCCCATTGGCTGATGCCACCTCTTTTCCGCGTTTTTATTCTCTTTTTCAATCAAATCTGTCTTTCTCTACAGAAACGAATCAATTCGAATGTACGGATTCGATTGTATCATACCAAATCAAACCAGATTCAATTTAATTCGATTCGATTCGATTCGATTCAAAAATTCATACCATTTCAATTTAAAAGCGCCGATTACTCGGTTGGCTCTAGGATGAAACTGGGGGTCGATCGGGCGATTTCCAGTTCTTCCTCGTTCATATCGGCATCGATGCTGGCAAACAAAGGCGTCGACAGGTACCGCTCCCCCGTGTCGGGGAGCATGCAAACGATTGTCGACCCCTCTGCGGCGTTCTTGGCCGTTTCCAGGGCGGCGTACACGGTGGCCCCCCCAGAAATTCCCGTAAGGATTCCCTCCTCGCAGGCCAGCTTCTGGGCGGTGGCAACCGCAGCGCCATCGGGAATAGCCACGTAGTCATCCATGAGCTTGGTTTCCAGGTTGAGCCCCTGCTCCAACACCAAGGGGATGAAATCCGGCGTCCAACCCTGCACCGGGTGGGCCGCAAAGGCCGGGTGGGACCCGTCGGGAGATCCATCCGCCTTGCGCTCGGTGGGGATCCCCGAGTCGACCAGGGCTGCCGCCGCGGGTTCGGCCAGGACAATCTTGGTGTCCGGCGAGTTGGCCTTGAGGTACTTGCCTGTTCCGTGGAAGGTTCCACCGGTTCCGTACCCCGTAACCCAGTAGTCGAGTCCCTTGTCGATGCACTTTAGGTCGTTGAGGATCTCCGGCCCGGTAGTGGCCTCGTGGAACTTCCAGTTGGCCTCCGTCTCGAACTGGTGGCAGAGGAACCAGCCGTGCTTCTCCGCAAGCTCTGCGGCCTTCTCCACCATGCCGGTTCCCTTTCCGGCCTTGGGGGTGACAATGACCTTGGCGCCGAGCATGCGCATGAGCTTGCGGCGTTCCACGCTGAAGGGCTCCGCCATGGTAATCACGCACTTGTAGCCCCGCTGAGCGCACATCATGGCTACGGCGATTCCCGTGTTCCCGGAGGTTGCCTCGATGACCGTGTCCCCGGGCTTGAGCTTGCCTTCCTTCTCTGCCGTCTCGATGATGGAAAGAGCCAGACGGTCCTTGACGGAGGAAAGGGGGTTGGCGAATTCGGCCTTGGCATAGACGGTCACACCAGGGGTCCCGGTCATGGCATCGCTGAGCTTGACCATGGGGGTGTTGCCCACCATTTCGGAAATGTTTTCGAGGGGGGCACCGTAGCCTTCTCCGCGGGCCTTGGCGGCGAGGGGTCCTCGTGTTCTCGCTGCGTCTGGGACGCCGAGAAAGGCGCTGGAGGTGGCGGCTTGGGCGATGAGGATTGCGGTTGCGTGGAAGAGCTTCATTGTCGTTTCTGTTCTTTTGGCTGGGGTGGATGGAATGGGGTTTTTGCCAGACTGTGTCGGGGACGTCTACTTAATGGTTTTGAGAACTTGAAGTGTTTTTTGGCTGCGCAAAATACTTGCAATAAAGAATGAGAACCGCGGAGTTTGGGGGACTAGAACGGTAGCACGTTGACAATTAGGAGCATGCGATGCTGCAGCGATGAGTGTTCTCGGATCTCGAAAGCTGCAAGGCTACCGTATGGTAAAAGTAAACGTACGGTTCGTGAGAAACAATTCGTGAGAAACAATTCGTGGTAGAGCAGTAAAGAAGATTGTACAAAGATATCCTAGAAAAAGGATCTTCGTGTCATGTTATCATGATTACAGTATCATGATACCATACTCTACATACATATCGCTAATATCTACCGTAGGTTAGTTGGTTAGGCATGGTCATAACCCTTGGAGAAGCATTAGATGTTGCAGTAGGCCTGAGGAAGGGTACGAGTACCAATATGTACAGAGCAAAGTGGTGGTAGTGAGAATTGTGATTCATTTGCTGTGTCTGGGGTTTGGTGTAGATCATATAAAATGGCATGATACTATGTACAGTACCTACAATAAGTATGTATGAGTCCCACCTAACGAAACATACCCAGCAGGCGCAGAAAGCCGGAGAATAGAACGGAACTTCAATGAAACGATCCTCCTTCTTCTTTCCCTCGTTCTTCCCATCGGTGTATGCTGGTCGATCATTGGACAGAACACCAGGCAGCTTTTCTTTTTAAATTTCTACGGTAGTCTTTTACAGTACACCACGAGCGGTAGGAAGACTACGGGAAGTCAACTCAGCTGTACGGTGGCAGGCAACAAGAACCAATACAATAAGGCGAAGAACAAAGACGCCAATCCTTGTGCCAATGGATAAAAAAGCAACCGAAATCCGCCGGGAAGAATTCAGTTCGTACTGTACCGTAGGATTGGTATCTTATCCTGCGGCACCGTACGGTTGCTGACCAAATCAATCATTTCAGTCAAACGTTTTCCATTCTTGTACTACCGCTCGGTGAATCAGACCCGATAGAATACATTACACAAGACGTCACAACATCGTCTGAACACTAATAGTAATCATGGTAAGGTCCTGTCACTTGCTGTAGCTGTTTGGTTTACCTTCGGTTTCCCACATGGACGAAGGTAGCGGTCAACGTTGATAATCGAATTCTCGGAGCTCGATCCGATGAAATCCGATTCCATTCTACGGATGCATTGCAAAGCAATCTGCCGCAACTACTTCGCGATAGGGGAGGTGGTAGTGAATATTTCTTCGATTGGCGGTGGAAGATTAGGTTGCTGTTGTCGATATACCAGGACAGATTGGGCATATCTTGCTCGGTTGGACAATGAACACCACTAGCTAGTGATTAGGCTCTGGGATTCCAACGGTCGAAAATGATTCTATCGGTCAATTTACAGTGTTCACGGGCCGTTGCGTAAATTGCAATTGGACCAGTTGCGGTGTAGGGCAACACGTCGTTCCTTGTGTCACTTCCTGGGAGGAACCTAGTTCGAATGGTACTATTTTTCAAACAGCACATCTACAAGAGACTGGACTGTCACAGACTACGCCGACTTTAAGAAATCAATAACCTTAAATGCATGGCACGAACACGAACGGACCGGATGCGTCAGTCATCGAAGAATAGCCTCGTGAGGGTTATCCAGAGCCGTTGGAATTCCCATCGTTAATTCTATACAATTGCCATTTTCCAGTCTTGCGCTAATCGCATTCTCGTTTTTGCTGTTCTGTTTTCGATTTTCCGGATACATTCGCTTTTTTCCATTGAATACCAAAAAAATCGACCAACAGGAAGACGACGAACCTGTCGATAAGATGGCCGACATTCGCAAGAGCTGCGTCCCAAACTGCCCCAAGCCATTGGCCAATTACGAGGCTTGCAAGAACCGTATCAAGAACAAACCGGGGGCATCTTGTGAGATTTGGTATTACGAACTGCACCACTGCGTCGATAAGTGTGTAGCGCCCAAGATTTTCGCCGCCACGAAAGAATAGATTGCATATGCAAATATAATTTGTGTTTGTACATAATACAATAGATCGACGATAATGTTATGATCAATGGCATTCCATGGGTTTGGATTTGATTTTGATTTTCAGGGTGATGATTGCATCGGTAATGCACGGATGTCTTTCTTCTCGTACTCGAACAATAAAGATTGATATCCAAAGAGTTATGGTATCGAAATGACGATGGAACAATGGCATGTTGAACTGTGGTTCGATTTGTACTCGTTGTCTTGGAATGAAACAATGCAATTATCCTAGCAGTTGTGAATTAAACGACTCGTTAATTTATTCGGAGTAGAAAATAGAAAATCAGAGGGCGACTCTTGGGTAATGTCTCTGGAGTATGACTTGGAGTGTTTTCGATGGAATACGAACCTATTTCTTTTTGTCGTCGTATCACTGTAAGAATTGAAACCAACGGTTATCAGTGCTGTTATTGCAACTCTATAGTATGATCTACAACCATTTGCAGTTACATTTCGCGAGAAGAAGGTGCGATTAAATCGATCGGTTCGAGTGCCTATCTACTTCTTTGCGGATGAGAACGGAGCGGCAACAACCGAGCGATGCTCTAGGCTAGTCAAAGAGAATTGTTTGTGACTCGATGAAGTTCATTCTCTCGATCCGTCGTTTTGCCACTCGGCACACGATTCGATGCGAGAAATCGACCGGAACGGACTTCTTAGCCACCGAGGGATGATTTTCCTCTGGCGCTGCTGTTTTCTCGGCAACTCTGTGGCGTTCTGAAAATACGGACACCATGCAAGCGGAAGTCAGCGCAGACAATCCATGTTTGGTATGCTTTGCAAACAATTCCTGCCGTCGCGATCCAAATCGAGTTGGTGTCGCAGCATGCCGCCCTCGTTCGCACCGAGCTCTATTCAAACAACTGTTACGTCAATATGCTGTCTGGAATTTCAATTCTACGAATGGTTGGAAATGATACATCACTATTGGCCACGGTAAAGCCTTTGCCAATGCGATGCATTTTAGCGATGAACAAAAGTTGTTGAAGCGTGGTTGTTATGATTATGAGGTGTTGTCTGTGGTTGTGATCACGGTTGGAGGTCACGATTTGTGGTGCAGGCCCTCCCACTGCTCGACCGTCATGGACTTCCCCGTCTGCACCCTCAGCCACCTGCCGTGCAACTCGGCGCCGTCGCACTTCTCCACTGCGTCTTTCGAGGCCTTGGGGCTGGCAAAGTAGACCCCGCAGTACCCCTTGCTCCGGCCCGAGTCCTCGAACCTCGGGAAGACAATGGACTTGACGGGGTGGCCCGCGGTCGCTTCCATGAATTTCCGAACGTCGTGCTCGGTCGTGTCGTAGTTGAGGCCAAAGACCCGGACCGAGATGGGCTGTTTTTCCTTGCGGGGACGTTTCGCTTGGGTCCCGTCGTCGCCGCCGTCGTTCCCACCGGCAGCCGCCCGCTGGCGTTTCTGTTTCTTCTCGAGGGCCTTTTTCCGGAGCTCGGGGTCGTGCTTGTAGGGGCAGGCGTCCCCCTTGCGGCACTTGCCCTTGGTTTTCCAGTTGATGCAGTCCTTCTGGGACTGCGGAACGACGGGGACGCACCGTTCCCCGCCACCGGCGGTCGCGTCGGGCTCGAAATCGTGCGAGAAGGGGCAGTCGTCGCCCTTGGGACACCGGCCCTTCTTTTTGTACACAAAGCACTTGCCTTTTTGTTTCCGCTTCAGCTGCTTGCGTTCATCGGGGCCGAGGTCGCTCTCCTGGGGTTTGCAGCCCCCCTCCCCGGCGTGCCGGAACTTGCACCCGTCGCCGTAGGGACACCGGAAGAGACTCCACAGGTAGCAAACGTCCCGGCCCACGGGAACGCAGGAAGCCCCGTCCCCCCCGTCTGGCGGTGCCTCCCCCGTGTCGTCGGAGAGCGCGACGTACGGCCGCAGATACATGGTGTGCAGCTTCTTGGAGGTAGACTTCCTCCCGCCCCGAACGGTCCCGAGCTTCAGCGCCGAGTCCCGGAGTTCCGCGGTCTTGAACGAGACAAAGCCGAAACCCCGGTGCTCCTTTTCCGGGTCCTTTTCGTTGCGTTGCCTCTCTTCCCGGAGCTCCTCGTTGCTCGGCCGGCCCTGGGTTCTTTGCTGGTTGTCGTGGTTGTCTCCGCTGCCGTCCTCGTCGTGGGCGTAGATCAGCTCCACGATTTCGACGACGTCGTCTCCGCCGTCCGTTCCGAGATTCTCGGCGAGGATTCTCTTGATGGTCTTTTCTTTGAACCTCCCGGGAACGCGACCAATGTAGATCTTAAATTCTTCCTTTTCCTCTCCGTCCGGCGATCCCGGTTCCGCAGAATTCGATGCTTGCTCCTCGCTGGTGCGTTCAGTCATGTTGCTGCGCTCGGAGCACGAGTGTTAGCTTCGTCGTTCGGTCGCTGGAAAAGAATGGTTTCGGTGCTCGGGTCTGTGCGCGAACGATGTGATGAGGTGTGCCTTGCCTCCGGAATCGCTCGTGGTCGCTCTCTTTTCGCCGTTTTCTTTCGGAAATCCGGATTCATTCGACCTTTCTGTTTCGACGACGACAACGATAGTTGTCGTTCCCAGCCCGATAACGAGGTATTTAGGAAGACACGTACGGCACAGTACGAAACGCAAGATTTTCTTTCGGGGGCCGAACAGAAATCATGAATGGTGGTCCGTGGGAAAATCTTTGAAGTACGTCCGTCGTCCGGGATATGCCGAACTGACTTTCCAATGGTTCTACTATTCTACTACCGGCACAGTAAAATCTTCCGCACCTACCGTACATTGAAACACCGAAGCAAGAGCAGCATCCGACCGGTCGAAACGTCTTGTCCTTTTCCTAGATAACCACATACTAGTGGTGCACAGGTTAAGAAAGTAGTAGCAGCAGCATTAGTTTTAGTCGCAGGAGCAGCAGGTTGAGATTTCTATTTCCTCGAGCAACATTGTGCGGAAGTAGTAGTTGTGCTACCAGTAGCACCTCTGCAGACGTTTAGTTGCTTCCTAATCTATGAAAAAAGTGATGTTCGAATGCGGCAAAATCGTGGAGAGAGCAAGCTGATGACTAGTAATTCTGTATTACTTGTTTTCAACTAGAGAGATACACCATTCGGTTTGAATTATATTTTGAGAAAAGCAATCCAAGCTCGGAACATTCAGCAGCGTGTCTTGGTAGTCGATTGGATCCTTATTCCCAAGACGACTCGTCTTGCTTGGAAAACCTCCATACCTGGTGCCCCTCGATCATCGCGCTCTTGTTTGCCGCCGCGGGAGCCCCGACCTCGTGAGAAACCTGGATCAGCTCGGTGGCGGCGCCCCCGTCGCCGTCTTGAACAACGAGCGACAAACTCGACGTCATGACCACCATCCCGGTCTCTTTGCTGACCTCGTTGACCAGGACCGTATCGGGGCCGAGTTCGGTGATTATCGTGTAAATGGGTCCGTCTCCGGCGGTCGATTCGAGGCGCATCGACGAGCGTTGGAGCGATCCCCGCGATCCCCTGTTGGTGTGATTGGGCGATGTAAGGAAAAAACAGACAAACAAAACATCGAACCGAGAGGTGAGTGAACCATGCGCATTGCATTGGATCTTCCAAAGATCCACACAGAGAGCAGCGTGCTGTTGTTCCACGAAACCGGTACCACTATCCATCATACGGTAATTCCAATAAAAACTGAATCTACACGGTTGTAACGGGGTCTAATCCGCTTCAGACTGGTGCCAGTATATTTGTATTCCTTTGGATAAGATCGGTTTCGGTTTGGTTTGGATTGGATTCTTTCGAATCATCGAAACCATGCCGTTGCTTCTTATGCTCCCCTGCAATTTTGTTCCAAACGGTTCGAAATGATTTGCATCCATTGCTATATCCATCATACGGTAATTCCAATAAAAACTGAATCTACACGATTGTAACGGGGTCTAATCCGCTTCAGACTGGTGCCAGTATATTTGTATTCCTTTGGATAAGATTGCATTGGATTGGATCCATCGAACGCTCGGTCGAAAAGAAGGGAGGGAGACACTTGTTCATGGACAACGCCGGCTGCGGCGCGTGCACATTCTGTTGGTCTCGCGATTCGTTGTTTCGTTCGGATCATGGATTGGTGGTCGCGGCACGTACCTCATTTGTATGTCCCGGCGTTTCCCGTTGGGGAACACGATAAAGCTGTTCATTTCGACGATATCGTTATCGTCGGAAGGGCCGGGAAGGTCGAACCGGATTCCCCCGGTCAGTTCGAAGGACGCCGGCTTGAGATCCTCGCTGACGTAGCGACAGGACCCTTCCCAGTTGCAGCCCGCAATCTTTTTCAGGACGGGAAAGGCCTCCTGTGAATCGGTGGAGGCGCGGAGGCGTGTCGTTTGGGCGGCACCACCGCGGAAGGGAGGCCGCCGAGCCACGGAACGGGCGGTGAACCCGAGCGATTCGTTCGCATTACTGAAAAGAACCACGCACAGCAGGAAGCGCATCGTGCGGATCCATGTAATAAATACCATGGTCGTCATTGTCCCGCTCCTTCTCTCGAGCGAGCACGTGATTGGTCAAGACATTTTGATTCAGTTGGTGTCTACTGTTGATGTCGCCATAAATTATTTTATGGAGAGCTCTTGATGCTTAGGAGACTGAGTTTGCTGCACCGTCGCAAACGAACGCATATCGAATGGATGGACAGAGAAAGATCATACAGATCGAAAATCAAGGCAAATCTTCGTGTCATCCATGACATCTGTTCGTGATTGAAATATTCTCAGTCCCAAAAAATGAATGGATATCGTCGCTTTCGACACTTCCTACTCGGCGTTCAGTACAAGTACCGTGCTACTGCTAGCGGTGATTATTATTACTGCTAGTAGGTGTTGACCAAAAGTGAATAATTAAGTACTACCTCCGTTCCAAAATACTGGTACACTTTGCACCTCTTGGGTTGGAATAAGCTCAATTTTTGGGCAATTGAAATGCTTATTTTTTCATTAAACAGATCTATTGCAGTGGTATACACTTGTGTTAATTGCAATAAGTTTATAGCATTGGTGCACTCTTTATAGCTATTCAAAGAGGCCCTATTTTGGCATATAAATGTGATTTTACCGTCAGTTGGGTTCTACTGGTCTTTTATAGACGGGACCGGTTTATTTGAAAAGCCCAGACTGAGAGCTTTTACATGATGTACTTATCGTACTCATTGAGAATGTTCCTGTGCAGTCATTGTTGGTCAAAAGAGAACCCAAATATTGCTCGGGCGCATGCAGTTTTTTTTCAATTTTGAGCCAGAGAACCGATGCGAACAGAAAAAAAAGTGCTTTGCGCATGGTGAAAAAATGCTCCCCGTGTTATTTTCACGTGATAATTTTCACTCTTGATTCACTCACACCTCCCAATTTCCTCTTTTTGACTCCTTTCTGTCACTTCGCCGCTCTTTTCCATTCAACTGACTAAGACCAGCTTCTTCCTTCTTTGCACCTCATGTGACTCATCGACGTTGAGCCTACGCGCCTACACTACTACTACGTGCCTCCACAGCTCACGTGCCTTCACAGCTCACGCGCCTCCACAGTTCCCGTCTCCGTTGCGCCAACAAGAATGACTCGCGTCTCCGTTACTTCCACTGATAGGGGATCCATCGACCGGTCCGCGCCTCCGTTCATTCCACTAAGAGGGGGGGCATTGACTCGCCTCGCGTCTCCCGCCTCTGTTCGGGCCTCCGTTCATTCCACTAAGAGGGGGGAAGCAATCCATTGGTGATCCAGCCACAACGACTGTTCCTCCTCCTCGGCTCGCGTCTCCGTTGCTCCGTTGCTTCCACTGAGAGGGGATCCATCGACTCGCCGGCGCTTCCACTAAGAGGGGATCCATCGACTCGCCGGCTCCTCCCGCCTCCGTTGCTTCCACTAAGAGGGGGGAAGCATCTCCGTTGAGCCAACGCGTCACCGTTGCTTCCACTAAGAGGGGTGAAGACCGACTCGCGTCTCCGTTGCTCCCACTAAGAGGGGGGAAACGACGACAACGACAATCAACCTGCTATGATCTCTTTGTTGCTGCTTGTTGTGCTTCTTTTTTCGATACTTTCATCCACTCACTTTATTGAATGCTGCTCTTTTCTAAAGCAAACACACACCAAGATGGCTACAGGAACGGACGCAATGGCTACAGGAACGGACGCAATAGATCTTGCAATGGATCTCCTTCAACCAACTGAGCTGCTACCTGCTCCTGCGCCTGCGGCTGTTACTCCTCCCCCAAAGAGTCGTGAGTTGACTAACAATCAAAGACAAGCAATTCTACACAGACTGCTTCCGCATCAGAAACAGAACGGCAAACTTGCTAAGGGAGCCTACAAGAATGCTGCTGTTGCATTCAAAGTTTCCCCTAGGACTTGTGCAAAAATTTGGAAACGATACAAGGAAACTCAAGATGATGATACATGCCCAGCTGGTGATGTGTCAAGCAACAAGTCCAACTGTGGTAGGAAGCCAAGGGACTCTGCAGTTCTTCTTGAATCAATCAGGGATATTCCGTACAAGCAAAGAGGAGATCTAAGGACCTTATCCGCGGCAATCAATATTCCAATCACCAGCTTGCACCGTTTTGTTAAACGTGGAGCAATCAAGAGATACAGCTGTACGTTGAAGCCTTTCCTGAAAGAAGCCAACAAGATGGAAAGAATTCGATTTGCTCTGTCTCATATTGATCACAACGGTGTCTTTGATCCAATGTATGACAAGGTTCATGTTGAAGAGAAATGGTTCTTCATGAAGGAAGTTACAAGCAACACTTATCTACTTGATGACGAGCTTGAACCAGTTGGCAAGACACCTTCAAAGCAGCATATCAAGAAGGTGATGTTTTTATGTGCAACGGCGAGGCCCAGATTTGATCATGGTAGAAATGCTTGGTTTGATGGTAAGCTTGGTATTTGGCCTATTGTTGAGTACAGACCAGCACAGAGATCTTCTGTCAACCGACCTCGAGGTACGATTGAACCCCACCCAGTTAACGTCAATGAAGAAGTGTACAGGAAGCTCATGATCGAAAAAGTTCTACCAGCTATTTTCGAGAAGTTCCCCAGAGACAACGGTGTTATTCCAAGTTGTGTTATCCAAGAAGACAATGCAAAACCTCATACACTGAACACCAGAGCAGCTGTGACTGCTGCTGCTCGTGAAAGGAACTGGAATATTGTTGTGAAGCCTCAACCACCTAACAGTCCTGACTTTAATGTTCTTGATTTGGGTTTCTTCAATTCTATTCAGAGCCTTCAGCACAAGAAGTGGTCTTCGAATATGGATACATTGATTGCCAACATGATTGCTGCGTTTGAAGAATCCAAACGTGAGACTCTAAACAAGGTATTTTTGACACTACAGTGTGCAATGGAGGAGTCACTTGGTGTTGGTGGTGACAACACTTACAAGATTCCACACCTTGGGAAAGAAAAGCTTACACGCCAAGGGGAGCTTCCAGTATCGATCATTTGCAACCAAGAAAAGATTGCCTTTGCACGTTCAGTACTGGCAGACTTCAACAATAGTAATACCAATACTACTATTGCTGATGCTGGTAGTAACTAATAATAATAGTAATAGTTCTGTTTAATGTGAATGATAAAACTGTACTTGTAGTAGTAATTGTACAGGGTTATGCAAAGTGTACCAGTATTATGGAAAAATTAGAGTAGTGCAAAGTGTACCAGTATTTTGGAACGGAGGTAGTACCATACAAAAAGCCAAAGAAGGAGTTGAACAAAGCAATCAAAAGAAATGAGATCTACCTCCAATATTATGAGGCTACTACTAGTACTACTAATAGGAGTACTAGTAGTGGTGGTAAGGCCCTTTTTACTTTTGCTGCATTGACATTTCTTGCTTGTCAATGAAACCACCACGCAATCACTCGTCTGTTGTTAAATGGCTGGGCGGTTATTCTTATCGTCGATGATGATGATTGAACTTGTGTTCTACTACCACTAGTATGCAAACAACAAAATTTCCATAAAGAAGTATAATCAGGAATTCAAGTTTCTACTTCGTCATCTATAATCTATTATGTTCTTGTTGTTTCTATTGTTTCTATCGCCGTCGCAGTAACTGCAGTTTTCTTCTCTTGTCATTTCATGGCCCGGGCCGGAACAAAGGCCCTGCTTCCTTTCAAAAATGCGGTATAGGCTCCGATCGCCAGCGAGTTGCTCCCATCGCCATCGGACCCGCGGCCGAGGTTTTCTTCCGGCAACGGATCCAACCAGGTCGGGGTGTCTCCATCCCTGCCGTGGTCGTCGTGGTGTTTGGGTGCGCCGCTCCGGCGGTAAAAGTTGTCGCGGAGGTAGTCAACACATTCCCGGGCACCGACACGATAAATGACGCCAATGCTGCTGCTGGTACCGGCCGTCTCTGGTGTAGCGGCAATAACAGAATCATTCGGTGGAGCAATCTCCAGCAGGGGGATCCGAAGCGATTTGCCGCCATCTCTAGCATCATCGGTCGCCCCGTGGTTCCTCGAATCCGAGGCATTCGGCAAGCGGTTGGACGAGCCGTCCGCCACCGGGACGGAACGGTATGGAATCTCCAAGCTACAGAGGACTTCCCGGACCAGCCTCGATTCCGGGCAGCCCTCCGCCTGGTACAGGGTGAGTGCGGGCTGCTGCGGTCGTCCCCCGGGTTCTTCGGGAGACGAGAGCGGGACCGCCGCGGTGGATGAACGCGAGCAGGGAAATCGCATGAGCCCGCACCTCGGCCACGGTCTCAGGTAGGAAGGCCCGGCCAGGGACAGAAAACGGATCGGAAACGGCACCGAGGAGGAATTCACGGTTTGGTCCGGCCGACGCCTGGAATTTCCGCTTCCGCCCCCGCATGGTTCGGATTGCACTACGGATGCCCCGTAGTGCTTCCAGAGATGGCACAAGATGTCATAGCTCTCGGTCAGCACTACCACGCCGTGGTCACTGAATTTGCTGTTCTCTTCGGTAGAAATCTTTGCGTTGGTTCGATCCACCAACAAAGGAAACGTCAAATTGTCCCTGTTGTCGACTTCCTCTTCTTCGTCTTCTTCTATTGTTGACTGTATGATCGCCTCGCTGTTCGCGCTACACAAGTCCGTTTCCCGGCTGCAGCGGTAGCATCTGCTCTTGAACCATTCCATGGCTTCCGGCCGGAACCTCGATTTCGCGCTAAAGGCTCCCTCTCCGAACAGCAGGGTTTCCCTCGGACACGGTCGGATGTGAAGGGTGAGATCCAGTATCGTAGCATATTCTCGAACCAATCGGCACCAGGGGGATCCCTCAAAGTCGTACAGGATCAGCTCATGCCTCGGAGGGGGAGGTTGAGAGGTGGATGCGGACGCGGAAGCGGATGCTAGGGGGATCCTTTTGGCCGCGGCTTGCGCCACGTTGTATCTCAAAACGTGGCTCGCGACTCGTGAGGCCAGCAAATCCAAATTCTGTACTTTGAAAGCCATGGCCGTGTAGCTTTGTAAGCTCTGGTGGCCTGGGATGGGATTGGTTGTGTTACTTGCAGATCCGTGCCAAGCCCAATGCGGAGTTTGTTTGGATTGGCGGGATATTAGGGAAGAAAAGCACAATGAGTACCAGTACCATCATACGTACTGTATCTTGGTTTCATGTCTACTGTATGATATGATCATGCGTTATAACAGTACGATACAGTACGTACGATGACTAGGCCGGGGTCACGACGCGATGCGATGCGTGCGTCGGATCATACAGTAGATACGGTACGTACAGAAATTTTTAAAATCTTGGATACATTAGAAGTACTAATTTTTACTGTGTTTTACGTGCACTATTACCTACCTCGAGGGAAGACATCCTACCCGTACGCTACAGTACCCCAAGTACGAACGCTACGGTACGATAGTACGCACGTACCGTTAAACAATAAATGGAATTTCATTTTTTTGGGTGCAACTGCAGTTCGTCACACGTCCACCTGTTTTGAAACTCTTCATCGATGCCGATTGCGTCTATTGGAGATAGACTGTCCACGAAAGGCAACAAGTTACTGCTGTTTCCGAAAACAAAGGGGAAAACTTCGATTTGCGCTCGCTGTTAGGTTGCATTCAAAGACTGGCGCGTTCGTTTTAGCCTGTGGTTCAGTATTGGACATGAAAGGCACGCGTGATAGGACATTGAATAGCGAACCGAGAAGAAACATTACCAATGGAGACGACAACAATGATAGAGACACTGACAGTACCAACGGGTAAATCAAAGTCGGTCAAGAGAAAGAACAGCACAACCAAGGAGCGACGCCAGAAAAAAATGGGGATTCCCCCCCCCTTTCATTTGATCCAGCAGAGTGAGGAGTCGTTGGGGAACCCTGCTGGCGCCAGCGTCAACGACGTGCTGGAGGGCGTGTCCAATCTCCTTCTCGGAAAGAAAAACATTGTTGTTCTGGTAGGGGCGGGGATTTCTACCAGCGTGGGGATTCCCGACTTTCGTTCCAAGGACAAGGGCCTTTACAATACGCTGGACGCGGAGGCTCTGGGCCTGAGCTGCCCGGAGGACCTCTTCTGCATAGAATTCTTCCGCGACAATCCCTCCCCCTTTTACAAATTTGCCACACATTTATATTATCCAAACAAAGAGAAGGAGGAGAGCAAGTCAAAGATCAAAAACAACAATAACAGAACATCGAATAGCAAAAACACGAGGAGACGGAGCAAACATGTAGAACCTGTGAGAGCACCAGCAAGGAAGAGCCGAAGAATAGAGACCAAGGGAGAACTGCACAAACAGCAGCACAGAGGAGAAGAAGAGAAACAGCGAAATCAAGTTCACAGCGACGTTGCGAACCACGGAATGGCCCTGCCGAGCGATTCTCACAAATTGCTGGCCCTGCTGGAGAAAAAGAAGATGCTGCTCCGGGTCTATACCCAAAACATCGACGGCCTGGAATCGATCGCGGGCGTTTCGGACTCGAAAATCGTCTACTGTCATGGATCCTTAAAGTCGATGAGCTGCACAAAGTGTTCCAGAAAAAAGCTCCCCCTCGACAGCGAAATCTTGGCTTCGATCGAAACGGGCAACGTACCACTTTGCCAGGCAGCGATCAAAAGACCTAAGGGATCCAATAATGTGAAAGAACAAGAGCGGGATTCGCCTGCCAGGACTAGCAACCGAAGAAGGAAGCGACCGCGATCGTTCGCAACTACAAGGGGCGAGGGTAGTGACGTGTGCAATAACTGCACCGATGGAATTGACGGTGGTGATACCAAAAACAGTTTCAACAACAAAACCAGAACGGGAAATGTTTGTGGTGGAGTCCTTAAGCCTGGGATAACTTTCTTCGGAGAAACCCTCGACAATTCCGTCGCGCGAAAGATCGAGTCGGACCAGCACAAGGCTGATGCTCTCATTGTTATCGGAACCTCCCTGAGTGTAGCACCCATCTCGAAGGTGATCGAATACCTTCCGCCAACCATCCCGCGGATATTGATCAACCGGACGATTGTGCATCCCAAGAAAGCAACAACGACTGTCAGTAGTGAGAACAAGCATGGTACAAACGACTTTCGAACCAATTATGTGTTCGATGCCTATCTGCTGGGGTTCTGTGATGATGTCACTCGAGCTCTGGGGAAACAGCTTAGTTTGGGCTTTGATATCGGAGAAGGCGAAACGAGGAAAGAAAACCAGGAGCGAAAAGCGAACAACAAAAAGCGAACCGCAATCCAATCAAAAAGCAACAATCATGCTTCGGCAATGGCCGCAAAACTCTTGACGAGCGTGGCTAACGACGTGGAACCATCGCTGGCACCATCGTCGTCCTTGGTGTCCTCCAGATCTGCCTCCAGTGCGAGCAACAACGAATGGTCGTCGGTAACGGTCCCGAAAGAACGTGTGATTCTATTTCCCGGTGCTCTCTCCAATGCTTCTGGGAGTGCTGCGAGTGACAACGAAGTTGCCGAGGAAGTCTACAACGAGATTGCCCATTGCGACGGATGTTTGAAACAGATTCCACGGGGGAGGCCGATCTTCAAGTGCTGCAGGTGTTTCGATTTCGATCTGTGCCAGAGGTGCTATCCAAGGGTATCAAAACTGCACTGCAACGGCGAGCATACGTTTCGAAGAGAATGAGGCAAATCGCAACAAGAGATTTCATCGGTCAATAACAACTGTCTAAGCTTTTCTTGTTCTGGGACTACGATACGCTTAAGCATAGCATTCGAATAGAGTAAGTCATGAAAATAGTACTTGTGCGCATTTCAAGTCTTTAGTATTCGTATGGACTTTCTAATACAATAGATCGACTTTTTTTTTACGATCAGTACCACATCACCAAGATTCGATTCAGTCCGCTTTCGTTAAACGGATGCTGTTGTCTGAATTGGCATGACTTTCAGACTCTCCCTCCTTGTCATCGTCGTCAATGAGATGCAATAATTCGCTGTTGCTCAGGCTGGAATACAGAAGGCTCCGCACAGACGCATTTCCCATCATGGAAGACGTCCGCGAGGAGGATTGGGCCGATTTCAAGAGCAAGGAGCTCCTGCGATTTTTTCGTTCCGAGGCACTGTCGGAGCTAACGATAGAGGCATCTCGAGTGAAAGACTCAAACCGAATCATCTGGGGCGTTTCTGGCGATTGTTGCTGTTGCGTTTCTGGTTGGTCTGCAGCGGGTGGCGGTGATTGGAGCGGAGCGGTTCCTTCTTCCTCTGTTTTCTCCTCACTGCTCGTTGTCGTCGCTGTCGCCGTCGTTACTGATTGCTTAGTCAAGGCGGAGGATGGAGCTGCCGCATATGCCCCATCTTCCAAGGAAATTGCCGCAGATTCGGTCAGTGCGTTAGAAACCGTCGGCGGGTGCAGGTCCGGCCGTTGCGAAATCGTAGAGGGATACCGAAAGATCTGGAAGTCGACACCGTACATTTCGTATGTCAAATTAAGCGTTTCCTGGTCATACAGGTCATACCAGGGTTTTGAGGTCTTTCGTTTGTTAGTGTGGGGCATACCAAGCAGGGCGTCTCGAACCACCTTCGGTAGATCGTGGATGGACGAATCTTTAGCATTTTCTATGTCGCCGGGATTTTTGAGGTACTTGAGTTCTTCCTGTTTGACGATAGATTGGACCATCTGGGCACCTTCGAAGTGGGTATACTCGAACATGGGTATCACATGACAGGGTGTGTACCAGTCTTCCATCTCCCCTGATTCTCGATAGTATTTCATATTTTTGTACCAGGATTTGACAAAGTGTGAGAAGGACTCTCCGGAACCGAATCGATTGTACATGTAGATGCTGACCATCCGGCTATATGGATTTCTTACAATGGCCAGTGAAGAAACCTGTTCCATTTCTTCCGGCGTAACGTAGCCGTAGTTAAGCATTTTATGTGCTGTTAAATGAGGCAAATACCCGTGAATGTTTGCACCCGTCAGGTATTCCAGGTTCTCCATTAATCCCATCAAAACGTAGCGAACGATGAGCAAGAAGCTGTGTCGAATGACAGCAATTCTTGCAATGGTAGGCGCCACAAAGACGAATGTCAATCCAAACATGAGAGCCAAAAAGAAGGCAATGAAAAAACTAGTGATTACCTTGTAGATTTTTAAACCATCCTTCGCAAGAACGACAAACCGCAAATAGCAATTTAGCACCACCATTACTGTACATACAGCGTTTCCTTTCGTCCATATTGGAAAATTTGCCGATTCAAGCAATTTGTAGCGACGAAAAAATAATTTCATTCCAAGTTTGTGGAAGAAATTCGAGTTCTCGATGACCTTGGCTGGAACGTTGTGGGATTTCATTAGGGATGTCCCTCCACATCGCGGCACGTGGACGAACAGCAAATTCTGAGAGGCTTTTTCCCGAGGGTTGTCTTTTTCGAGCCACGGCATATTGCGTTGTAAATAAGTATCTTTGCGAAAGAATAGAGGGCTGACTAAAAGAGGAGATTTCCGGTTTGTCTTCTCTCTTGGAGAGTGGGTGCGATGAGATGCGATTGTACTTGCGCTTGTAACTTTCCCCTGTACCGGTACCGGTACGTAGTTCAAAACAGTAGTTTCCGAATTTCTTCCGATGGGTTGGTACGGTACCGTATGTACAGTATTTGAGTACAGAAATGGATTACGTAGGTCGTCGTAGTATTTTTTATTTGATTGGGCGAAGCGAGACTTCGTACAAATGAGAAACAAATTTATGTACGTAGAAATAGCTTCTTTCGCTTTTCGGAGCATCACGAACGGAGGGAAATTTTCGTTTTCACAAGGAACAAACAATTTGGAAAATTCTATTCATGCACAGGATTTAATTGAGGGGGATATCTGAGTCTCAGGCTTATCTAATTTTTTTTATATGGCATTTTGACTCTTACGAGCGAAAATAATAGTACTAGTAAGTACCTGGTACAATAAGAATAATAGTTACAGTATACGAACTAGAACTAGTACCTAGTGCAGTAATGCAGTAACAATTGGTGAAAGTATTATTTTTTGAGAATCATAACAAGCACGAGTAGTTCTAATCTCTCACAGAAATAACAAGGTTGATTCAAACCTAGCGGATTTGTCCTCTGACCTACGAGTCGATTTCGAACATTGAAGACAACTTGATTGAATGTGAGCTACAGCTTTGCATAGATATTTGTAGCGATCTGAAAGCATGTGGCTCCGTTATAATAATTCATTGAGAACGGATAACACAGCTGTGTAGAAGAGATGTCCCTCCTTCAAAAAGGAGTCACAATCATATGATTCGAATACAATGAGCTAGATGTTATGCAAATAAATCGGTCAAACTATGAGTTTCCTTTCCAAGTCATTATTCTACATGTGACGCACGAACTCTTTTGGTCGCTATTATTTTGCGCATAACAGAAAACATGTGCATCAAAAGGTTGTACTAGTTAGCTTTTGGCTTATGCATCGTGCTTCCGGACGACCACGAAGATGGTCTCCCCGTGTTGTATCCTATAATCATCGAGGAACAAGTGATAGCTGAGTACCTGGTTTTGGACTCCAGTTGATTCGGTGGCACTTCCACCGCCATTGTTTCTGGCATGAATGCTGCTGCTACCTCGTTCTTCGTCTTGGCAGCTCGTACCAATGTTGTCAAGGATGCTGTCGTCATCGCTGCTCTCGCGCAGTACCAGGAGCTCCCACCCGATAGAAAGGCCGTCACGGTCCTTTCGGCGCTCCAGCGAATCGTCAGCGCTCCTGCTATTGGGATGCCGTGGCTGCCGCAGCCCCCATTCGACTCCGTGGTCTTCTTCCAGCTGGCGTTTCAGATCTGACACGCTGTCCTCGGGATGCGCGTGCACAAGGATCCTTTTTTTGCAGCTACTAGTCTGGACCAACGACTTGGTGGTGATGCTACTGCTACTACTACCTTCCTTGTCGGCAGAAAAATTGTGGTTTTCGCCCTTTTCGTCCGCCCCGTTTTGGTCTTGCTCCTCGTCTTGATTGTCTCGACTTTTGTCTTCACCCTCGCCCGACCCAAAATCCATTTCCAATGCGTACACGTCGTGGAAACGATCCAACTCAAGTTCGTCGAGTGAATACAGCTCGCAAGCCAAGGCGACCTTGTTTGAATGGCCGACCTGAAAGCGCGCCGCAAAATCATCGTCGTCGTCCAGGAGAATGTGATAGGCCTCGACTAGCTCGGCCATCTTGGCTTCGCATTCCTCCTTAGTGAGAACTTCTACCCTTGCTGTTTCGGAATGGCGGTTGAGGTCGGGGTGATAGGCCTTGGCCAATCGGCGAAAGGCGGCTCGGATGTCGCCCTTGGTGACGATCCCATTGTTCTTGTTGGATTGGTTCAGTTCCAAGACGGCGTATGGCGATCGCTTGGGGGTAGACGAAAAAGAATTAAACCGTGATTGCACCCCAAATCTCTGGTTGTGGTTACGGACGCGATATTTTCTATGGAGGAAGATGCTGCTATAACGAAGGCTCGAAAAGAAAGCAAAAGAACGGAGCCGTACGCCTCGTTTGTGATAGTGTTCATGTTCATGTTGAATATTCTTGCGAATATTTTTACTGCAAAAACTTATCGTGCTTAGACCACTGTAGTTGAGATGGTGAAAACCTAAGTGTTGGCTTCTCCAACCATATTTGTTTTGTGTGGAAGACGAGGATCTTGCACGACGCGATGACAACAACAAGAATTGCGTTGTCGATGCCAGTGGAAACCGAACCCACTGCTGAGGAAGCATCTGTCTTCGCACCTCCAAAGCGGATGTCAAAAAGAATAAGTCTTGTGATATATCCTTTCTACCCAGTCTCACGAATGCTGTGGTAAAGACGTTAGGTACCGTCGTCGACCGTCGTCCGAATTACCGTAGTTGCTATTCGCCGACGTCGAGATAATCTATGCACGTATCGGTAACACACGTACCGGTAGTTAGGAATGAAGAAAACAAAAGAAAAAATGATCAAAAAATTCAAAACTCACAACTCCATCGAAACTCAGAAGACGAAACATGACTAAAAGAAACAATTGACTCACGAGTGTTGTCTCGTTTCGTCTCGAAAGATTTCCTCGCAGTGGACTATTTTCTATTTTTGGTAATATTTCTATTACTTCGTACTACTACTACTACTAGTAGTAGTAGTATTACTACTAATAGTACTTACATGTACTTTCAGGGGATGGTTGATGTTGAGCAAGATAAAACTATTCTTAGGTGATGTTATAAATAATAATGATTTGAGCCAGAAGTAGATACCAACAACTACTGGACATCGGTCATTAGATCTCAGACATCAGACATCGTAAGCAACAAGTCATGAACAGACTGTCCCGTGGAGGGTAGTAATGATGTCTCCATTCTCCTGCGAACAGTGGGGGATATGAATTTAAAGTATGGCTTCGATCAACAGTACGGTCTAAAATGATGGTCTATGATTGCCGAGTGCTTAGATAGGATCAAGGTCAATGGTTTACAGTCTCTGATTTGTGTTTTGCAAGCATAGTGAGGCCGCATAGTGAAGCCGGTCTATCCCTGCCGTCGCTGCCGGTAGCGGCGAGGACGACTGCGGACGCCAGAAAAAAACTGCCATAGCTCGTCGTCAACCGAATCGAGATGAAAGAGGAGAGCGTAAAAGCCAACGTAAATGGCTGTTGTAAAGACGGCGATCCACTCGTATACCGGGTTGATACCGTCCTCGGACAATCCATCGTTCCAAAGAGGGATCACAAAGAGGAGAGAACACGTGACAATCGTGACCGCAAGCCCGAAAAATAATACCTTCAAAACGGTTGGGTAGTGTCTCTGGCTACAAAGCAACAGAGAATGTAACACCGCATAAACGGCCGTCCCCGCAAAAAAAATTCCAGCCCCATAGTAGTGGGCCTTCGAGGCCCAGGTGGGAGCTTCCTGGTTGCTTTTGAATGCCACTGCTACCATGAGACCCAGGTAGGATGCAATGTTCACAGTCGACGAGAGGTAGTTCATCATTTTTATCAAAATGTTGGACTGAGTCCGCTGGTGGTAAACCTCGATTTGGATGTTCCGCGCGACCGTGACTATCGAAACCAGCCCGCAGGCAATCGAGACCAAGATGATAATGTCGTAATAGGGATTGTATTGACTCATTATAAAGGAGATGGTGTCCTGGCTTATGGAACCGAAATAAATATCGGCAACTTCGTAAACAGTCTCATCTCCATACAAGTCCATATTTTGTATCTGCGACCGATCAAAGACCAAGAGAACAAGCAAGAATGCGAGCGTAAACGCCATGGCAAGAATTGGAAGCGATAGGATCAGCAGATGGCCGCAGCAGCCGACCCCTTGGTAAGCCGGCTGGTAGTCCCGATTCCTTTCCTCATCATTGCTCATCCGCCCCCTTTTGTACCTACTATTGTTGCTACTCCAGCTGTTGTTATCGCCGTTCAAGATCTTCGCGAGGGTCCGGTTCCGGTTATCGCCGTTCAAGTTATCGGCGAGGAGCTCGATAGCTTTTTCGTCGTCGTTCATGCCATTCTGTGACTTCCTCATGCTCGGTGGTCCGAAAGTCAAAGGAGCCATGGTTTTTTATTATGGCTTTCTTATATCACAAAAGTTTGTACGTTGCACAGGATTAAGAAATGGACTTTCTCTCTCAGTAACGGTGCAATTCCGATGAGTATGTGGAGGAGCGTTGCGATATCGATTCAAAGCAGTATTAGTGGGTCGCCGCTCTCGGCCATGCTCTTCAAGTCACACTAGTTTTACATCAGTTCTAGATTCAAAGTTGATTTTGAATATGCCGTCTAACAATCACGATGTGCACAATGATGCAAAGTACAGCACTGTGATGGTATCAATTTTCATCGGTGTATTGGAATCCGTTGCATCCGTTGAGGCCCTGCAGCGCCTCGTACAGACCCATCTGTTTCTGGCCCGAGCAAACAAAGGGCCTATCAATTTTACGACCAGGTTCGAAAAAGTGAGGGGAAATGGAGCGGGCATCACCATGGTGTACAATGTGCGTTAGGTACTAGGTATTCATAGGTAACGTATCATATGAACTTATCTTATTTGTATCTATCTCTTTGATTTCGAAATATTGTACCATACCGGACGGTTGGAAGGGTACGAGTACCGTACCTAGGGGTACACGTACAGTAATTTGAAAATTCAAAATTCACAGAAGGTACTGTAACCTGTTTCGATAATTTACTAGAGTTAGAGTTTTCGGTTTCAATGGCGCGCTGCTCGCGCCAAAGGTTCCAACACATCATTCCTGCGTCACTTTTTACTTGACGGTTGATGGCAAGACACTTGATTCATACGAACACAACGAAATAACAACAGCTACTGTACTACTCATGAATTGATTCGATCGTTGTGACATCACCAGAGCAAACGCACAACAACACGGAGAGACCGAAGAGAAAAACAGCACATCATCGTACGGTACAGTAATCTTCTGTCGTCAGTCGACAGTCTTATCTTTCTTACCGTTCCAAGGCGATATCATAAGTATTCCGATGACCTCGAGAGCGATCAGAAATACTTCACGACGACTGCAATCACTAGTATATCGCACATCTACACAACATAGAATCGAAAACTGCAGCAAAATGAAGTTCAGTCACGTAGCAACCTGCATCGCCGCGGCCGCAACGACGGTCAACGCTTTCGTTCCCGCCACATCCTACCGCAGCACCAGGAGCCAGTTGATGTCCACTGCCACGGACGCCTCCGCATACGCCGATGTCGATCGATACGTAAGCGACCATCCCAACAATAACATCCCACCACACATTGCCGCTCTTGTTGGGCGGGGGCTACACACCAAGGAAGACCACCCCATCGGAATCGTCCGAGCCAAGATCCAGGATTATTTCAACTCGCTGGATGAAGAGTACAAGATCTTCGATGCTGAAGATCCCATCGTGACCTGCAAACAATGCTTTGATGACTTGCGAATTGAACCAGATCATCCCGGCCGATCGCCCTCTGATACTTATTACATCGACGACGAGACTTTGTTGCGAACGCACACAAGTGCTCACCAATCGATGCACCTGAAAGACGGATACGAACGATTCTTGTGTGCAGGAGATGTCTACCGCCGGGACGAAATCGATGCTTCCCATTACCCCGCATTCCATCAATTGGAGGGAGTCAAACTCTTTGACAAGGATGCTGTATCGGGAGCCGATGGTCTGACCAAGGAGGAATGGCTGGCATCGCCGGAATGCAAAATGATTGCCGACGACCTCAAAAACGTATTAGAGGGATTGATGGATCACTTGTTTGGACCTGTAGAAAAGAAATGGTCGGAAGATTTCTTCCCCTTCACCGAACCCTCCATGGAGTGCGAAATTCTTTATGAAGGAGAATGGCTCGAGGTTCTCGGATGTGGAGTCATCCACACCGAAGTCTTGGAGATGGCTGGACGAGAAGATCGTCGCGGATGGGCATTTGGACTCGGTCTGGAACGACTGGCAATGATTCTCTTCAAGATCCCCGACATCCGTCTTTTCTGGACGGACGACAAGCGATTCCACAAGCAATTCAAGGCTGGAACCATCACCGAATTTAAGCCTTATTCCAAATACCCACCGTGCTTTAAGGATATTGCCTTTTGGTTGCCTGAAGACTTTGTAGAGAATGATTTCTTCGAATTGGCCCGTGGAATTGCCGGCGATCTGGTTGAAAAGATGGAACTCACTGATGAGTTCACAAACCCCAAGACTGGAAGAACCTCCAAGTGTTACCGTATCACCTACCGATCGATGGACCGCTCCTTGACGGACGACGAAATCAACGCCCTGCAAATGGAACTACGCGAACAGGTTGGTACCCTTGGCGTCGAAGTGCGATAAACAATGAAAAATCTTGCTGAACAATCCACGAGGAAAACGAAACAGTAACTACGATAATTATTCTACGGTACAGCGATATACGACTGGAAGAGTACTGTACACTGAGGAGTTTGAACAGTGAAAATATCAGGTCAACTAATATTTATAAACGAAACAAATTTTGTCGTCTACACAGTATCCATAGTCTACCCATATTACAGTTCGCAGAGTACATAAACATAAGCGTAAGCAGGAGATTAAGTCTTTGTGCGTCTGCGAATGTGCAATCGACATTTACTACCACCGAAATGGATATGAAAATGCCTGTTCTCCTGCTTCTTTCATAGATTGGGGCTACAAATAGTAGTGCTCCTAGTATCACCTTTAAGGAATCTGTCTTTTGCAAAGGAGAAAAAATCTGCTGGTGAGGGGATTATTCTACTTCGATGATATCAGTTAGCTGCTGTGAGTAGACCAAAAACTTGATGCAACAACGGAATCTACTTTTGGGATATTGATAAATATGATTTTGTAAGGTTTTCTCCTATTTGAAAAAACTCAATATTTTGATGTCTGAAGCTTTAGACTGCAATAAAAATCCAGCACAACAAAACAAGGAGATTGAAAGAATAATACAGCAGAAAAACAAAAACTTTCTAGGTATTCATTTCTTCCTTTTCAATTTCCAAAAAAGAATACGGTCCTACTAACTAATGTGGAAGTGATCTTTGATGTTGACAATTTGTCAATGTTGGCTGTGAGTGTGAGCCTAAATCACAAGTAGATAGTGAATAAGATCACTCTCTATTGTAAACTTGTGGTTATACAACACTAAGGAGCATACGTACATTTTGCAGGTTATGGGCACTGGTGGCTGCCACTAATCAGGGCAATGCAGCCCAATCCAGTGTATTTGGATGATTGTATGTGGTAGAGTTGTGTGAGGAGAGAGCACGCCTAAAAATTACCATGGTGATGGTGATTTCTATATTGAGGGTGTCATAATCTGGGGGAGTGACTATCTACTAATAGAGATATAAATCAAGTTTGAGAAGAAAAGTGAGTCAATTCTTGTATTGAGAATCAACGAACTATGAAGTCTAAAATTGATCAAAGTAAAAATTGAGTGATATAGTATGGAAAATGAGTCAAGTCAATTGTGAAGATCCATAGGATCCAGTGAATTGTAAATGTATTAGAGTGTATTGTTGTATAGAGTTGGCAAGCCAATGTGTGGACCAGTCTTACATTTTAGGCCCTTATTTTTGCATCTAATGACTACTTTGACTGAAAAACTAAATCCATACAAAATGCACCTGCTCAGTGCTCAGTACGCAGTACTGGTACCAGTACTTGAATTTTTTAATCCCACTAGTCGTGCGACGAAATATTTTTGCAAGCACTTGCTATTGCTGTACMAGTACTAGTACAACTCAATTTTTAATCCCACAAGTCATCATACAGTAATTAGATGGCCAAAAATTGATGCACAGTAGAAAAACATGTACTTCTAGAACATTAAGAGAGGTTCAACTCACTCGAACAGCTATATCTTTGTCCCCAATGGACGCTTAAAAGTATGGGGGATTTTGGGGTCGTAGTAGTAGTACTACTAGTAGTGGAATATATTGATATTTGTCTATGAATATAGGATTGAAAATGTACAAATGACATGGCCAGAAACTCTCCACCCCCTCTATACAATATGGATCATATATTTTTATCATAGGTATGAGTCATATATACAATAGTATGATATCCTATGGACAGCAACTAACAGAAATATCAAACCATTGCATATAGATTACCTTTCTCCTGCTGCTGCTAGTACTAGCAGGAGTCTTTGCAGTGTTAATAGTACTACTACTACTAGTAGTACTAATGGTGTTGGTTCTTTGGGGGGCTCCTACTCTTTCTGAGGATGCAGCCACCTAGGAGTTGTCAATTTTTTCCTTTTGATAATGATGTTTAAAAATCATCAATCATGACCTCTCTGATTCATCTGATCTTGAGCCAGATGAAGCAAGAAATCCACACCATGATTCAATCCTCATGAGTCCTGGGCTACCTGCTGTTTGTTTGCACATAATTCCTTTTGAAGAATGGTGTTAAACCCAGACTGTGTAAAGCCCATCAGAGCAAAGTCATACCCTCATGTTCTTACTTTTGAATTTCTACTACTCCAAGGATGCAGCAATCAAGGGTTGTCAGTGAGTAAAGACCAAGAATTACAACAACTGAGTAGCCAGGCTTACTGGTAGTTGTAAACTGCTGTGAGTATAACTACCACTAGCCTTGCAGGTGATGAGTTTATGAAGGAATTGAAGCTGTACAAATCAAAACACAATGGGAGGAAAAGGTTTCAAGGAAACCATCTTGTCTTGGGAGGATTCAGGAAGAAAAGAAGCATTGAAATAGATGGAGGGCTCACCAATTTAGTAATCAACAAACACACATGATGGACTAAGGTTAAAACAGCCTTTGAAGAAAGCTATGCATACTAATATTACTCTAGCACCTGATAGCCAAAATAAGTATGCTCATTAGTATGGCTACTGGTGTACTACTAGTACTGACAAGAAGAATATGTCTTTTACACACCAATTTTGAATTTTGTGTAGAAAAATGCTCTTGAATTTAATTTGACAACAAATTACTTTTAGGTGAGTGCACAGTGCACACATCAATTTTAGGCCATCCATCATCTGGCGCAATAGTCGTAGAAGTGTTACTAGTAGTACTAGTAGCCTACTAGTATGCTGTTTCTACTAGGAGCATGATGCTAGTCATCAGTCATTAGTAAATCCAACTTTGAAAAAAAAGTAACATAGTTGCACTGCTGCTGGGCAAGAATTCTCTACTACTACTACAAACACCATGCATGGCATCTGTGTAGGATTATGATGGTGATGATCATCATTGAGTTCCAAACAATGGTCAATGAAAACCACACTTTCATGGTACTATATTAAATGTTTGACTGTTATCTTAACAACTTGTTACTAGTACTACCAGACCACTACTAGCAGCAGCAGTACTTGTGATGTTTTCTTACTTACTTCTACAAGGACACTACTAGTACATCTGTGATGAAATTAAAACTTCAAAGTCAATCAAGATTCTTTGAAAAAATTCATCACCATGCTCTTTGATATATTACTTGCCACTGCTGCATCAGAGGAGGAATGTTGCTACATACTATGTGCTGGTGGTTTACAGGACAACAAGAAGCTTTGCATATCTTTTCAACTTAAATAATTAAAATTGGTGGTTTGGATTTCTTCAAATGCATGATCTGCATTTAAATTTGCCAATAGGAGTCTGTCCAAAGGGCAAGTGACAAAAAGGACCAACCAAATGTTATGCAGCAGACTGAATACATTAATTAGGTACTAGGACAACCAGTATTTAGCATGTAATTGTGATCTTACTCCACTATAATTCATTCAAATAGAGAACAGTAGTAGTAGTAGTAGTACTAGCTCCACCAATCACCAGTCAAAGATAAAATATTTGATGCGAACTATGGAAGAAGAATAAAGCGCCTTTCATAAAACTATTTTCGATAGGGTTCGGATGGGAGGTAGTGCTTAAGATACATAGTATTCCATTCCCAACAGTACAATAACATCGTGTCAAGTACATCCGAACCTTTCACTCAAAAAAAGTATTAGTCATAGCTTTGTATCATTGCAGTGATAACGATGAATAGAAATCAGCGCAGCACAGATTGGTCAAATTGACAATTTCCCGCTCTGCTTAGAAAAAAGATTTAATGTATGGGATGGATTTCAGGATTGGCCACGGCAATGGAGGTGGTTGTTCTGCTGATTCCTCGGATCGCACTGCTCCATTTTTGTCGGTGTCCATCACTTCGGGCTTGCTTGAAGAGAGAAGGCTCTTCCATTCATCTCCGAATGACCTAGCAATGCGCAAGGTTTTGTCGTTGTTTGGAGAAGCACCGTCATCGATAGTTGGAGGTGGAAACACCAGCAACAAGTTGCTCTCCATGTCTCTGCAAAAGGAGCGGTATCCAAAATTGCTAGATCCCACCACCACGGCTGCAACTTCACTTTCACTGGATTCTATTTCCCTGTCTTTTTCGGTCATCCAAATTCCTTTCGCGTGGAACGTCCAGTTGGGTCGCTCCCAGAAAAAGAGGCGGGCGTTCGTACAACAAATGGGTTTGGTATCAGCCCCGGTAGCCGGTATCGTTGTGCGAAGGAACCGCATACATTCATCGACCAACTTGTCGAAAACGGAAGGAATCGTCCAATCCGTTCCTTGACTCCCTTCCTTACAATCTTTCTTCTTGGGTTTGAAGCCGTGGGAAATCTTTCCAGCAGTCAACAATTCGACATTTCGAAAGCCCTCTTTCACGACGGACAGCAACGAAGTTGTTGGATTCAAATACGCGCTGCTCAATTGGACCGAATATCGACAGCCATCGTTTGTCCTGTTTAACCTTCCCGCTTCCCTCAACAAATTGAGCGTAGCTTCGATATCTGTGACAAAGTTAACTTTGTCGGCCGGCTGTTGATCGATACGAAAGAGTGACCAAAACGTTGACCAGTTCACTGAAAACTCTCTTGCGATCGATTTTTTCTTGGCATCCTTTTGTCGAAAATATCCAGCAGGAGCTTGAAAGGTAGGTACAGCCACCGCTACAATTTTCTGCTTCTTCTCCTCCCGTGCAAACAGATCTCGGGTGGAAGCTACCGACGCAGAATTTGGATTCGAGTCTTGAAAGTGATGGGTAATTTCCCGCAGGAATTCATCGTTGTTTCTTCTTCGGTTTTGCTGTATTGCGTCATCGGAGACCGCTGCCGAAAGTTGGTACTTGTTCGAATGTCGACAGAGAATTTCTACCAGCTCTGCATAAAAATCTACTAATCCGTTGGCCCCATCGACTAGGTGTAAATACCGATCCATCCGATCACAAAAATATTCCCGGCTTAGATTGGCACCACTTAAGAGCAATTGGTCGTCGACGATGTAGATTTTGATGTGAAAGACGCCCGCGATTTCATCCACCGGGTTTGGTAACCAATTTCTCCCGAAAATAGTGGTAGGAGGCAAGACCCGAAACAAATGGAGTGAAGAAGAGGAGGAAGCTTTGCCACTTAGCGAATCTCCCTCGATTGCACGAGCAACAGCCTCTGCGGAAGACGTTGTTGTTTTCGAGTTGGCTTGATCGTTGTCGACAGGATGTACAATTGGTACGGGTCGCAACGCACGATTCTCGTCGAGAAGGATCTTTACTGAAACACGGGAGTTCTCGTCACCACTGTTGACGCCACTTACCCCTCCGTTCGCGTGGTTACGATTCACTATCTCCGACAGGGCCCCTAGGAATTCTGTTTCCTCACAGTCGTCTTTGTTGGAGGTTGCCGGACCAACATACAACGAAGCAATCCGGACACGTTTCTTTGCGTTGCGAATCATCGTGCAGAGTCTCTTGTGAAATTCTTTGGGCGTGTTTGGCGCCAGACTGCTTTGGGTATCAGGTGCTGTGTGCTGCTGATGGTCGTAACCCCCAAAGTGGCGAGCTTCGAGGGGGAAAATCGGAAGTGGCCGCTTCTTGGTTGACGATTGTGAATTACAATCCATGAGGCCTCTGCTCGCATCCAACAGCCGGCAACGCCGGACCCATAGCTGTTCTCGGGCTGTCTGAGATGACGATGGTGATGGCGACGAGGAAAATCGTCGAGACTTCGATATTTTTGCTACAATTCTTTGGGTAGAAGACATAATGTCTTTTTTCCATTGTCCAATTTTCTTTTCCCTTCTACAGCTCAGTTGCTATTATGCCGTCCTCTTACTTGTACTCATGCTCATTTTGATTATCAGCATGACACTTGTGTTGTCCTCGGTTGCAATTTCGAAAGATTCGTAGAACTTGAAATCAACATCAAATGTCAGCAATGATATAAAAATTCCTCTCGATCAGATCCGAGATCTGATGACGTCCAGACTAGGTGCAGATTTAAAATAAAATTTCAGACGCAACTTTCTCGGAATCGAATCAAGCAGCTGCCATGCAGCCATGCAGTGCCCCCATCCCGTCCCTGCGTCTTGTTCCCTACAATCAAAAAATTAACGGGTACTCGCGCGGATGCGAGGAACTCCGTTATTTCATATAGGCCCGTAACGCGGTTTATGTTTCCAGTATATATCATTTTATACAGATATATAGGTGATCATTGAAAGTCCTGGCGTCACATCCTTTCAAACGATCACATTTTGTGTTGAATTCCAACGACAAAAAGAGGCATGCTCAAAAGTAACCATTGCAACATCTTATCCTGGAAAACGACAAAAGACGACGAAGAAAAAAACATCAATTAGCTACCACAGATCTACACTTTATCACTGCATCTATCATAAACACCAAATAAAGCACTTGCTGCGACCACCAACAATCTTGGTAGGCTTTGCGCATCAGAAATAGCAATACTTAACATATCAATAGAGGATAATAGTCCCATCGTAACACGGACCCATTGTATTCCGCATTGTTACAGCCATCTTTGAAGCCGGAAACGAACCATCTTCAACCATGTTTTCAAAGCACAAAATTTTCATCCTGCTGCCTCTGTTGTTTGCAACACCCGGAGCGCATGGACTCTCGAATACCAAACCTGAACTTCCCGATATTTTTGGAAACAACAATGGACTTTTGGTGCGCACCATCAACACCCAGAGACCCACTCCGGTGCGACCAACAGAGCCTACGGCCTCTCCGACGGAATCACCAGCACCTAGCCCAAGTCCTTCGGAAAGCCCCACCGCCGATCCCAACCGAATCACCCCAGGGCCAACTGATTACCCAACAGAAAGTCCCGCACCTTCGCCTAGCCCTTCGCAAACTCCTACTATTGCACCAACACCTAGTCCGTCCGCTACTCCATCGGTGGCTCCCACTATTTCGTCAGCCCCCTCAGCAGCCCCTAGCGCGACCCCTAGTGCTGCGCCAAGTGATGCACCGTCTATGGCTCCTTCCGGGCAACCGTCCTTATCTGCCGCTCCTTCTGCCGCACCTACCATTTCGACAGCTCCGTCTGCTAAGCCTAGCGCTTCCCCGACACAGCAACCCTCTTCATCCCCGAGTTCTGCTCCTTCCTACTCTCCGACCACCGTCGTGCATCGCACAAAAACAGCCGTCACGACGTTATTGTTGGAAGAGATCTCAGCGGAAATGGATGAACTCACAATGGCTGAGTTTGAACTCTTCACCTTGGACTTTTTGAAGCGAAAGATTGAGCCAAGTGATGAATATGGCTTGAACAATTTGGCCGTGACCGTTCTATCACAAAGTCTCGTTTATCCCGATCCAACTGCTGCTCCTAATAGCAACGAAACAAACTTTCGTGAGCGGAACTTGGAATCCAACATCTGGAGCGTGGGTCTTGAAATTGACATCCGATCAGTAGCTGTTGTCACGACAGGACGCGTTCCCACAGACTTCAATTATACACGAGAGGTTCTTTTGACTTTCTACGATCATTGGGATCAGTACCTGTATCAACTTGGAAACAATATCGAATTCTTCAATCCGCTAGTTGCGGTCAGTGACTGGGTTCCGGTCGTTGACGAAGCTTCCATCGATGGCAAAGAAAAATCCAAGGGTTCCTTCGCCGTCGCCATTCTTTTCTCGCTTATTGCATTTTCGCTTGCCGTGTATGCTTCGTACGTTGCGATTCGCAAACACTTGAATAGGAACGGTGGCAGCCCGAGAAAATCAGTTGGCACTCCTTTCAGTCCAAAGAATTCGTCACCATTGAACTACTCCGGAGATGAAGTGGTTCAATATCTCACCCGTACTATGTCCGAAAATGGAAGTCCTGCAGCCTCCTATCACGACGGCGATGTTGAAGGAGGTGGTGCCCTCGCCTTTATCCAGAACGTCAACATCGAAACTGATGAACACGGCATGGAAAGTATTGCGTTGACACCATTCAAAGAGAAGTCTCCTACTGCAGCCATTCGCAATGGCTTGTTCGTTGTCAATGAAGCCAATGATGACGATAACTCGCCTATGAGAAGTCCCTTGGCCAGATCTCCCACAATGGGACTGCAAGGTCAAAAGAGTGCGTCCAAAATCGGTGGACAATTAAAGAAATGGTTGACTCCGAGAGGAATTAAATATCCATCCGCGGCCAATGCAAACAAAATAATGTCGACCGAATCTAGACATGATCCACCTGAGCACCAAAGTATACTGGGATACAACTACGGAAAGGAACACAGCGATCCAGATGCCTACAAAGCTTCCACTAAAAACAAGGCTGGCGTTTACACTACCGATAAGAGCACTGTCGATGGTCGAAGCAAGACCACTGGAATCAGCTACAACAAGAAGCAAAAGGACGAGGGTCTATTTACGGTCCCTGTCAGTTTCTTTAATCGGGACCAAGGTAATCAAGCGGGTGCTCCAGAATCTCCGATGAGCAGTCTTGCAGATAGTAATGCGAGCAGCTTCTATGCGCGGGGCAACGTCAACAAGCAATTTACAGGTCGCAAAAGCACTACTGGCGAAATGGAAGACGAAGGTTACGAAGTCTCAGCCTGCAAGGTCAACGCGGCTTCCATCATGCGAAATAAGCGAAAAGATCCATCGGAAAATGACGAAAACGAAGAACCTGTTCTTTCACCACTTGTCAAGGATGTTGTTCAGCACTTTGAGCAGAAGCAACAGCAGGCCCCTAAACCTCCGAATTCATCTGTTGGCATTGAAACAATCTTGGGAGCCAGGTCTCGGGACAGTAACGACGATGACGATGACAGAAGAAGCCACGTATCCGCTGCCTTCCTTCAAACGCGTTCGATTTTTTCTCCGAACATGAAAAATGCGAGAAAGAGCCCTACCAATTCCCAACAGCAATCCTATGGATACGGAAATGTCAGAGTCCGGGTGCAAAATCAGAATGATGAAGGAAAGAGCGTTACAAGTCACTCTACTCTTGGAGCAAAACCGATGCAAGGATCGGGTGATTTCCGTGACGATAGAAGCACTTTGAGCAGCGTGATGAAGCGCGCTGGACGCTATGATGTCTATGCACCAAGCGGCCCTATTGGCATTGTAGTGGACACATCCAAAAACGGTCCTTCCGTTCATTCCCTGAAGTCCACATCACCCATGCTTGGATTGATTAATCCTGGTGATTTGATCGTTGCATTGGATGGTGAAGATACCCGTGACATGACTGCGGCAGCATTGACACGGTTGATGGCCTTGAAGTCAAGACAACAGAACAGAAAAATCACCCTTCTTTCCAACTAAATACAAGGAGAAACATGTCGTCGAACTTTATCACTTTTCGACTGTTCCCATACACGTATCATAATAGAAGCGACGCAGAACAAGATGGCAATCGGGTTTATCAAATAAGTAAGAATGGAATCGTCGCCTTCAATTTACCAACAAACTTTTAGAATATTTAATGTTACCACAATGTAAAGACATAGTTTCAATAGTTTATAATGGTGTAGTCGTCTTTAATGTACTAACTTGTTTTTCGCGACGTTTTGCTAAGGTCTGAAAAATATTATCTTTGTAGTCGTCTGCTCCACAATTTTTTTTTCTTAGAGTACGTACCGCTCCTTTCCAAGTCCAGTATTGTTGGTGACCCAAATCGTTAATGCTATAGTTCCTAGACCTTTTCACAAAGGTGGGGTACAATTTTGTTTCCAAACTTTCCATTGTCATTGTATCCTGTAGCTCATTTTGGCTACAAGATACAAGGAACCACACTCCACTACTATTTTTCTAGAGGTCAAAACATTTTGTCGCCAACCAGACCTTTCGGACCCAAATACCTCCATAATGAAACAGAGGTACCGGTAGTATGGAAATCGTAATTCAATCCAAAGTTCTTGATTTGCTCCTTCGGCAGTGGTTGATTGTCGTTAAAGATATAGGGCAGCATAGTTGTGTCTGTATTGTAGTGAGGTATAACACACTTCGTACTGTATAATGTTCCACTGCTGAATTATTTTTGTCGCATCAGGAAGCGCAACAACCTCATGCGTTGGTGTGATCCTCAGTGCACTCGGCGACAGCCCGGGAAAACACGGAAACGACTCCTAGCGAATGACTCGCTTTCTACACACCTTCTACTAGAACAATGCTTGATGAGCTTCAATATCACATTGAACTTGTTCGAATCTCCACTATCAAGCCGATGTTTGGTATCAATCAGAAGGAGTTCAACGGTGGAAGCATAGCAACCTAGTCGTTCGGTAATTTGTTCCATGCCTGTCTCTACATCTCTCTTTCTCTCTCTCTCCATCGATGTACGTCGCAGTGAGGTACCTCCAAACCAACAATATTAATTGGATCGAAAGATCGAGTGCTGCATGGCACCGATACAACAAGGCCCCGACCGGTTCCGTCCTTGTAAACTCAACGCATCGCAACGAAAGCAAAGTATCTCTTTGTAGTGTTTCAGGCGTTCTGTCGAGCATCCTCGTGCTCTTACCGCAATGCATTCCGCTGTTTCAGTCACAATCGCATTCCTTCTATGAATGATGCATCCCTTGGTAAAAGATCAGCAATGATCGTCGTAAGACTGCAGCATCACAATCTTGATCCCAATAGAAGGTATTCGCTTGAGTGGTGCTACGGTACGGTACGGTTTCCGTTCCGCTTCTTGTTATGTGACACTGATTGTCACCGTCCGTCCTGCCAATCTGACACCATTCTTCCACCTACCAACCAATCATCGCGCGAAAGCATAGAAAAAAAGACTCGAATCATCTTCTTGACAGGCACTTCTTTGACCCATAACGAATCATCTGTGTTTTCATATTCGATGCGCGTCCCCAAGTCCGGAAGTTACGTACCACGACCAGATAATGTCGGACGAATAGGTACATCCATAGAGGAAAAGCAACATTACCTTCTTGTACGGTACTGTACCTACCCTACAGTAAGGACTGTCGTTACGTCCTTTCGTACCCGACGACGTCACGTCTGTTTTTCAACTGAAGCGTGAGTTCTCATTCTTTTGCGGAGGATTCGTTCAGTATTTTTATGCGTAGAATTCTACGGTACACAAAGAAAAACTCGAACTCGAACCACACGGTATTATTTGTACGGGTACATTCGGTAACGTACGACATCTTTTCCGTAGTACGGTTCGTCAGCCAGAAAGAGTGACGTACCTCAGTACAGAGTTCGAAATCGCGATGTTTTCCATTTTTATTCGCTCATGGGTCGAAAAGAAGTACTTACGTGATGTGAATTGAAGGTTCGTACGTATGAACCTTCTTTTTCCGAACGTTTTGCACAACGGATTCGTGATCGAAAATACCATAGTACGGTACGTATCCATTCGATAGCGTACTACTAGTACAGTAATATTCTACGGTACATTAGCAAGACGGGTCACATGCGTTCGATGGATCAACAGCTCGAGTGCGTTTACGTGTGCCTGTATTCGCCACGCACTACCGCTGGCTCTCTAAGCTAGATAGAGGAGGATTGCAATCCTCGACCGTTCCGAAAGAAAACGGCGACCGTCGTCTTTGCTTGACGTCGTCATCTCAACCCAATCACCGGTCCTTGTTCTCACAACTTGTCACTCAATCTTTTTACAACAATTCAAAAATAACAATTTAAAAATGAAGTTCACCGTTGCTTTCGTCGCCCTTGCCGTCTCTGGCGCCTCCGCCTTCGCTCCTGCCCCTGCCGGACGTCTCTCCACTGCCGTCTACAACGAGGGCCCCGCTATGTAAGTAGATGCAGAAACAATGAAGTCACAACATGAATGGAAGTGTACGAATGGAGGTTAAGATGGTGTTGTTCTTGCCCGACGTATGATATCGCTATACTGACTATGCGTTCCCCATCCGCCTATCTGAAACAAAATACGACTCGTATCACAGCGGAAAGGGAGGTATGGCTGATACCCGTGACCCTGATGCCTACGAAGACGATGATGCCCGCAAGTCCATCGCCCCTGCTCCTTCGTTCGAAGAATACCTCAAGGCGCGTCAAGCTGAGGGCAACTAAGCGCCACAAAGTACAGTTGCTAGCGCATGGGAGCGGAAATGATGTGCCAGCTAGGAGTCAAACACGGTTGGCACATGCAAGGCTCCTACAACGGGATCAATACGAGTTTTGAAGAGATGGCTAATGTCCAAACCATAAAATAGAATGGATTTTATCTCTTTTCTGAAAAGAAGTTAGTTCCTCTCTGGGTAGATAGCACGTTCGTCCCATGAGATGATGTTTCTATGTCGTGCCGAATCGTTCATTCATGGTTGTCGAAACTTGTCGACAACATAACAAGTGTATGATCACGTATGTTACATCCAGATTCGTGGCCTTTCCGGAGCTTGTTCGTTGGCTGTACTCGAATTACCACCTGCCTCTGTTGCGTTCCATAGTGGCCTGCGAAGGTTTGTTTTCGTTTCGTTCCGCCTTCGCAACCCTCCAGGAAGACAAGAAAACTATTTCTTGGGACGGCGAGGAGAATAGTCCTTTTTTATTTTTGTTCCTTCCAACGAAGAGAGGATGAATCCGAGGGCACGTGTTCGAAAGAAACTGCGAAAACGATGGTTTGTGGGATCGGGGCATCATCCATAGTGGCCTGCGAAGGTTTGTTTTCGTTTCGTTCCGCCTTCGCAAACCTCCAGAAAGACAAGAAAACTACTTCTCGGGATGGCGAGGAGAGTAGTCCTTTTGTATTTTTGTTCCTTCCATCGAAGAAATCGTTGGGTTTGGTGACGCGAGGATGAATCCGGGGGCAGGTGTTCCAAAGAAACTGCGAAAACGATGGTTTGTGTGATCGGGGCATCGATCCTCCGGTTCGGCCAGCATTCAGCCACACAGAACGGACCAGAAGGCCAGGAAGCGAACCAGACTCATACGCAAAGAGAGAGCAACCGCATTCTTTGACAGGACGTGCGTGCTACCCTTGTGTCACTACTAAAGTGCAATTGGCAACGCGAAACGGAAACAAAACAGTAGGAGTGCGGACGGAATGCGGTAGCGTTACATCCCCCCGATGAACTTTGTCACGATGGAAAGAAATTTGGTTCCATCGCCAACAGCGGCATGGCATGCAATATTGTTGTCAGTGTTGTTGTAGATTTCACCATGACAAAGTGCGATTTATTTACTGTGTCGTACTGCTGACTATAGCATTTACAATTTTTGTCACGTGACCACCAGGAGCTGACAATCCTTGCCATCGCGGCACGACGGGTGCGATTGTAGTTGATTATTAAGGAGAGATATTCGGTTCCTTCGCCAACAGGGGCATAGTATGCACTATTGTTCTCGGTGTTGTTGTAGATTTCACCACGGTACTTTGCAATTTGTTGGCTGTGCCGTACCACTGACTTCGGGCAGTTGCACGTTTTGTCGCCATACTGCCAGCAGCTGCCAATCTTTGCCATCGGGGCACGAGGTAGAACCAGGCCCGAACCCTTGTCCTTCCGTCGCCGGCATGCTGCACAGCGGGCCCCGCTCCGTACCGAACCGCGCTGCTTACTCCTCGGCACAGTACTCTTTCAGCCTGAGGTCCGACGCAAGAAAGTCGGGATGCTGGAGGACAAACTGCTGGAAGAGGAGGAGCTTCTTGAGGGGGTGGGAGATGAGCCAGCCGTTTCCGTGGTCCCTCCCCCACTTGTCCTCGCACTCCTGTCCCTTGGCCATGAGGCCGACAAAGTCGCTCATGGGCGTGATCGGGGTTCCTTTCTGGAAGTACCTGCCCGGGGCCCAGCCGTACCGGGGCGACTGTTTTGCGCGGGGCATGCGTTGTGCGCGATAGGAGATCGGGTGTGTTCGAAAAAAACGAAATGGAAACAAAACAAATTGGAGAATCGAATTGAGCGGGTTGGGAAAGGGGCGAAACCCAGGAAAGAAAACATCGCTTGGTCGATCGATCGAGGGGTGGTGAAGAAAACAAAAAGGCGAGCAAACAAAACAAAGGAAGGGATTCTTTTTGTTGGTCCAGGGACGGTACGCACCTCGTAGCGGATGCCCTCGCCGCTGGCGAGTTTCCGGGCCTGCCTCATGACGTTCTTGACGTTGGCGGGGGAGATCTTGTCGTGAAACTCGAGGAACTCCTGGAACTTGCCCATAAAGTTTTCGTCGGCGGCCCCTTCCAGCGCGGCCCGGTCGGCGGAGGACAGCCGGTAGTCCACCGGGTCCAGGAGGAGCCTCCGCTTCCGGTAGGGCCGGCGGACGTCGACCTCGTCGTCCTCGTCGACCTCGTCGTCGCTGGAAAAGTGGTCGTTCTGGGACTCGATGGGTTTCTTTCGCTTTTGGTTTCTCTGCGACCGCCGCTCCTGGCCGGGGGTCACTACCCTCGCGGGCTGTTTCTTCTTGTTCGGCGGCGTGGTTTGTTTTTTCTTCTTCGAAAACAGCAGGGGATACTTGTCCAGGCCGAGTTCCCTCATCCGTTCCTCGTTTCGCTTGATGCGCTCGAGGCGCATCTTTTCGTACGGCGACAGTTGCTCGAGCATGGTCCGGAAGCAATGGAATATACGGTAGTTCGTTTTGCTGTCGTGGATGAGATTCGGTGGTATGAGATTCGATGCGATGCAATTGCTCTCGTTCAGCTAGCCGTCGTTAAGCTCGATGCTGGAACCAATGCGTTAGTTGTCGTTGTCGTCATTCCTCCGTGGTCCATGCACGCTTTGGACTACCGAAGAGTGTCACCATCCAACAGCGCGTGGAAATCGTTGCGGCGGTTCCTGCCGTATCTGAAACCTGGTGTGTAACATGGAAGTAAAATAGGCCACCCGCCGGATCCGATCGACACAAGACTGAGCCTGGCGTACCGTATCCAACCGTCTGTACGATGCACCAAAAACAGGTTTTTCGCGGTGAGTTACAGTATCAGTGGATGATGGAATCCATCAAGGCAAACAAGACGGGAGAGAACGTGCATGACGGGATCTTCACGATCGGCGTGCGCGCCTTTGTTCGCGCCACAAAGAAATCCCATCCCTATTTATCAACAGCGGAAAAGTGGATCTTGTGCCGTCCATACGTATTAGAAGGTACGTACTAAGGTATGTAGCGTAGGTAACGTATGTTTGTTGTTTGTTGTTTGTTGTTTGTTTCTCCTCGAATTCTCAGTTCAAAAATTCAAAAAGCAGGAGGGAAAGGGAATCCAGAAACCGTCCATCGTTCGACTGGAGACGATTTTTTGGTTGCCGTCGTCATTTTTGTTGTATCCTTCACCACCAACAAAAACCAGCGATAGACAAACAGCGCTCGACACAATCCCAGGAACCCGATCCGAGACGATACGACGCCCCCTTGCCGTAAAGAGAAGCCCAACCCAATTTCGATCTGCGACATGGCTCCCAGCGACTACGTCCGGGCCCGGAAGGACGCTTCCGAGAGCGGAGACGAGTGCTTTTGCGCCCTCGTCGATGGCCTTCCCTACTTTCCGAACCTTGTGGTTGCCGGGGCCATCGGCGAACGAGACGGGGCCATTCGGGGGGTCGTCTCGACCTTTCTCGCGCAGCAAGCTTCCGCGGAAGCAACAACACACGCACCACCGTCGTCGTGGACCGTGGCACCGATCACCGGCGGAAACACCAACGCCCTCTATGCCGTCTCGGGCCTGTTTGCAGCGGACGGAAACGGAAATGGAAACGGAAACGGAAACGACGATGGGGGCAACGGGAACGGCGCCGCTCGTTCGTCGTCGCTCCCCCCGTCGGTGCTGGTCCGTCTCTTTGGGGCCGAGGGAATGATCGACCGCGATGCGGAAACCGCCACCTACCATTCCCTCGCCAACCAGGGCCTGGCCCTGGGCTGGTACGGACGCTTCGGAAACGGCCGCATCGAGGAGCTCCTGACCGGCTTTGAGACGCTCACGGAGGCGGACCTCGAGGGGGGCTATCCCCGTGCGGATCGGGATGCATGTGCTGGCAGCAACGCCGGCACCGGCCTTGCTCTGCCCCCGGAGAACCTCAACCAGGAAATCGCCCGCAAGCTCGCCCAGCTGCACTCCACCTGCTCCGTCCCCCTCCACCTCCTCGACGACCAGGGGGCCACGCCGACGCCGACCCTCTGGACACAGCTCTATCCGTGGCTCGAAAGGTCCCTCTCGGCCACCTTTCGGAACGAGCGCGACACCCACCGGGCGGAGCGCGAACTGGACCCACCGCTCTCGGAGCTCGGGGCCGAGATCGATTGGCTCCGGTCCGAGGTCATCGGAGGAGGGGGGGACCCGGGCAAAGGGGTCATTGGCTTTTGCCACAACGACCTGCTGGCCTCCAACATCATGATGAAGACGTCGGCAGGCGAAACCCCGGGGGCCGCTGCCGTCCTGGAGCAGCTGCACTTTATCGATTTCGAGTACGGCGGCATCAACTACTACGCGTACGACATTGCCAACCACTTCAACGAGTACGCGGGGGGAACCGCCGAGGAGGACCACGCCACGCCCAACTACGACCGGTGCCCAAGCGCCGCGGAGAAGCGGGTCTTTCTGGAGGCCTACGCGGAGGAATACAACCGGCACCAGGAGAAACACAACGATCCAAGCGCAAGCACCACCACCGTGGACGAGCTGGAGGCGAGCGTCGACGGCTTTTCCCTCGCCAACCACCTGGTGTGGGGCCTGTGGGGGGTCCTCCAGGCGGCCTCCGAGGGATGCGAGGACGGCCTGGACTACCTCCACTACGCCAAGTGCCGGTTTGCCCGGTACGGCCACGACAAGAAGCTGCTGCTAGAAGCCCGCCGGCGGCGCTAGCTCTCGTGGCCGCAGCGCAGCGCACGGCGTGCCACCGGGACGAAACAGGGAGAGAAAGAAAGAAAAGCCGCTGCCTCGTGCCGATTTGTTTCCCTTTGTTGGAAGCCAATGGGTGGGTAGGCGGGTGGCAGCATTCCCGCCAAGAGATCGAACGCGAGACGCAGCCGAACGCGGTGTTTCCCAGAGCGGTGGTTTGTTGGGTGTTTCGGGGGAGTGGTGCCGGGTAGTCACAATCGAACGACGCACTGGTTCGCAAAACAAACAAGCAACAGAGAAGAACTAGGCAGCCCACGAATCCGTTCCGCTTTTGGAACCGATCGAAATACCTTTTAAATAAACATTTTGTGGCACACCGCGCTCTTCGCTCTGATTCGATTTGCAACCTAGCATTGCTGTTTCTCGCTTTGTTTTGCTAATAGATTTGCCCTTACGCTTCGCTCCACTATCCGACGGGGAAGGGATCAGTTGGTAACTGTACGAATCAGAAATTAGACCAAATAAACCGAACGACACTAGCAACGCTTCCCCCAGTGTCCGACGATGATGCATTTTCCATTTCCTACTCGGCATCGTGACTTGACACGTTGCCGAAGACGGATGCTTGAAAATAAAGAATGATTTCCATAAAAAATACTACTACTAATTTACCATCGTGCAACCCGCGTGCGTTTTTGCACCACCTGCCTTCATCGATGGATGATGGTGTTGATGTTGATGTTATAACTGTTGTAATTCCCATTGAATAAGACACCTTGAAAAGCGCTGAGAGACTCCTTTTCGTACCGATGAAGTAGATTCAACACGAATGGAACAGAACAGAACAGAACAGAAGTACACGCAAACGCAACGCATGACGCTAGTTCGTTTCGGTGTAGTGTGCTCTGTGTGTTTCTCTCTGTCTCTCGAACACATCTTTTGCACAGGAACATTGTCCTCGCGCCCTTAAATAAAATCATCTTGAAAGGAGTCATCGGACGCCGACGAGTCATCGTCGGAAGACGAATCATCGTTGTGGCGGCGGTGGCGGGCCGTGGAACCTTTCTTTTTGTACATGTTCTTCAGTGAGTCGCTGTAGGTGTTTCTTTTTCGTGACTGCATTTCGATGCGTGGATTCGATCCCATACCGCTGTAGCCGCGTTTGTTCCCCATCGATGGAGCTCGACAACACATGCGTTTCACACAGACACAAAAGCAACAAAGAATGCTGAGAGCCACCAAACCTGCGACTGCGAGGCCTGAGACTCCGAGGTCGACGGGGAAGTATTTGTTCTCTTCCGCCTGCTCCATGGGGGAGTCACTGTTCTCTTCCGCTTGTGCCATGTTTTCTGCTGGCGCATCCTTGGAATGATCGAGGTGCTTTCCGGACAGGATGTCTTCGATGGAATGTTCTGGCGACCTTGCAAAGTCCCCGTAGGGGGTGCAATCGACCTGGCTCAGCAGGGCGTCGTAGACCAGGCGTGTTCCTTTTTTGATTAACTTGAGAGACTTGTAGATATTTTCGAGCTTCTTGTCGCTATGGTTGCAATCTTCCCAGATGGTTTGTCCGTGGAATATCTGGAAGCGATCTTTGTATTTCTTGTCGTTCGTCAACTCTTTCTGGAAGGCGCAGTCCCGGTACCGAAAGATTTTCTCCGAGTTGGTGATCTCTTCCAATTCCAGGGCGTTGTAATCTCTCACGATGGCGTTGTTCCGAATGGACTCGTCCGCGTGGTTCAAGACCCAACGGTTGTCATCGTCGCATTTACCCCCTAGGATGTCGCAAGCTATCACATGGGAAATGTCGGATCCGTAGTAGTCCACCCCGCCCATGTCGATCAAGTCAACTTTCCACCCGGGGTCCGCATCTAGATAGGTCTGGGCGAGATGCAAGGGGTTCATGGACGATGCGAGCTCGGAAATGCGGGTGGACGACGTCTTGTCCATGCACATGTGCTCGTTATAAGGTGTGTACTTGTCCATTTCTTCCAGGTCTCTGACGTCCTTATCGTCCGTGCCCGCCTTGCTGTTGTAGAGGCTCACCCAGTGCTCGAAGCGCGGAACTCGGTAGTTGATCACCACGGAGACACACTCCGCCGGAGCCCCGACGCCTTTTATGAGGTCCTTAAAGGCTTGCATCTGCTGGTCCGAGTTTTCCGACGGGTTGCCCATCTGGTCGAATTCTTCCCCCCCGAAAATAACGGTGTTGACTTCGGGAATCTCGTAGTCGTGTTTGATGGCATCGATGACTTCCGCTAGGTAATCTTTTTGCTCGGGTTCCGTCACCACGCGGTTGTATCGCTTGTAGGGCCGCTCGGGCTCGGTGCTGTTGGTAACTGGCCCGTAGACGAGGGGCCAGCGGACTTTCGCCAGGGGATGGTAAATCTTCCCGTGCTTGTGATCGGGCCGCGCCCCCCGGGCGTACTTGAATAAAAACTCTGCGACGCTAGTGGTGGCCGTTCTACGGGGTCCGGCCAGCAAGACCAGCTTGGTTCCCTGGCACTCGCCCGCCAACACAGGAGTTGTGGCACCGCTTATCAGCAGGAGCAGCGCCAAGAAGGAGCAGCCGAAGGGGTTTTTCATGGTGGTCGAGGAATGCAATTCGATACGATTCAAGAATTGAGTTGTTGGTGGATGGGATGTATATTCCGGGTGTCAGAGACAAAAAGTATCTGACGATTTCTCAGCAGTCTTCGGTGCGATGAGAAAAGGAGGGAAGGGATTGGACGCAAAGTGTTGATTCGTTTGTCGTCGTTCGAAAGTGGTGGTGGGGTTTGCAGGATTAACAACAACAACAGTGTCGTTTGGTATGACAGGATCTTGAGAACGCATGGATGTTTCTTTGTACGGTGTTCGAAGCACCAAATCCTACTGAGAACGTTCGTCTTACTTCGTACTCTGTATCGCACAGAAGAAGTAGTTCGCCAAGGAGAAGGGCCCACTTGGTCCAGTGTACAGTACCCTACAGCGTTTTACGACTATGTAGTACTTCTACTTCGACAGTACGTACGTAGTTTCGTACCGTAGCGTACAGTAAAGGAAAGGGACGAATGTGCTGTGACCAAAACGAATGTTGAAATAAGTGCGAGTTTATTTTTTCGTACACTATGTACGGTACATGACATACGTAGTCATTTAGCGAAGATGGGATTTGGCGGGAGTCATTCATTTTCCTATCATTCGATTGTGAGAACCCTCCTGGTCACTCGATTGTGTAATCATTACCGTGTTTGAAATGCCGGGTCAGAGTCATTAAATGGCGAACCTTAAAAAGGGAGATGACCAACAAAACCCTTGCAAAAAGATATTGTCCAGTCTGAGAATCGAACTCAGGTTTCCGCAACCACAATGCGGGGTACTAACCACTGTACGAACTAGACATTTGTTCGCTTATTCGGCACTGCAACTTTTCACCACTTATACATACATAATCTTTGTATTAAACACTCCAAGATTCTTTGTTGTTCACTGCTATTTAACAAATGTGTGGACAAGTAGGCACAATCTATGCTTTTGCATGTGCTACTTGTGGTTTCAAAGCTGTAAAACTATAAATTCTCCTACTTGCTGTACTGTGAAAATTCATTTGCAGTGTGGTTGTTGCTGCCACCTCACCAAAAATGATTCTTGCTGCTGGTGCCACCACCAGCCACCACCAGCCACCACCATCTGCATACTACTAGTTTGTAGTAGAAGCAGTAGTATATTGTTGCATCACCAGGATGAAAAAAATTATTAAAGATACTTGTTGTGTGACCAGAGCTAGCATGCAGCACCACCAGCAACGACTGTGAGAATCCATTGATGAAAATGAATCTACTACCTAGTAGTACTACTAGTAGTATTACTACCACTAGTAGTGGTATTCCAGTACCATCATCATTGCTAGTAGTAGTAAGTACTAGCATGATGGGGCAAGAATGCACTGCTTTGTCTCTGAATGCACCCTGGACTACAGCTTTGCATCTTCTTCTTATCTTCTTTCTTATATGAAAATGGTGAACAGCCATTTGATCATACAACAACAGTAGAGTGAGTATTGAACTTACTGGTAATACTAACTTGTTGTTATTCATATGTTCATCTATTGGTGTCATGATTCTCAGATGAGCCATTCCTTGAAAATGCTAGTACCCTGATGCACTTGGAAATACTTCTCTGAACTACAGGAGCTTTATTAAATGCCGTAGCAATGATTGTGTACCTGCACACTTCTTGTTGGAGTAACTAGTAGAGCAGCATCCTTCTTCTCTGCCCATAGAAATGTTGGTTTAGCCAATCCAAGTGCCTCATCTTCTGGCCAAATCCACAACCAATACTATTCTTTGTTCCTTTAATTATTCCTGCTAGTATGCCCAAACTAGAGTAGAGTAAAATTGCAGAGAAAATTCTTGAGCATTACTAAAAGCAGCAAACCTATGATGTTGTGGTCATTTGTTGTTTTAAAACTCTATGATTAAAAACAGGCAGGCAGTAGCCAAAAACTCTATTATTAAAAACAGGCAGGCAGTAGCCAAAGTGACTTTTCAGAGGAAATACACCATAGTATGCTGCATAAATCTATTTTTTGTAAGTTAGTATTAGTAGTACTACTAGTAGTAGTGATAACATTTTTTTTTACCAACCAAAGTTCAAGAATTGATGTTAGCAGCAATGATATCTACTATGCTACAAATAGTTACCAAAATACCCTCTTATCATTGTGATGAATTTATTATTCAAATGCATTCTGAAATACTTCTCCCTGTAGCAGTGGATATGGTGTCATTACTAGGAATTACAAGAAATGTTTGTTTTCAAATGAAAACAGGAGAACAAAACCTGGAGGCAAGGCTATCAGCAGCCATAGGAACTTACCAAATCTACTACAATCAATTTGTGCATAGTAGTGAGTAGCAGTAGATTTGGTTTATTTGCAATTCCTTCACATTAGGCAAGTAACAACAAGGGACATTAGTTTTTTGGGGTCATCAATGGGTGATGTGTTGTTAAACTTGTTTCTTGTTGTTGTTGCTGGTGTGATGATCATATAGCAGTACTAGTAGCTACTACTACTAGTAGTAGTAGCTGGTAGTAGTACTAGTAGTTGTACTACTACTAGTAGTAGTACTAGTAGCAGTGTGACCCATGGTGCTTTCCTTTCTTTCTACATCAATCATCCATGAGCATTTCAAACTTCACCACATTGCAAGTACTAGTATTACTAGTAGTACTACTGTTTTCATGTGTTGGTGGAATCTCCTCAAGGAATTTCTCCTGAGTGGTACTAGGACCAGTAGCAGTGCTGTTTTTTTGCAGGAAGACATTGTTACATCTGGATTTTGACACCAGAAGAAGAAATTCAGCCATTGTTGGTAGTGCCACTAGTAACAACAAGAAAGAAGTACTAGTATGACTTTTTCTTCTGGCAAGTTCCAAATGTTAACAATTTCTGAACTTGTCTGCTGTTTTGGTCCACCATGATTGATTGCCTCTTCAACCAAGCTGCTGCCCTCAACTGGTGGTACCATTTTATTAGCAGCCGATGGTGTTGGTGAAAAAGAGGGAGAGCAAGAAATAAAATATTCTATCATCATTAAAGTGTAACCATTGAGATATAAAATCAATAACCATCTTTCTTTTCATAAGTCAGAAGATAAGAACAAGAGAGGCAATAAATCCCATTTTTATTTTGTTTTGCACAATAGTAGTATACAAGACAAAAATTTAACTTCTTAGAGATGCACAGCTTTGTGAATACTAGTAGTAGTACTGCTATACTCCTGAGAAATAGTAGTAGTAGTAATGCCAAAATACTCTTGTACCCTCCTCATTGTGAAGACCTTTACCAAATAAACCAAATGTTTTCTTCTATTTCCAAAAGCCTGTAATTTGTTTCTGCTCTCAAGAATGCATAAGCAATACATTACTACCAATGATTCCAAAAATATGATTCTTTTACTACCAGTAGTAGTACCAGTGTCAGCACATGCCTTAGATTAAGATATGACTTCTGAATCCTCACAAAAGTTGCAATTCATGTCAACAACAATAGTAATTACACCAATTCTTTTTTCAAGATTGTTACAGAATATTTCTTTAAAGATTCATACTTTTGTTTTCCAATGAAAGATTCTTGGTAATAAAGGGATGATACTAACAAAATCATTCTGGAAATCCCCTTTTCTGTGTTGGTACTACTACAACTACTAGTAGTAATCATACTATTAGTACTATCTCCACACATGTAAGAATAGTATAGTACTACTATCATATTTATTCTGAATTTGACTAAAATTTTGCATCATCTTCTTCATCCTGTGTACTTTTTCATTCAATCCACCCTCCTCCAACAGAGAGCCCTCAGTAAGTGCTGGATCAATATAACTGCTCTGCTTCCTCCTTTTTGGTCTACCAGTGGTGCTACTTCTAGCAGTAGCATTACAGTTTTGCTTTTGCACTTCTTTTTGTGATGTGTATTTTTTTTAAACCTATCTTGTTGTCAACTCCCACCCTTTTCTTGTTGCAATATGCTGCTCTTGTCATTTGTGCAGTTCTTTGTTGCATTATTCATGCTCATTGAAGAATTAATGATTGAACATCAAATGGATTGCTTTGTACTACTATAAGCATCCAAGAATCCTGCTTGCATTGTTTTTTGTCAAGAATTTAGTGAGGACCAACTCCCTCCACCAACAGTGACAACAAATTGGAACTCAACAACTACAACACCAGTAAAAAGAAGTCAACGGGGAGGATGGTGAGGAACTTATAATTGCTGAGAAGTGAATTTGTAGATGAATGGCATTTCAGTGCAAGGGAGTATTGAGTTCAACAGAGTACTACTAGTAGTGCTGAAGAGCCCACAGCCTACTACTACATATCAGAGAAGCAGCTGGAAATGATATTAAGTTCTGTGTTCATMCAATTTCTTCAGCTGTTTCAATTCGAACAAGAATTCTTCTTGATTATGTTTCAGTACTGGTGATTAGTGTTACTACTAATACAGAAATGGTGGCATGATTTTCAAACTGTTTGAAAAATGCACAATTATTCTTACTTATCAGTTCAAATTGACTGGTATGTGGTGTATTACACAAAATATGTCTGGTTCACTGCTAATTTTTTGGGTTTTGAAATTCCAGTACATTGCTAGTACTACTACTACTACTAGTAGTAGTATTCAATGATTTTATCACCAAGTTGCCTTTATTTGCCCAGTGTTTCTTCTACTTGCTGGTGTACTATTCCTCATCAAGGAGATGTTGGCGGAATTTGACAACACCAACAATCATGTTTGTTGTTTTGGGTGAATTATTCCAATCCACTGATCTCAATGCTGGTGGTTCTTGACAAGAAGAAGAAGAAGAAGAAGAAGAAGAAGAAGAAGAAGAAGAAGAAGAAGAAGAAGAAGAAGAAGAAGAAGAAGAAGAAGAAGAAGAAGACTGAAGAGTCCGAATCAATCTTACAACTTAATCAGTTGAACAAAGACAGTGAGAGAAACATGGAGAAAGTGGGACATACTTTCTTCTTGTTATCACTGCTGGTGGAGGTCATGGAGGTGTGCTGCTGGTTTTTCTTGTCACCGCTAATGACATGATTTGCTGGTGCTTGAATCAACAATCACCACCACGTCACATTGTGGGCTGAAGACAAGAAGAAGTTTATGACAAGAAGTCTTGCATGGGAATTTTTGTCTCACTGAACAACTAAAATTGAACAACTATGTGCACATACTCCTGCAGACAATGAACTCTACTCGTAGTAGCATTGCAAAAAGTCTAGACTGGTGGCAATGAAATAAAAGCATTGCAGCTGAGTTTGTGGCCGAGGTAAAATTGGTCAGAGACAAAAGTGCTTTGTCTGGGAATCGAACCCAGGACATCTGCTTGGAAGGCAGATATTTTACCACTAAACTAACAAAGCTGTGAAGCTCTCTTCGTTGCAGACAAAAGGTGGAAATGAACATATATACTGTTGTATATCTTGTTTCGTGTGGGAGCCACGGGCACGTTTGATGTCTCGGAAGAAGCCAGCAACGCACGTTGCGAGAAACCTGCAATACTCGGAAGCAACTTTCGGCGCCGGTCGACTTGACTTGACTTGACTCGGGGCGCTTCCGGGCTAACCCAGCGTGCATTCCCCCGAAGCAGCAGCAACAGCAGCAACATTAACAGCAGCAACGTTAACAGCAGCAGCAGCAGCGTTAATCCTCGAGACAGCGAGATTCTTCCGGTCCGCTCCACCACCGTCCGGACGGAAAGAGAGCGTGTAGGTGAAACAGAAACAGAAACAAAAACCCGAAAGCGAAAGCGAAACCGAACCGATGCCTCGATGCCCGAGATTCGCGTGGGACACAACTGCACGACCAACCCCCCGGGTCCAGAAGCCGGTGGCATCCGCAGCAGCGGCCGAAACCGCCAGCTAGGCCCACGGCGTTCGAATCGGAGCGGGTTCGATTCCGGTGGCGACGGCGACGGCCACGCCGGGTCCGGGTTTGCCCTCTCCGAAGCCGATGGTTCCCCCGGTGCCGCACCTCCCGCCAGCCGAGACAATGACAAAGACGAAGCCAGAGCCGAAGACCGGGTCGGGTTCTACCGGTGCTCCCGCAGCGCAGAGTCGTGCGGAAAGTTCGTCCTGGCCCACAAGCGGTGGTTCGTCGCCGGGGTTCTCCTCTTTCTGGCCGCGGACGCCCTGCTCCTGGGTCTATTGCTGTCGCGACCGGCCTCGCAGTCGGCGAAATCGGCATCGCCATCGCCATCGCCATCGCCATCGCCATCGCCATCGCCACCGGGCCAGCACCCCCACCCCAACCACGAACCAGATCCCGTCTCCCCTTCCGAATTCCTCCCCGGCAACGGCCAAAACCAAACGGCTGATTCGGAGGCCTATCGCATCGACAAGACGCGGACCGGTCGGTTCGAGCTTCTGGAGGTGGTCCCGCACGATTCCAACGCCTTTACACAGGGCCTGGAGATCCTGTCGGTGGCCAAGATCGAGCTCATGGAGCGCTACCGGCAACAACCGCAACAGCAACCGCAGCAGCAAGATTCCCCCGCGGGAGAAACCCCGCAATGGCCCGGGAGAAACGACACCAACACAAACATTGCCGGCGGGCTCCCTCTCGCGACCTTCCCCAACGCCTCCGCCGGGCCGCTGTCCGCTGCATCGCCGGAGGGGTACGTGCTCGAGTCGACGGGGCAGTACGGGGCCTCGACCCTGCGCATCGTGGAACTGGGCACGGGGAAGGTGGTCGACGAGCTCGAGCTCGGCGACGAGGTGTTTGGGGAGGGCTGCACCTATTACTACCACGACCACGGCCCGGCCCTTTCGCCCGGGGAGGAAGAGGGAGAACGGAACGGCGTGGTCCGCGTCGTCCAGATCACCTGGACCTCCGGCCGGGGATACGTGTACGAGCGGCCGGTCCCTTCCGGGAGCGAGACCTGGGGAGACGCCCCCGGACTCGCCCGCGTGGGGGAGTTCCGGTTCTCCTCCGAGACGACCAGCGGGGAGGGCTGGGGGATCGCCTACCTACCCGCACGGAACCAGTTCGTGGTCAGCGACGGAACGGAGTACCTGCACTTCTGGGAGCTGACCGAAACGGAAGCCACCGGTTCTTCCAACGACCGGTCCTTTGCCTTTGACCTGGCGGACAGGGTCGCCGTCCGGGAGCTCCGCCGAGAAGAAGACCCCCCGGGGGATTCGCCCGGAGATGCCCGGTGGACGCGGGTCGACGACCTCAACGAGCTCGAGTGGGATCCCTACTCCTACGGCGGAAACACGATCCTGGCCAACGTCTGGCAGACCACCGAGGTCCTGCGGATCTGGGTGGGGGCCGGGGACCCCCGCCTCATCGCCGGAACCGTCTCGCACGCCTACGACCTCTCGGACCTGGAGGACAGGGCGGACCCCCGGCGAAGGGGGGCCGTCCTCAACGGGATCGCCGTTGCCTACGGTTCCTCCCCCGCTCGTTCCGCCGGCGGGTTCTGGGTCACGGGAAAGTACTGGCCCGAGATGTACCGGATACGGCTCCTCGACGGCGGATAGCGGGTGCGGCGACAGCGTCGCTGTCGGACGTGCCTGGCCCGGACCGACGAAGAGAAAGAAAGAAAGAATGAATGAATCCCGATGAAACGGAAGACGAAATCTAAAACTAAGAATGTCACAGCCAATACTGCATTCTCCGGGGTTTGCTGTTGTGTTTTGGGTCACCGATCGCTTTGAAAGAAATTTCGTACAGAAGCAGGACCTCAAAAGAACTATAGAGGGGCAATACGATGCCGCTGAAGCATTACTACTACTACTACTACTGGTAATTCTAGTAGTAGTACTACTAGCACTAGTACTGATAGATTTTCTGCTTTTATTCGTTTCCTTCCTCTCCTGCTGCTCTAGTAGTTTTGCGTAGGGAAGAAGCAAAAACAACAAAATAGATTGATATCAGCGTCTCCGCCTCTGGGTTTGAATTCCTACTAGCCGCTGGGGTTGCGTGAAGGAAAAATGTACTCTCAACAAAAAGTCACAAAATCGACACCGGCAGGACTCGAACCTACGCGGGATAAACCCAATCGATTTCTAGTCGATCGCCTTAACCGCTCGGCCACGGTGTCATTCATCTAGCTATCATACGAGACGAAAAATACATTTATATACCGTATTACATTTATACAGTGTACTAATATTAACTTTATTGCCATCAATAGTGCCTCTTCTAGTTCACGAAGTTAAATGTAATATTAAGATTTTTTTAACTTTATTGCCATCAGTGTATTCTTGTCATCCTCAGCAGCATACTACTACTACTACTACTAGTATTACTACTAGTAGTAGTTCTGTCATCAGGAGTGTTTTGTCACCATCCTCATTTGTAGGACTCCTACTACTACTAGTGCTACTACTAAAATGATGCATCACATCACTACTACTGTAAGGCTATTTTGACAATCAGCATTATTGCTGCTCTCTTCTCCTCTTCTGTCCATTGGCACCAGAATTTGACTTGATCAAACACATTACTCAAACCACTCAGCCAATCACCACATATTTGTCCTTCTTCCTTTCCTTGGGTTGGCTAGCTAAAGTCCTTCAGGAGGACAAGATTGATTTTGATGACCTCCTCCCAATGGCTGACAGCTCCTGAGATGAACGTCAAAGCTGATCACTATGCTGGTGCTTAAGGAGCCAAGATAACAATGCCTCATTTGATAACACCAGTCCTACCTTCACGCCCAACAGTCCTTCAGATTCAATCATCACAATCTGTCACTGGTCAATGAAAAATGCTCTCACATATTGTTGTCTCCTTGTTCCACAATATCATGCACATACTTGGAAGAAAGGAACCAATGGATTTCTCATGTACTTGTTGATATTGCTTGGAGGTCCCTGGGGATTGCCATCAATCACATCTCTACTAGGAATTTTCTTCTGGTCACTACTAAATGCTGCAATCACATTTTGGTGCCCACTGCCACAATACTCAAACAGCAGGAATATCAGAACTACAACACATGTTGTTTCTGTTCTCATTCCAAAGATTGCAAGCATTTCTTCAGATGTTTTTGGACAATCTAGTACTACTAGTAGTACTCTCTGAGGCAGTGGATGTCCACACTGGGCTTCCACTCAACTGCCACGACTGGTGATACTTTTGCAAGCTGTCTCACCAAATGGCTGGATACTGAAATTGTTGCACCAGAGAAATACCCTTCATCCATCCACCCAGAAGCCCCCATTCACTTCCAGAGTGTTATTGGATGGTACCATTTGTTTGCCAGCCATCTTTCACTTTAGTGGATCACTGACCCTGATCTTCACTCCAGCTCTCACCCCCAAACTGTGCTGGGTGATTATCTTGTGGAATTCTTTCTTATTACCTCTTGTATCTTGTTGTTATGGAAACAGAGAAATAGAGATCTTCACAATCACACACTCTGCCTCTCTCAGAAACAAGCAAAGAAATGCCATTGGTTAATAGCAAAAGACAGCAATCTGTCTCATGCCCATTTATTCCCAAAGGATCCAGAAACCTTCTTGTCTGAAGCCCCTACCTCCTTGCTCTTTGTATTACCTCCAAGAACTATACAAAAAACTATTCATGCAAGCATCCACAAAGCATCTTTTGAATCTACCTGTCCTATTACCCAGTATTTTTCAACATTGGTTCATACTAGTAGTAAACAACCACCAGAGAGTGTCCCACAAGATTTGCTGGTCTTCAATGCATACTCCAAAAAGAAAAGCCATAAACAGGAGTTTGCAGTGACAGATACATCTTCAGCTCCTTCTGTCACTCTACCAGACCACTTCAAACCTAACTGACACAATTCTCTTAAACCGGCAGCCAACTCAAAATACTATGTGTTTACCCAGCCGTGTCCCCACAACCACTCCTTGGAGGGTGGCGCTGCCCCTTGAAGCAGTTAGTAGTATTCTTCTCCCCAGAAGCTCTGGTGGTTCTTGCCCACACAGCGCCTCCCTAGTTCATGAGGTTGAATATAATATTGAGATTCCATCTTCTGTCCATGGCTGGTGATATAACTTGTTAATCCTATTTCTAGGTTGTAAAGAAATGGGGAGGATGTTACATCGCATAGCAGTAGGAGCACAACAACACCAGCAACAATTACTACAATTTTAAATTTAGCTACTAGTACGACTACAACTAGTACTTCTAAGCTCTGAAATTCTTAATTGTAGCTAGTTCTAGTAGAAGTACCACTTGTTGTTGTAACAAGCTAGTAGAAGTACCACTTGTTGTTGTAACAAGAAGAAGCTTTCTCCTTATTTTTTAGAGTTGTACTGAAGGTAGTACTAATAATACCACCACTACTCCTCAATATTTTATCAGTAGTACTACTAGTACTAATATAAGAAGAAGTACTATTAGTACATTCCACCACTTTCAGTTTTCTTCTAGCAGCAGCACCACCACCAGGAGGTGATGATGATAGTACTTCTCCTGCCCAAATTGATAGTGGTACTTCTCTTTCTGAGGCCATTATGGAACTATTTGTTCTAAATTTTCCTATTAAGTGCTACAGGAGCATATTACACCTGGTGAAGGCAAAGAACTAGAATATGAGGACAAGCTACAAAGAATATTATCTGTAAAAGTTGTGAAACAAAATTCATGAAAGTAACAAAGAACTCAGTTTAAACCCTGTCACCATGTAAGCTTCACTTGAAAACCTCTTGCAATGTCAATTTGACAGTGCATGCAATTGTTTTAGTCCATTGAAAAAAAGGAAGGGCAAACCAACAAGCCTATTCAGATATTGGTCTATGCCAATACATGCACTGCACTCATCAATTGGAGACAGCCTAAGGATATATAAAAAATCTTATTGACAATGCTCTTTAAAATACTATTACAATGGCAACAATGGTAATGAATGTATAACTTCTTTCGTACTTGCGCAAAATGTTGTTTTCCCAAATTGTATATAATATATTTCACGAATTCCCGGCTGTTACAAAAACACTCTGCTCTTTCTCTTTCTAAATTTTTCATCTTTTTACTTTTGCTACTAGTTGACACGGATTGCTTTACTTTGTTCCTCGCGTTGCTCCCTTCGTGATCCAAGAGCGACGGTATTTTAGGTATTGCTTCGCTCAGTGTGTCATCCCCGTGCTCACAAAACCATTGGTTTGGTGTTCGGGAGCCGACTGCTCACTGTTGACCAGTGCCATCGCTCGTTTGCACCATTGACGGTGGCTGGGAACCGGCGGCATTTTCCTGCCACGCCTTGGAGAGGGATGCCAGAGCCGAGGAAGCATCAACCAATCCCTTTCGAGTGACTTGCTGCAACGAGGGATTCTCGGCGGTGCTTGCTTCTTCGTCGGCTCCGTGGCTTCGGTTGGTGTTGAGGGCCATAGCATGGAGCGTTGACAGGATGTTTGTGTATTCCTCCTTCGACCATTCTCCCCGAAAGGCCACTGCATCCGAGGAAGAAGGAGACGACAGCGAACCGTCCTCCTCTGCGGTTTCTGTTTCGTCCGTCACCAGTTGTACCATCTTGTTCACAAACGACTGTCCAGCCGAGTGAAGGACTGAATACAAATCCTTCAAGGGATCCTGCGGGGGATAATAGGTATCGTCCATATTCTGGTACCGGAAGTCGTAGTTGTCCTGTTGCTCTGCTTCTTCCTGATCAAAGGAATAGGGTTCTACGGCGCCTGTGTCGCTGGTTTCCCGAGTGGAGTAAAAGTAGTCAAAGTCAAAATCTTCCCAGTCTTCCCACAAATCGTTCCACCTGCGCCTGAAGTAGTCCTTGGCGTCGTCTCCGCAGTTGCCGAGATCGATGCTGGCCTTGGCCTTAAACCAACAATTGTCGGCAAGCGTAAAAGAGGAAGGGTCTCCGTCTCCGTTTCCGGAGCAGTCATTGCCTTCGTCCTCAAAATTGAGTTCAAAACCCCAGGAGCCGTTTTTGGAGTACCGCGATCGCTCTTGCTGACTACTGCCTTCGTCTTGCAGCTCCTTCAGTCGCTTAGCTTCGGCTTCGGCTTGGGCGGCTGCCTGCTCCAAGATCTGCCGCTCGTGGAGCAATCGCTCTTGCTCCTTGGCCAGGGATTCGGCCTTTGCATTGGCCATCGCTGCATCTTCCAGTAGGGCCTGCATCTCTTCGCGCAATCGATTAGTCTCGGCCAGGACTTTCGCCATCTGGAGTTCCTCCAAACGCAGGCGTTCCTCCCAGGTTCTCTGAATTTCTCGCTGGCGGTTCACAAAGCAATTGCCGGCCCAGTATGCCGCGGATGCGACAAAGAGAACCAATACTAGCAAGACTCGTTGCTGGGACGATAACAAGTACCTCCACCGGGAGACCTTTGCCAGAGGCGAGGAGGAATCACTTTCGTCGTGCCCGTCGACCACGCTCACCCCGCCATCTTGTTCGTCCGATGCATCCGAAACCAGGCGGAGGCGGCGAAAGGATTCCTGGTGCAGGTTCTTCAAAAAGCGATGGACCAAGGGAAGCGAGGACCCACCCATCCACGCTATGTGGTCCTCTCGGGGATCACTTGCAGTATCGACGACACCGACCACCTGATCGTCGCAGCTACTGTGATCTCCAAAGAGCAAATCCTCTCCTTCTTCGTCGTGGTGGCTGATGGTCCCAATGTCGGACGGGAGGGAATCGCTCCCCGGAATCGTCAGGACAGAGGCGTCGTTCGGACCGTGGATATGGTTTTCGCTGCTGTTGGCCTTGTGGGATGGAGGATCGGAGGGCTCCTCGAATCGGATGTCTTCTCCGTTGTCGGTCCCGTCAACAATCAAGACGCCGGTGTTTTCTACCTGTTCTTCGTAGGAGCAATCCTTTGAGTAGGAGGAAGAAACCGATTCCGTCGGATTAGACCGGTTCTTACCATACCCACCGCTTTCCTGTTCGCTGCAAGACGACGACACTTGCTCAAAAGAGCGGCCTGCCATCAACAAGCTGTTGGAAACGGCAACAAAGTTGAAACCTTCGTGGTCCTCTGCATCGCCGTCTTCTTGTTCGTTGTCCGACACCATTCCCCAGGAAGGAGAAGGACAGCCCGTCGCGTTTTCGTTTTGCGCGGGGGGGACAACACTCGCTTCCTCGGAACCTTCCTTGGCCAGAAGAGGCGATGGCAGCGATGGTGATTCCTGCCGGGGACTGTCGTTGCTCCCCCGGCCAAAGAACCAAGAAGCCGGTGGAGGATCGTAGGTCACGGTGCTGGCGGCTAGAGAAGCCTTGTTTCTGGAGGACGGATCATCGTCGCGCTGGGTTTGTGCGGCGGAAGACGTTGGCGAAGTTGCCATTGTTGCTTTTGCTTTGGTTTGATTTATTCGATTATGTTATAGTTTTTGTGTGAACCGTGTAGAATTGCACGAAACTTGTGCCGAGCCGATGTAGGATTCTTTGTGCTGGTGTAGTTGTTCGTTTCTTTGTATCGTATAGTGATAGATTCACTACGATAGATCGGTTACTGGAATATCGGAGAATTTCAAAATAGCAGGGGTAGAGTCTCTTTCTTTTCGCTGTATTGTGCACGGCCGGTGTGAGCCGAACTGCGGATTTTGTTCGGTTCATTACCGATGAAATGCGCACGCACACACAAGGAGCGATGATGATGATTCATTAGACAAAACAAAGACAAAACACTAAAAGAGACAGATACAACACACGCCAGCCGCAGTAACGAAGGACCGACTCCACTCGACTCTACTCGAAACGAAACCTAACCTAACGACATGCCTTCCATCTGTCGTTGTTTTGTATCGCTTCCTTCGGTTTCGTCTTGTTTCGTTTTCTGCAGGCTGTCAGCTGTTGTCTCCTCTCTACTACTGATCTTCAAACGCACGTACTCTAAAATTATGTTGTAGATATTAAGCAATAGCAGATCTCAATCCGTGTCAATTCGTTCTAAAGCAAATGCAACTGCAACGATTGTCCAAAGAAAGATTATTACTTTATTCTTGTTCGGTGATTGAAGTGTTTCCTAATAGATGATAGACAAAAGAATTTGTCACGACAGTTTCATGTTCCTTCATTCGTTTGCCTACGGGAAACGTACTACAGCTTCTACGCCAACGGAACGGAATTGCATCAAACTTCGTTTCGTTGTGGTGTGCAATCTCGTCTCCTTTTCACAGAACAAAATAAATCTTAAAACTGGCAATTACCACCTGCCGACCTACGTACAGCAGGCTCCTATTGAAGGCTACGACACGAACCCCCCGGATTGTTGATACAGTTCTTCTCTCCCGATTCTTGATTGCAGTTTTGAGGAATTCGTCGATTTCAATCATAAAATGTCTGTCTGTAACCCTAAAAATAAGGACAGAAAATCGATTCAAGGTTTCTACCGTTAGTAGGAAAGGAATTTCTTTCCCGTTTTTCCTTCTATATTGGTTGAAGGCCAGACGTTCACGTCAGAAAAAGAACCTTAACCTCTCTCTTAGGCTTTCGTCATCCCTGACAATTCCGCTCAGCATCCTCCATCGTACCGTGCAGTACTTTAGTACCGTACCGGCTATCGTATGCTCCGAACGCACCAGTACGAAAAAAGAGTCTCCCGCGGTACTGCATCGTACTTTTTTAAATAGGCACCTAACGAACGACACGCGTCGTTTTGCTTCAGCAACTATTCTACACGTTGCGAGATCAAGCAGGACTTACTCCGGGTCGGCGTATTTACGATACGTACGTATTCTACGGTACCGGTATTGGTTCATTCCCAATAATAGATGTGCTAAACCAGTAAACCTACTAGCACATTTATTACTTATATATGAAGCTGCAAGCCATATAGACTTCTTCAGAGTACCAAAAGGCTTAGGGCCCAAAGGTGAGATACTTGATATTCATACAGTCTACAACAACGGAACAAGTTGGGGACTCAACAAATCAGTATGCGCAACAACCACCAATTTCTGGTGGTTCTTGCCTAGTACTAGTGGTACATCAACAAGAAACACTGCAATCAGGCAACTCTCCCACCACAGCTACCGGGTTATGGATCTTGACCTGGGATATTTTCTAAACTTCCCAGTCCCTGAAAAGTTAAGACCTTACTTAAGAGTTTCCTTGTCTCAAATCTCCCAGAAATTGAAGCCGGTACCACCACAATGTGACGAACGTCAAAAAATAGATGGCACAGCAGTAGCATGATGGACTACTACTAGTACTCTAGGCTTGCAGTTAATGCGATTCCAACTCAGCCCCTTCTTTGCAATCAAATTCTATTATCATGCCAAAGAATTTATCATAGGAGATATATCAGATAAGAACAAACCTTTCCACCACTACACACAGGTCATATTGAATCTCCCAGGAATGAAATTGTTTGACCACCATAGACTTCCAGCATGGTGGGTAATGAAATGGGACTCTGATCTAAATTGCATCCCAGCAGCAATAGTGACCTTTTTGGATGATGTAAGAGCTTCCAGATCTACCTCGGAGATAGTCTGGCAAGTAGACCAACAACTGGCCAAGTATCTACTAGTACAATATCTCGGCATTCAAAACACACCACACAAACTCAGACCCCCCTGCCAACACGAAGACTTGGGCCTGGGCTGGGGGAATAACAGAGGCAAGTGAAGATTCCATACTTAATCTATTACTCAAAACAAATGGGATAGAATTATACCTATGATCATATGAAGGATCCAAGAAGAAATGAATGATCCAGAGCACCAAGACCTAGATTACAAATAACTAGAGAGTGACATAGGAGGCTTCTTAGTCCACATAGTGATGACCTACAAGGTATGAATCCCCACCTCAAAGGGATTCACCAGACAACAATAGACTCATGGAAACCAAATCAGCTGGAAGATGAAGGCCAAGAAATGGACTGACAAGCTGCCTTCAATCAAAGATGATGAGATATGCAATCATCTCATCGAAGCACATGATGTTAAAGGGCATCCCAATCATATTTGTGCTGCTCCCTGACTAGCAGAAGATCTAAAAGCTTTAGGTACTTTCTTCCACTGTCCACAGCCACCTAAGGTATCTATGAGAGCTAAAAGAATATATAAGGTAAACTATGGATTTGGTGATGCATCCAGCCATGGATTTGGGGACAACTGGCTAACAGCAAATTGAATATTTTTCCATCATGGTACATTGTCTCCATATGTGTCCAATCAGTCTTCAAATTATCGCAAATTTAGAAATGTGATAGATGCCATCAATAGAGAAGGAGAGGAAGGACATCTTTGCAACTGATAATACCACAGTGGAGGCAGCTCTATATAGAGGAACAAGCGATAGTCCCAAGCTACTGAGTTGTGTGATATAATTCAACGCTCTGCAGATGAAATATGGCTTCGGAGCCCTCATAACACAAATGTCTGAATTTACAATGATAAAACAATGAGGAGGCGGCTTGTCTCGGGGAGCTCTAAATGAGGGTGTATGGTCATAGATTGTTTATTCCTTTCCATCTATCCAGTATCCCAAGAGAACCAAAACTGAAAGATCTGGCTGGTATCACAAATCACACAAGGGGAAGATGTGATCCATCTCTCCCCTACTATGGACTGGTTTTAGTAAGGACATGATATCATTGGAGGCTATATTTGAGAGGACAGTGTGTGGAGACCTACCATAAAAGGGGCAACTATGTATGGGATCCACCACCTGCTGTTTGTGAGGTTGCACTTGAAGAACTTAGAAAGGTTTGACTGAAAAGGCAGTCATCCACACATTGTATTGTGCCCCAGACTTATGACCATTTTTTCACAGTCAAAAATAGTTCTGCAATATACTCACAAATTAACAACAAAACAGAAATACAGTAAGAAAAAAACAAAATCTGAATTCATTGAGACTCAAAAGGGAAAAAATTGAAAAAATCCAATTCCATTCCTGTTTGGAGACTCAAATGGGAAAAAACTCAACTTTTTTTCAAACTCTCGAACTTCTGAACTTCTGACCTCAACTTAAAAAATAATAAGAAAAAATTTAAAACTAAGATAGGATTTGAACTCACAACCTTGGCAGGATGTTGTCTTGATTTTGGATCTTGTCTGTGGTCGTTTTTCTTGTCATTTCCTTGTTATTGTGTTGTTGTTTGGTTTTGTTGTTTGGAAAATACTGGTGCTGGTAGAATATGTCACTCTAATGGCCTTATGCTGTTGTTCAATGTTATGGGATGTTATGATTGACAAACTATTTCCATGTTGTGAGTGATGTGATGACAAAAACAGAGTGTCACAAATCTTGTGTTGTGAAATTATCTTGTCAGTTCTTCGTTTTTGAAAATAGGTACTATGCATACATATGGAAAATACATACTCACCATTACAATAGGAACAAAGTACAAAAGAAAAAAGGTCTAGTTCAGCTTCCACTTGCAGCGTACTTTTGATTCCCCAGTACCGGTACAAATTTTGTTGAACGAACAGAAACACTAAAGGGAGAGCCCAGACGTTTCTTTTGACAATAATTTGATTTAATTCTCCCATCTCCATTTCCCCCTTCCCCCTTTTCACAGAAAAAACTACTGAGTCCTAAAATATTTCTACTATTAGTCATTGCTTACTACTTGAGAATTACTAGTACTTACTACTGGGAAACCTCTACTATTACTACTTACTACTGCTGGGGATGTTATAGTAGTGAACACTGCAAATTGCTGTGTTAGGGGTTTTGTTTGTGCTGCGAGAATAGAGGTTTTTAAGTAGTAAGCACTAACAGCAATTCTCAGTAATCAATGAATTTACCTCTCCAGTAGTAAGAAGGACCACTAATAGAAATATTTTGGGACCAGCAATAAATTAAATAATTTGAAACAATTTTTTTAACTGTAAAAAAGACCTAACATTCTGTGGTTCTCTGTGTTGGGACCATTGAAAACAAGGCAGAATTTTGATTCCCAGTACAAATTTTGTCAAACAAAACGTTTGGGCTCTCCCTTTTAGTCCTTCTGTTTGAGGTACCCGTACTACGGTACCAAGTACTTCTACGAAACGACGCACTGCCAGATACTTTAAGCTACTGCTGGACCCATGTACAGTAAGACTGCGGAGTTACATAGTAATACCAGTACAAAATTGCACGTGCCCACCATTACTACAACGAATCAAAGCAATGTACTACTATTGCCTACTAGTACCGGAAATCAACTTAAAAGCTAGTAGTACTTTAAAGCTACTCTTAAGCTACTTTAAAGTTCCTTTAAAGTAGCTTGAAAGTAACTTTCTGCTGGTTGCTTCTATCACGTAGAAATTATACTATACCCATTGAATTCTACATAAAGAACAGCAGCTACTTTAAAGTAACTTTAAAGTAGCTTGTTTAAATTAGCTTTAAAGCTAMCAAAAAGAAGCTACTTTATTTCCACATATAGCTACTTTATTTCTACCTTTTAATCCCCTATTTGTAGAAAGGGCTATTATTCTGATGAATATGATAAAGGAGATGAGCATAACTATTCATTACTTTGTTGGAGTACGAGGTTTTGCTGTGATGTATCATGTCCGATTTTATAACAGGTTATTAGTAGTCAAAATTTTGCTAGCCGTTTTTAGTAATAAGAAGCTAAAGCTTTGCTTGCTTCTTATTGCTAGCAAAGCACCAATCAGAGATTGAGAATCAATTAGTCACAAAGAGTTTTCTTTTCTCTTCACAACCATGTGCACATTGCTATGTGATTTTGAAGAGAACTACTATTTCCAGCTTGTTGATTTCTCTGCCCACAGAAAACTTGAAAAAACTCATTAACACAACCTCCAGCATAGGGACCTGTCACTCATCCAGTTCAACACTTTAACCACCACTAACAGCGCAATTGATATACAGGACCTATCCATTATAACAAGGACAGGGGGATCTGGAAGTCTCGGATTGATTGACTGAGTGGTTTAGAAGAAACAAGTATTCGCATCCTCTGTATCAGCATCCTCCGTATCAGTGAGCCTCCATATCAGTAATGGGCAATTCCCGTTAATCTAGATGGTCTAAAAGTCTAAAGTAGACCTTTTAGACTTTTCAGTTTAATGGGAATCATTAAAAACAGGGGCCCAACGGACATTTTTAGGCGCTCTTTCTGGTCTCGAAGGAATTTGGAATTTCTGCGTAGTAAAAATTCTTTCCATCTTAAATTTGGCGGGTCTTTTCAGTTGAGTCCTACAATGGATTTTCATTCTTGGATTCTGGTTGCACTAGATTTAGACTTTCTGTCAACAAGGGTGGATTGTGCGTTGACAGAAAGTCTAAAAATTTGGACTAGAAAGTCTATTTTTGGTCTGTCTGTCTGTCTGTCAAAAAGTAGACCATCTGCTGGAATAACGGGAATCGCCCAATATCAGTTTGCCTTCATAGCCTCCATATCAGCAAGCCTCCATGTCAGCAAGCCTCCCTATCAGCATCCTCTGTATCAGCACCCTCCTCCGTATCAGCAGCAACAAACAACAACAACAAGCCTCCGTATCAGCGACTCCTCCTACTATCAGTGACTCATAGTATCACCGGCTCCTCCATATCAGCATCCTCCTCCATAACAGCATCCTCCATAGCAGTGACTCGTATTCAACGCAGCGTCCATATCCAGCGTCCATATCCAGCGTCCATATCCAGCGTCCTTATCCAGTGTCCTTATCCAGTAGCAACTCCTGTTACTGTAGTGCTGCTTCCTCCGTATGGTGTACGGTATTTCGATACATTATTTGGATATAAAATAGTTTCTTTTTTATTTTGCGACAGGTTGAAGGTTAGGGTGTTATTTATCGGACTGTTCTTCGCGTAGGCCTATGTAGAAATAGTACCGGAAAATACCTGTCACGCGACATACCACACCACAACCTACTAGTCTTGGGTACAGTAGCTAAAGGTAGCGTTTCGTAACGTCCCTAGCCAAATTTTTAGATTTTAGATTGCTGTAGACTTCTGAACCACTCGAAGACGAATCGCACCGGTTGCACCGGTACATATTAAGTCGTGGAGAAATATGTACGTAGTTTGTGTTGGTTCCGTATGACAACATTTTATTTTACGTAACGACTGAAACGACCTCTTGCTTCACGACCTTTTTTTTTTTTCATGCAGCAGCTGAACAACAATAGCGGTACATTTCGACCAGAACAGTAGTGTACGACCAACATAAGACAGAAATTTGGTCGTATAGAAGACACAGACCATTTGAGAGAGATAGTAAGTAAAAAATAGAGCGTTCGCAAAAACAATCGCGTTGTCTGAAAGATCTCTAACAGAAAGAAATCTAATTGTGTTGAAATAAAATGGCCTTGATTAATATCGTCGTTGTATTATGAGTAGAAACGAAAGCGACGATTAGAACCTCAACCTTTGCGTTATGAAGCGTCCGAAATGACTTTTGGATTTGGAAATTTTTTTCCGGGGCCCGAGAACAACATCAATTCAAATACTGTCGATAATAGTAGCAACAACAATAGCATCAATAACCGGCAAGCTGCACGTAGTACGTACCCCGGCCAACGAGGCAACCAGCAAAGAGATTCAGTTTCAACGTCCGGAAATACTGCGGAAAATAACGGGACTGCCAGCCACAGCATCGGCGTCGGGGTAGCGAACTCCGACAGCCGTGGTGTGTTCAATAGTTTGAATAGTAGCAGCAGTAGCTATTCAAATCCGTCAATGCCAAGCAGCAATGGTCCATACGTGACAAGGGGATCGAGTGGCGCCCCCAATGGGCCATACGTGGTAAGGGGCTCGAATCCAGGTCAACAGTCCACATCATCTCGAAATTCGACCTCTTCGTTGCCGCATGTTCCTCCCCGTTCTAATGTTGGTCCCACTGGGAGCATTGGCAGTAGCAGCAATAACAACTCAGCAAGCCAGCTTTCGCCCGGTGCATACATAGTGACACGAAGTGTTACAAGTTCTTCTGCTTCACAGATCTATCGCGTAACTATTCCTCCCGGAGTGGCATCAGGGTCTGAGTTTACAGTTCACGCTGGCAATAGGCGGGTTCGGGTGGTGTGCCCAGCGTCTTCAAGGCCGGGACAGTCCCTCCAAATTACTCTGCCACCGGAGCCTACAACCTCCCGGAAACTTGTCAAACCAGCACCCATCACGCTGGTCGGAAAGAAAGAAGCTTTGTGTAAGGATCCCTTTATGAGACAGGGTGAGTCGAGCATGACAGGAGGGGCTGTAGAAATGCTAAAGGAGGTCGAGGCCGTGAACAAAGCTGCCACTGACAACGGGGGGACCCCCAGAACTTACGTAGTAACGATTCCCATGAACGTGAGGCCGGGAGAAAAGTTTAGGGCGACGTTTGAAGGGCAAAGATTTGAGGTAACTTGTCCCAGCAACGCGGGACCAGGGATGAAGGTTCGGATAGTGGCACCCCCCTCTGGACAATCACCTAGCTATGAATCCGAAGGAGACAAGGAGCCACAGGCAGCCGCAAAGATGCAAGTATTTGAGGTAGTTGTCCCAAACGGCGTGCGGCCAAATCAGCCCTTCACTCTCATGGCCAATGGGCAGAGAGTATTGGTAACCTGTCCACCAAAAGTGTATCCGGGCTCCAAGATTCGCTTCCAGCTCCCTGTCCCGGAGACAAATACCAAAACCAAGACCCGCCTTGTCTACAAGGATGGTAATGGATCGACTGGTTGGGAGAGAACAGTTCGGGTGCAAGACATGAAATTTCAGTGGGTTCGGGTCACCGATGAAAGCGACAATATGGGAGACAACAAGAAAAAATTAGCTGATAGCAAATCTCTAAGCAATACACTTTTTGACGACAGCCAGATGGCATTTGTACGCCAGATTCAGTTTTTGGAGGGAAATGATGCACGCATGCGGACCGGCAAGGTCAGTCTTGTCTTGGCACAGAAGGCAGTTGTGGATTCGAAATACGTCGATAAGAACTACCAAGGAACTGGTCAAACCAAGACTCTCTTTTCGTACGCGAACATCGAAAGTGTTCAGAGCAAAAGCCTCAACGACAAGGTGGAGTGGTTCCGAAATAGTGTATGTAAAGAGCTGTTTCGACCGTGGGAACAGGGGCACGTCAAGATTGTTATTCGGCGGGAAGTGATACTGGAAGATAGTCTCAAGGCAATTCTAGCGCTGGGCAGAGACGATATGAGAAAACGATGGAGAATCGAGTTTTCCGGAGAACCGGGAATTGAAGCCGGGGGTTTGACCAGGGAATGGTTCCAGCTTGTGACCGAAAGGATCTTCGATCCGGCTCTTGGACTTTGGATGTCGAGTGAAAACAACCAAATGGAGATGAACATCAATTTCACGAGTTGTAAGTACTATTGAAACAGTATTGAAACAGTACACTGCATGTTTGCCAACGGGTATCATACGATTTTTGGTTTGTTCCAAATGATACACCGACTCACTAGTTCTTTTTTTTTCGGTATTATTCTTCTGTATTGCTTTCTTGGGGGCACAGATCTTACTTGTGGTGACGCCTATCTCAAGCTCTTCCGATTTCTTGGCCGGGTCATGGGTCGCGCTCTTTTTGACGGACAGCTTATCAAAGGACACATGTCTCGGTATTTATATAAGCACCTACTGGGATGGCCAGTAACCTTTGCAGACATCGAGGCTCATGACGAACAATTCTACAAGAATCTGAAGAACTTGGCCAAGATGGACGATCCTAGCCTTTTGGATCTCAACTTTACAGTGACTGAAGATACTATCGTGGATGGTAAAAAGGGCGTTCCATTGATTCCTGATGGTGCCCGTTATGACTTGACCTCGGAAAACCTTGATCAATATCTGAAAGCAAATCTCCACTATCGGATGTTGAATAGGTGCAAACCCCAAATCACCGAGTTGCTGCTTGGCTTTTACGATATCATCCCCGAGGCAGCCTTGACAGTCTTCGATCCGAACGAGCTCGAACTCATTCTCTGTGGTATACCTACAATCGACATGGAAGATTGGACGAAGAACACGAAGTACTCCGGAATATTTGAATCAACGGCAGAGAACAACCAGGTCGTCAAATGGTTCTGGGACGTCGTCAAGGAAGATTTTGACCAGGAGATGAAGGCCCGTTTGTTACAGTTTGTTACTGGGACGTCCGGAGTCCCGCCCGGCGGGTTTTCGGTGCTCCAAGGGAACGACAACAACATCAAACTGTTTTGCGTCCACGGTGTCTCAAGGGACCAGTATGTCTATCCACGCGCGCACACCTGTTTCAACCGGATTGATCTGCCAAACTATGCCACGAGAGAGGAGCTGGCTAATAGGGTCAAGCAGGCAGTATCGATGACCTATGTCGGATTTGACATTGAATAACGTATGCGGCACTTTTTGTCGGTGCTCTATTCTCAACCTATTCCGACTGACCAAAACAATGCAGAAAAAAGAATACTACTGTTTCTTTTCGTTGTACAAAGTAGTAAGCAGTGACCACACGGCGGAGGCGATCGGGGATGTGTTGGGCCGGGCACTCCGTGCACACCCACCACATCGGTTCAGTTGCTGGCAACGGCGGTGGGACGGAGGACCCACGAACACACCCGATCCAGTGTGAGTTCTTGAGTGTAGAGGCTCGGAGCAGAACTAGAAGATACAAGAGAAGTGAATACCAGCTCGAGGAGCAGAATAATGATTTGAGAAGCAACGTCCTCTTTAGGAGAGCTCATATTTTAGAGGAGATTTGATTGGACCCATGCAAGTTACATTAAATACTTATAATGATGTATATGCAGTAAATGACGACTCTTTTCAGCATAAATTAAACATCTTTTTCGGAACTCTGATACACTAATAGCATACGATGTGTGTTTCCAGAAGATTGACTCCACCTTACTCATTATTATTATGTTTCATTTGCTATCTGATTAAGGTCACGTATAGAGCGTCATGCTAGAAAAATAAAGAAGAAAGATGAGACACGAACTGCAATCCAAATAAATGAAAAAGACAGTTCAGCCTCACAAGAAAGTGATTGGAAAAACCACGCTAAAACCTATCAAAAAGAGCAAAGCAATCAAGGGGATTTGATGAGTGGAGCTGCTAACTAATAGTAGGATTAGTAATACACGAGAGAACTACTAGAAAATAGTATAGACAAGACATCAATGAGAGTCCAACAAATAAGGATTGAAAAGGACAGTTCAGTGACAGTCAATCAAGAAAATGATCAAAAACCACATTTTTAAAAACAAACAGTGTGATGCAAACCAGTAGTTATTGTATTCATTTACCTAGTACTACTAGTTGCAATGATACTACTACCCAAAATATGTCATTGTGTGCAACAGCTGTCATAATATTTGGCTGCCGATGATACAGAGGGGAAGTTGAGCATTATTTGGTGGGATTCATATGGTTTCTTGTTCTTGAAGATTATTGAAGAATACAACTTCTGTTTGGGCCCCACAATGGGATGTATGGTGCAGGTTGGTGGTTGGAAGTGGTGTGACATGCGATAGTTCCTGAAGAGCACTGTACATACAGCAGTCACTACTAGTAGCATTCCATTTGCTACTGAAAATATTGCCAGATTCAGAATCCTCATTAAAAACTGATTTTGAAACTACAGTCAAAAATTAAAATACTTATAACTGGTATGTTGAAGTTACAGTAGTTGTGGTCCAAAATTCCTGCGTTAATTTCGGCTGTAATTTTATATCGAAAAAACTGGTATATCAGTTCTAAGCCGCCATAGCATCCTTAATCATCCCAATGACATGGATCACTAAGTAATTGTATCATCTTGGTCTGGGCGCTTAGTCTGGTGGTCTAAAGTTGTTTCTTGATAGAGTTCTGGACTATTTTCTAACTAGGAGGCGGTCTTGTAAACCGGCCAATTTTGGCCATACCAGCTGTTAATGGAGAACCGACTCCCCCAAGGCCTATAATCTTGTAACAATCATGACACATGGTGGGGCTGTTCCCACCAATACTATTAAGAAGCTTTTCCCCAAAGGGGATCTCATTACACCAAGCCTTTCCGGAGCTGTCGTGTTTAGCTTATTTTACCTCATTGAGCTGTTTGTAGTGGAAAAAGTGACCGAAAACTAGTAGATCTGTGTTTGACCAGTACTAAAATATTTGGCTTCAAAATTAACCGTGATTTTACTAGTACTTCTAATAATTTTTTCTGTTGGGAGTAGAATGACATTGAGGTCTGTAGGCCCTGGTAGGATTTTACTGTTAACGCATTTTACTTCGAAATGACTGGTAACGTACGATACATCCACTAGACATATTGACATGACACACGTCACTAGCAAAGAACTTTCTCGTACGGTATGATACGTACGTAACAGAAGGCAGGAATACAATTGCGAGTAACTCGTACCTGTACCATACTGAAACGAAAGATATGCTTCGGTGCGCGTTCCTCAGATACCATCATTTTCTTGCATCGTCTCAAGTGTTTGCACTACCATTGGCAGCAGGAGCAGGAGCAGCAGGAGCAGCAGGAGCAGGAGAGCCTTGCTATAGCACCACAGTGCCGAACCTTCCCGCAATCCGTTCGCTCCCCATAATCTGATCGCTGGTTCACCTTCCTGATTTCCCCCGAGCGCAGCACGCCATGCCACGGGAGCAACCCAACCCGATGCGACAACGAATGCCCCCGTTCGGCCGCCACGGCATCGGCCCGGCCGCTCGGCCACCGGCGCGGCGGACACGCCAAACACAACTCCCGGCCGCCTTCGCGGTTTTGGTGGCACTTTCGTTACTTGGGGTCCCGGAGGCCGCGGACGGCTTTGCCCCCACGGCACGGAGGGCGGTTCGGCCCCCAGAAGCCACCGGAAGCGGGTTCGGGGGAGGAAACGCAAACGCAAACGCGAACGCAAACGCGAACGCAATTGCGCACCGAAATCCCGGCCCGATCCGGGGTTTTGGGGCCGCCAAAACCAATGCTACGCCCACGCGGCTCGGGATGCTCCGGATGCCGGCCCTGCCGGTGGCCTCGACGTCCTGGCTCTTCAACGACCGGATCATGCGGGTGGCAGAATCCTGGGCACCGTCGGTGGGCGTGCTGATGGCCACCCTCATCTACCTAGCCCCGGCCAAGGCGGTCTGGCGCATCGTACAAAAGGCCCGAAAGGGCAAGGCCGGCGGGAGCACCACCGAGGGAGACCCCGACCCGCTGAACGGGCTGAACCCCCTGCCGATTGCCATCATGCCGGCCGTCGCCGTGAGCTGGTTCGCCTACGGCCTGGTGGCCAGCGATCCCTACCTGGTCCTGGGGAACCTCCCGGGAGCGGTCCTGTCGGTGGCCTATTTGATCGGGATCCTCCCGGTCATGCAATACAACGCCTCGTACCCGGATTCCCCCTCGGCTCTGGCCAGGGTCGCCGCCGGTGCCATGGAAAACCCAGCGGAGACCCTCCTCAAGCCGCCGAAGCGGTCGGGACGGCTCTTCTGGACCCACTTCACCGTTCTGCTCTCGGCGGCGGCGACGCTGGGCCTCTGGGCGACCCTTGCCCTCATGACCTCGGGGGCCTACGGCGACTTTCACGTCGGGGGCCTCGAGTTCGGGATGGGATACGCCGGGATGCAGCGCAAGGGAATCATCGCGGAGGGCCTGGGGGTCTACGCCGCGGGCCTCTTCATCCTGCTGGGGGTCAGCCCGCTGTCGACCATCCGGACGGTTCTGGAGACCAAGAACAGCCAATCGATCCTCGGCCTCCTGACGGCGGCCCAGGTCGTCAACACCGGCCTGTGGACGGCCTACGGGCTGGCCGGGAACGACGTCTTTGTGTGGGGCCCGAACGTCATCGTGAGTGCAGCGACCCTTGTGTGTGTGCGTTTGTGGTTGTCTCTTGTCTTGAGTGTCTTTACTGTTTCGTCACGCATGCGGTGCCAAACCATCCTTTTCTTTTGTACTCTGCCGCTCACTCGCACGCTCCTGCGATACCTTGTTCCACGTGGATATATATGGTTTACTTCGCAATACATTTCCTTCCTTGGTTCGATTCGATTCGGTTTGATTTGGTTTGGGTTGGTCGTTACAGGGATTCACGCTCGGGCTGATACAAATGGCCCTCAAATTGCTGTTCCCGTCTCGAAAGCCCCCAAAAAATTCCATGAAGGCGCGACGAAGAACCGGGGGGAAGGCGCCAGGGGAAGAGCGGGTTATCCGCACATAGATCGAGACCGCGTCACGAACCAGAACACCGCATCGATTCCAGCCAGGGTTTGGTTGGTTCGTTCTGTGCTGTTTGTATGAACCCAGCACACCACGACCTCCAGGAAGAAACTTTTGATTCCGCCGGTCGGAACCATTCCCCCGAAAAAATTTCATAGCTTTGTTCATTCCAGCCAGTCTCTACGACCACATATCATCGAACGAAGGTGCGGTTTTACATCGATTGGCAAAAACAAATGCTATGAGTCGGCGACGGTCGTAGCAGGGAAACAAACCAAGCATCGAAGAGACCCAAGTCGGGTGGAATCTCCGTTGTCGGTAGTCTCTACCCATAAAACACGAAAATGCTCCGCTGGTCAATTCGCATCCAATTTGTTGGTAGAACCAGGAAATAATCTCTGGGGTTTTGTCCATCATGTTTTCGGGTGTCCATTGCGAAAGCCGATCCTCAGTGTTTGACGAAAATATGGTCACTTTTTCTGAAAGGAGAGCAAAGCTTTCACACGACGAGATTCTGAATAAAAATCGACTTATCATTTTAATGAATATGTATGTCTAGCATCGAGAGGGGTGCGTTGCTAGTATGTACACAAACGGATGTCGTAAATACTATCATCGTTGTTCTAGTAAAGGAAAAACAAGATCAGTGCAGCATTTCCATTGAACAAAAGGAACTGAACGAAGAAAAAGTTTCTCTCCGCAAAGCATTATCGATCACTTCCAGTTCGAGGTTCATGCTCCCGCCATAGTTTTTCGCGGTTTTCTTTCATTCACGTTGTGGTATTTGCTTCTCTGCCGTGTCGTGTCGTGTCGTGTAGTGTAGCAACCAGTCCTGCTCGAAATCACCTGGCAATGCCACGAAGATGTTTCGGTTCTTCTCACCCAATGGCAATCGAACCTCCTAAGTGTCGCAATGCGCAAAGCTAATTCTGTGGTTCATCCAACCAACCAAACGCAGGGCCTAGAGTTCGCTCTTGAACTTTTCCAGCTTCGCAACGATTTTTTGGATCGTTTTGGTGCGTCGGTCCGGGTATTTGGAAAAGAGATCCTGTTGCTTGCCGGAAAAAATATAAGTCGGTTTCTCGCTACCTTGTTGTTTTACGGTTACAACGACGCGGATCGGGTCCTTGTCGACGCGGTTCTCGACCACCGGCGCATCCGGAAAGACGGACCTGACGGCTTGCAAGGCCGTGTTGTATTCCTGCTTTCCGCCGTCTCAGTTTTTAGACTGCCGTGTATTTTGGTTTTGTTTTGTGTTGATCGTTGCGCCGGTTGGAAATCAGAAAGGAGAGCAATTTTTGCGATTGCAATGAGATAAAATAAATCCAAGCAAACAAGTATTGGGAAAATCGTGCAAACTATCGAGAGCAGACTAGAGGAGAGGATATGCTCGTTTAGTCGATATCTTCTGTGAATTCTGCCGCAATATTTTACGTACGTAGGTGATGGTAAATTGGACAGAGTTACTCATGGTGGAATGTTAAACTAAACTTTATTGCTTAGAACAATCTTTGGTTGTTTGCATCAAGCTATGCTGTGTCAATGAAATTACTAATTACCGTACTTCTTCTGAAGCTCTTCCGTTGTTGATTGGTCTGAAGTTCGGGTACTACAAGAATTTGTCTTTTATTGGCTTGACATCAAACCTCAGATGATTTGATTTTTAGCAGTGTTTTAGATAGCCGGATTTGTAAAATAGTGCAATGCCTCTCCTATCATAACCATCATATGTACTAATAAAATCACAATACAGTATCATACGTAACGTTACTCATAGTAATCTTCTGGGTTCGACTTCCGAAAACGAAAATACACCGCGGGTACGTAAAGTACCGTACTGTGCCTGACTCAGAGACACGACGGTCGAGTGAACTTTTCCCTACGAAATGGAACGTGCTACTATGCACGACTGGCAATATCGTTTTCACCGTTGAAAACAAAGAAAAGGAACGTGCACGGTCAGCGTAGTAATGGTATTTTGCGTGCGCACGTTTCAAACGATCCATGAGCTTCGAACGGTATTCACTTTTTGATCAAATCCTCGGAAGAAATTCACTTTTTCCCGTTCCTTTCCTTTCCGTTTCGTTCCGTTCCGTTCCGTTCACAAAACAAAACAAGATCACATCCACAACTTCTAGTTCATCATTTGGAATCAATTTATAGAATGAATTGCATCGCTTATCGTGGCCATTCTGGCATTCTTCGCAGACAATTTAAGTCGATGTTGTTCAAAATTACTTCAGATGGCATTGGAAATAATGCTTACGGAAGATATGTCTCTCCCAAGAGCTTCCACGACCCAACCGCCAGAGCTTTCTCCGCAATCGAAGTTCAAAGCATCACAAGGCAGCTGAGGAAGTTAGATGCGAATGTAGTGTGGAAAATAGAAGAAGAACTGCGAGAAGTTGACAAAGATTGCGACGGACGGTAAGCAAACTTTTGATTGCAGGATGCTGTATCGACATTAAAAAATTGTTGAACAAGCCGAGGCAAATCTCTTGCTCGATCGAGCAATAATGACGGATAAAACACTTATATCAATTCCTTTGATTTCAGCGTCGACGCCGATGATTTGACCAACCTACTAAAACGCCATCAACCCACATTTACGGATGCCGAAATTGTTGAATTCTCAGAACTTTTCTACGCTGGTAAGGCTGGAGCCAGTATGAGTGTCACAGACTTTATCGAGACATTGGATCAGGTGGCTTCGGGTGATGAAGAAGGCTTTCGCAGGCATCCTATTCTCGATGGCAATTGTTCTGCTGAATATATCTATCGAAAGTCTCACGATTCGTACACTCAAGAAGATCTGGATATCAAACTGACCCACCGCAAGCCAGAAACTTTGTCCGACCGAGCGGCATTTCAAGCAGTCAAGGTTGTACGAGGAATTTTCGACACCGCTACTGGTTGGAGCAACGAAAAGATTGTTACCCAAGAAAAGATACTGAATCGGGTAATTTTCTTGGAGACTGTTGCCGCTGTGCCTGGAATGGTGGCTGCCGTCACTCGACATTTCCGTAGTCTCCGTCGAATGGAACGCGATGGTGGCCTAATGCATTTGTTTTTGGAGGAGGCCAATAACGAGCGCATGCATCTACTTTCCTTCATCAAGTTGAAAGATCCTGGAATGATGTTTCGTGGTGCCGTCATCTTCTCGCAATTTGGTTTCGGGACTGCCTTCTTCCTTGCGTACATGGCTTCCCCAAAAACTTGTAAGAAATGATTGTTCCAAAGTTGAAATCGCAGTTCGATCCACCCATAAACACCAGGAAATCTTACATTCTCTTTGGATCTATCTCCTTTTCCATTCTTTTGTAAGGCCATCGATTCATTGGCTACATAGAAGAGGAGGCGTGTCATACCTATACTACGATTGTCAACGCAATCGAAAGGGCGCCCGCTGGATCGGAACTGGATGCATGGAAGACAGAAAAGGCACCCGCGATTGCTAGAGCATACTGGAAACTGGGAGAAAGCGGGACTGTCCTAGACCTTGTATATGCTGTTMGGGCCGACGAAGCAGAGCATCGTGATGTGAACCACGTCTGCGGTGATCTCCAAGCACTCGATTGTGGATCGAAACCGACCAATCCCTTCAACGATCCAGATACGAAGGTTAGTGACCTGCTTCGAAAGTACGTGAAAGATATCATGGCCCGAAACAAACCTGACGGCAACAGCGAAGACAAGAAACTAGCGTCTTTCTAAAAAAAGTAGTTTAGGAAGAGTATGTTGAACCGTGTAGTAAGCAAATAGTGAGGGATTAGAATAAACTCCACCGGCAGTTTAAACAAATAATAAACGCACTGTGAAGAATGTGTGCCCGGAGTCGAAATTCATCGTATCGGTATGGACATAGCAGGAAAATCCAGACGGGACGAATTCTACCATCAATACGAGAAAGTGCCGCTCATGATAGTCTCTACCACTACAGGCAGTCTTTAAATTCATTTTGTAGGTCATGGGAGAAGGGGAAATGAACGAATTCTAATTCAAGGCTTGCTCATTTTTGGAATAACTAAAATGTTGGTCGCTTATTGTTCAAAATTGGGTGTGCGAGTCGTCAAAACTGCGGCTTAGACCCTAGCTCGCATCGAAGGAAATCTGCCAGCGTCTCATATCCACCCAGAGCGGGGTCTCCTCGTTTTCGCTTATAGATTCGTTCTTTTTCGTTGTTCGTGCCTTCGTTGGTTCCGTTGCTAAAACCCTCGCTTTTGGCGTTGCTGCTGCTGTTACTCAATCCCGAAGCCATTTGCTCCATGATGATGGGCCCGTGCCGAATGAGATAATACATGCCATTCAGAGAGTTCTTGACTGGAATGAAGTGCGGATACCGTGATTGTCGGGTAAGTCGGGCTAGTACTAGGGGCCAGGCCCCCAGGGCTAGAGGGCACCGTTGCTGCTCGCTCTGTTGTTTCCTACGTTGTTTTTCTTCGGTGGTCAGGGGGACAATCCCCTCGGTGTAGCCACCGTTTCCCGGAGTAAGTCCATCACGCTCTGATTTGTTTTGGTGGGATCTCAACGTATTGGTGTTGTTGTTGCTCCCTGCCAGCAAGAGGAACCGTCCCGCTCTATTAATGTCCAACAGGTGCTGGATGTACCTGGAGATGGACATTCCATCTTCCCATTCCAGGTTAGACTGGATCAGCTGCAATTCTGGATATATCTTGAGCAGCTTTAACAACACAACAGAGGTCTGGTTGGTCATCACCAGAGGATTGTTGGTTAGCCGAATGGTCCGCAATCGGCTACTTTGGGGCGGAAAGCGGTGGTTGTGTTTCTGTGACGGATTCGAAGAATCGGCGCTATTGGAAGCAAGGAATAGCTCATGGTTCGGGTCCGAGTGGTTCGCAAAGATCTCTAGTCCCTGCGTGGTGATCTCGTTGAACCGCAGGTCGAGTTCTTCCAGGTGGGGAAACCGGTGTCTTATCAAAAAGGCCAAGTCTTTCATGTCGGAATCGTCTATCTGGTTCCCCTGGAGCACCAGCTTTCGAAGGTTTGGGTAGATCCGCACGTCGGCATCCCTTGTGGTGCAGTTTCGAGTAAGAATACCGAGCTGGATGTGCTCCCCCGTCCCGTAGGTCTCCTCTGACGTGAATTGGTAACTGAGCTCTAGGGTTTCCAGCCTGCAGTAATTTGTGCTGCTGCTTCTCCCACCGTTTGTGCTGGGATCGTCGTTGATGCTGCCGACAACCCCCCCCTCAGGCATCCACGAGGGAGGCGACATGAGCATCCGATCAAGGGCCTCCAAACCCAAGTTCCGGCAGGAGTTTTCCGACAAGCAGAGGTGCTTCAGTGTTGGGTGACTGGCCAGGGAGTCAAAGACGAGGGCGATCTGCGCATCCGTGAGCCGGCACCGCTCCAGCTGGATGGTGGTGAGAGTCCGATTGTTTGGAAATCCCTCGCACAGCTCCCTCACAACCACAGTCCCATCGCTGGGGGACACCGGTGCCGATCTCGACTCGTCGTTGTCGTCAGGCTCGTCCTCGGTTTCGTCGTCGTCAACGAATCGGACGCCCTCCATGACCAGCGTATCGAGCCTGCAGCCCGTCCCGGTCTCATCGTTGGTTTCGATTCCGTACATCAGGGATTCCGCGTGGTCTCTCGTGATGGGAAGATTGATCAGCTCCACCTTTCGCAGTCGCCTAGAAAAGCGCATGCGGAACCCCAGTGCGTCCAGGGCAAAAATGTTAGATTGAAGCGGTCCCCGGGGATCCATCCCGTCGTCATCGTCGCCCGAGTTGGCACCACCGGACGCCTCTTGACACCCCCGTCGCACGTTTGCCGCTGCCTGGAGCTCAGCCGCCTGCTCCTCTTCCTCTTCCATGTTGCCCTGCAGTTCGAACTCCCGAAAGAGGTCCATCCCCATGGAGGCCTCGATGAGGTATTCAAGGAAGGGATTTGCAGGGCAGTTGTTGATACATAGCTTCTCCAGCTTCACGTTGCCACTTTTTGTGCTGCCGTTTGGATTATTCTGGATGACCCTGGACGTTACTGGCGTCCGCCTTCCGCTGTCTATCGTGAAGTGCTGGCGGTGCTGCGGGACTTGGTGCTGCTTGGAGGAGGTTGGTGGCTGCGCAGACTCCTGTTGTCGTTCCCGAAAGAGAATGACGGCAGCGTGGAGGACCGCCTCGTCTACGTCTACCGCATCAAAACCGATGCTCTTTGCGGCGCGACGGGTTCGCTCCAGGTTCAATCGCTCGACAATATGGGCCGATCCAGACCCCCCGTCGAGGTTTAGGAACGACATTCTTTTCGCGACGTGCGAACCTTCTCGTTGTTGCTGCTGTCGCTGTGTCGATTTTGTAGCTATGGCTTTAGGTTGCGAAAGCCGTCGTTCGGTACGGCAGTGCTGCGGTGTTGTGACATGGAAATCAGTTTGGGAATGCAGGCTTCGATGAAAGTTTCGCTCCGAAAGCTTCCAGTACTAAATGAAGGATGTCGTTGTTGATACAATTTGTCAACAATCACCGTGTGAAGTAGTCTGGTATGCGTGAAGGAGAATGAAATCCAGTTGGTTACAAAACGCAGGTGTCGGAGTAGATGCAAATACATTTCAACTTCCCTACCGTACACATCACAGCCAAAGCCGAATCATCTCTTCGATTCTTTGCATTCTTCATTTAGATTCTCTGTGATACAAAGAAGTGTAGCGAGTCATGTAGCAGCGAACAATTTATTTTTCCATCCGAGTAGTGAGTCACAGCCGAAAAATAATAAGCATCATCCACATTGCCACGCAACAAATCAAAACACGGCATTTTATTTTGGTTGTTCTTCGCGTTCACTTGAATAAAGAAGAGTCCCAATAATGATTTCAATTGGTACCAGAGAGACCCTTCGTTCTCTTAGTTCGAAACGAATGAGTCATCGTCCGATAGAGTGCGAAGGGTTAGCTCACTTGAGGGGGCTTAGAGAATTTTGAATCAAAATTTAATTATTATATATTCATAGAAAGAAATCAAAATAGTTTCTTGAAGATCCCTCCAAGTTGCAAAGCCAGATGTCATCTCCGTGCCACGGAATGGACAAATAGGTGTACCGTACGAGTAACTGGGGTATGTGGTCCCGTCGTGTATCGTATCGAAAAGAAGTTGGTAGACGTGTTTTCCATTCATCATTTATTCGCTGACGATTAAACGAGGCTTGGGACCACCCGAAACAATATTCGCATCCCCCTTTTGAATCCATAATTTGTAATTTGGACACTATCCTTTGTGGGTCTGTGGGATAATTTTGAGGGTTATTTTTCCAACAGAAAAACCTGTTTCCCACGGTATTAAATAACCCACATTGTTGACAGCAAACTCCAGTTTGAAAAACAACCAACCCATGATGAGTAACCTGACAAGAAGTTACCTTGAGATCTCATAGTAGAGGAGGTGGGGCTTGTTGTCCAATTAGTACTAGTACTAGTAGTAGTACTACTACTACTAGTACACTATTTTTTCGATGGAATTTTTCTTCTTGTTCTTGTCTTCATGACAATTCTTGGTAATGTGCCGGAAATATATTCAAAATGTACATATTTATCTGAAATAGTAGCATCTACTGCTTCATAATGTTGGTAACATCAAGGTAGCTTGTTGTTGTCTGTTGTCAGACACAGAGGAGTCCTCACCACCACCATGTGCTCAGCACCAAGCCACCATAATCCCATTGGTGGATGCACATCTCGTTTTGGCAACCAACACCTACAACTAATCATCCCCCTCCTTGCTGAAACTTTTAGCAGCATCACTAATTGGCAACATTTTGTCCCCATCAGCACTATTCAGTAACAGCCTTACCCCAGCAACACTCCAATCCACAACAGGAGTATATCAGCAACACTAATCAGGTATTGGCTGATGCCAGCTACCAAGGACAATGAATCGACAACAACACCAGTATTCCCCAGCAACTATGGCAATTAGCAACACTATCACTGTCAGGAAAACTATTCAGCAAAACTATCTGCAACACTACACTTTCAGCAACGTTATCACAAGCAATGCCATCATTTATCAATGCCAGCTACTACTATTGACACCAGCTAGTACAGCAATGGCTAAACAAATTGGCGACAACAACAACAAATCAACATCTTTATCAGCAATACTATCAGCAATACTAACAGCAACAGAACTATCAGCAACACAGATGCCACTCTCCAACGTAACCAACCCACATTCCTCAACAAGGACAACACACACACGACAACCTTAAATGCCAAGGGCTTTCATGCTGGAGTCCCAATCAGAAGCCAGATGTGGAAACTTTGTTTGAGAATGAAAGCTCAAGTGATGGGGAGGTTTTTTTTATGATACTGGGCCTAATTATGATGCAGATGCTTCCAGGATGAGTCATAATGAGGCAGCACAAGCAGAGTTCTTCAATGTACTAGTAATCACACACAGCCAGACAGCTTGGAACTGGGATAATGCTGTTGAGCCACATAATATTGAATTCTTTTACTGGAAGAATGGAACTATTATTGATAGCAGTCTTAACTTTCCCATGGTTCCAGTAGGCTATCATGAAAGGAAGGATCCAAAGGTAGACCAATGAAAACTTATGTTGATAATCCAGTTGGTTGGCACCCCTATTACTACAGACCCACCAAATTTGAAGCAGGAACAGACAAATACAAACGGCACTTCCTTCCTTCCAAGGGAATTCCTACTAGTAAGTGCTTAGCTGGTCTTCGCAAGGAACCTATCAGGGAGGAAAAAGGATGGAAATTTTATTAACTTGGGTGCGATGGTACAGTTGATGATTCTAATAATCAGTTTGCAAGGAAGGTGCAGAAGAAGTATGCTATGAGGGATAACATGTTTCCAGAGGAGAGGAATGGGAAACTGGATATCTTCAAGCTACAGCAACATGGACTGACAAAAGACAGGATTGAAAATGGAGATGCCTTCTTTTTCTATCAGTTGCTGCTCTCAATTGCTGCTGATTCAACAGAGGAGGGTCAGCAAAATCAGATTGAACCAGAGAAGAAGTATACTTTTTACAACGAGGTCATGCAATTTCATACTAACTTGTACATCTCTGATGCCAGTGAAGGGGAAGGACATCAAATCAGGCCAGTTACACTACTACATGAAGCAGTTCAGTTTGAAAGAATCCTTTCTTTGCATGGTGCTTGTGAAGGAGCAAGCAAAAACATCAAGTTTAGATGGGATTCTAAGGATCTTTCATGTAATGGCAAACAGTATGACTCATACAATGATACCAAAAGGCCTTTTTGTGGATCCCCCAACAATGGCAATGTTTTGTTTTTACACGTTTGATTTCATCTACTACTAGACTGTTGTCAACAATATAAACTATTTCACTGAAAGGGCTGGCTTGGACCTGTGTACTATTGACAAGACCAGCTGAGGACTGTGTCAAGGCTTTGGTGGTAATCCTCTTGTTAACTATCAAGAGGGAAAGATGATTACAAGGGGTGGACAGACTGTTCTCATGTCTGGTGATGTTGATTGGATTAGGCCTCGAGCTTGGAAGCTCAGATATTGTGGACTAACAAGGAGGAGGAGAGGCACTTCTGCATTCTTGGCCCTGCTAAAGTTCACAACATTGCCAAGAACTTTGTTCTTCTTTGTAACTTACTAGTACTACTACTACTAGGACCTGAGAATATTTTGTAATCACCTCCTCATATCACAGCTGGAAACTTCTTCCTGTCAGATTCCATCTTGAAGTGGATTGGTGAGCAAGGATCACAGATATTGGGAACGGTTGCTAAGAACAAATTGCCCGCAAAGGTTCCAGGGAAGTACTTTCACACAAAGAATGCTGCTGGGGATTCAAATGTGGAAAACGAAGAGCCAAGAGGACATCATGTCTTGCAAAGCCTAAAACTACAGTGAAGACAGTTCTAGCTGATCCAAGCAAATGAACAGAAGCCTACAAAAGTCATTGTTCTTTCCAAAGCAGGGGAGCTTGTAATCTAGGATCAGTGAACTCTATTTCTTCATCCTCGGCATCTCCTCTTTATATTCACCAGAAAGAAAGGGACAGGGGAACAGAGAAGTGGCCACGGGGAATTAAAAGAAATGAATCTCAAGAGCTTAACCTTTATACTTGTTATGGTAAACTGGATCATTTTGTTAACTTGTAGTGGTAGTAGTAGAGGACAACAGCCGGCACCAGAACCACGTCAGCAGCAGCAATGATGTTACTAGTAGTAGTACTACTACTACTAAGCAGCAGTAGTAGTATTCGTATTCTTGTTTAAGTCATTACTGTTAATTGATCACCATTGTTTTTTGGTGTTTGGAAATAGTAGGCCCAACACCAGATCTATGTTTTTTTGGTGGATTATTTGTGGGTTCAAAACATGAGTACTACGGTATGTTTTAGAGTATTGGAAAAACGACCCACGAAATCATGCCCCCAAATGTTGGATTTCAAAGAGGGGATGCGCAAAAGTGTTGGAGGACCCTGGATTATCTGCTCGTTTTACGGCATACACCTGGAAGCCTTGCTCCCTTAATCAAAGTGGTCAAGAGTACAATATATATGATACTTAAAATACAGT